CCTGCAGGCCTAAAGGCAAGGCCCATTCTTTCTGTAGGTCAATGGCTCTTGAAAGCCTTTCTGTGAACTAAAGCAAGTTCACAGGAAGACCAGAGAATGTTTCCTTCTATGGGTTTGTGGTGTGAGGTATTTCAATTTAATTTCAAAATAAGCTTGAGAAGCATGTCCTTGAGTCCATGCCAGGGAGGGGTTTGAGCCTGAGTCCCCAAACTGAAGCACCCACATTCCCACAAAAGATCTCACTAGTAAACTGCTGGATAAAATGGCGGAGCTTGAAAAAATGATACCCCTTTAAGAAAATGTCTCTATTGAATGAAGAAGTCTCTGAAGGGATAAGAAATACTTCAAGCCTCTCCTATTAGATTCTGATGGAAAAAATAGTGACAATTGTTCCATAAACATCAAACTAGCAACACTGAGGGAAGGAAAACTATACTGAATTGGTGTTCTATGTTAAAATATATTATGTTAAAAATGTAATTGTATTTCAGATGAAAACATGAACTAATTAAAGTTGCCTAGAATATATTCTAAGTACAAGATATAAGGTTAAATGACTATTCAGCCTTAGCTGCAGTAGTCAAATAAATGTTAGAATTAACAACAGGTTTGGACCAGAAAGAAGTAGCCCTGAGTTCTAGGGAAGTTAGAAAACCCAGCCTGTCTTTGGAAACTCATGCCCAACAAGGCAGAGAGTTAAAAACAAGTAGTCTCAGTTCTCCTGTATGCAACATTTTGTGACTATGCAACATTTCCTGGCTGATGAAATGCAGCTGCAGTACCTCCCAGGTGCAAGTCATCTGTTGCTTTATAATTTCAATGCAATAGTTCCCTTTCCTTCTGAATAAGAAGGTTTTATTGCAGGGTCTGTGTACACTAAAGGAAGAAGGGAGGAAGGGGGGTGGGAAAAGGTATCAGGAAGTGCTTCTGTCCCAGGCAGTAGGTGACCAGGGTCAGCTCTGCAACAGCAGGAGCACCATCCTGCTGAGGCATGGACATGCTGAAGTTCAATGCAGAGTTTCTGGGTCTGCAGTCTAGGGGTCTCACCCCACCTTCCCAGGACTCTTATACTTGTATGATCAGAGCTAACCTGCTTCCAGAGGCCAAACTGTGCCCAGCCAAGCTGTAGCACTTAGAACAAGTGCTGGAAAAACAAGCAGAAGTTCCCTCCTGCCACTCAGTGGGATGTAGGACAGCGATTGACCCAGGAGATAATTTCTTTCCTTACAGAGGTCTTTTCATGCAAAGCCTGTTCATTTCTTACCATCTGAAATGCACAGTCTGCCCATTTAGGCAGAGCTGCAACATGAAGATACAACTTGAGAGCTATTGAGCTGAGGCATTACAAATCCAGACATTTATAGGCAATATAAATGTGTGAATGAAAAGCAGCAAATGAAAACCATGATGGAAACTTGTTCTTCAGTATGAGCTTGCAAGAGACAGATACCAGGAAAGATGAAAGCATTGCTCCTAAGGCATATATCTGCAACTTTTCTGATGAAATAATAAACAAATACACTCTTTCCTACTCATCTACCAGGAATTTAACCAAATTTCGTGTAAGATTACAGACCATAAACTGTAATTTGAGGACATTGCAAAACATGAAAAATGCTTGGAATTCAAGGACAGAAACTTTTACCACAGTTCATGGCACTCACTCAAGCTCCTTTTATGACTTTACAATTACTCTTTACAAATGTTATCAGTTCACAACACTCCACAGCTGTGTGATGGAAATTGCAGAAGTACTGGTGGAGCTTCATTGCTTTACATCTGGGAAATGCAGCCTTTAGAAGGAAATGCAGCCTTTGGAAGGAAATGCATCTATCTATTGTACAGATCAAAAGATAAATGAGAAAGATTCTCCAGTTACTTTCAGTTCTGTTTTCTTTGGCTGGAATTTTTGTTTTCCCCATCATGTGTCCAGCCAGAACCCAGGCTAGTAGAATGACATTTCTAAGAAACAGAAGGGAAAGTTGCCACAAGCAAAAGGGACATTCACCAAACACTGCCAGTTTTGAGTAAAATGTGGCACTATTTAAATGAACATTCCTGTGATTGTAAACTTCAGAGATTTTCTTTATAAGAACTGTTCCTCTCAGCCTTGATTTTGGAAGTTGCTAGTGATCATTACTCGGGCTGATACCACAGGAGGCCTGAAGTGTGGAGCATTTTTCAGAAGGCACTGTATACCCATCAAAACAGGGAATACACCCTTCAATCAGAAGAATCAGTGATTGCTACTGAGCAGCCCTGGTTTTATGAGCAGTATCTACTGTTATTTAACTGGGCCAGCCAAAGTGTGAACTATCCACATTATATATTCTGAATCTAACCTACATACATGAATGCCTAATTTTTCCGGGCAGGGAAGAGCAGTGGAACTGGAGAGTGATTGGAGCCAGCCCAGTTGCATTTGCAGAATGTCTGCCCAAAGGTATTAATTCCTTCATCAATATGCTTAACTGCTGTTCACAAATGTGGATGGACTTAAAAAAGGGGCCTGGAGACTATTTTTGCTATCCCCAGACACTCAAGTACTTCATTTGCCAGAAATGAATGTAAAACTAATTCCATTAAATGGCAGCATGAAAGCAGTAGTGAGTGTGCTTCAGCCTCCTTAGCTCCACTGGTGAGTGCTGGGAGCTCTTGTGGTCTGCAGTGGACTGAAACACCACTGAATTCTCAGCAAAGGAAGACCCAGAGGTAGCAGAATGCAAATAAACCAATGGTCTGTGTCAAATAGTAGGGTCAACTGTTCAAGTCTCCCTCTGCCTTAAAAATCTATGAAAACAACAAAAATGAAAATACCTGACACACATCTTGTGGTTATTAGTAATCACAGTATTATTTTTATAGTAGTCTAGATAACGTATTGGCAAATCAGAGATCTGTAGATAAGAACAAAAATCACGTGCCTTTCACTTTCGCCAATATGATTTCTCATAAATGAGGCTGTAACCGGCAGTGGAGCCCAAGATCTGCAAAGCTTTGCCTTGCAAATCCAAGGTCATGTGTTGCTTTTTTCCGTTCTCAAGTGTCTATTGTCTGATCTCATCTATTGTCTGTTTGTAGTTGTTCAAATTGTAGCAGAGCTTCAGCTCTTCAAATGCTCCTGTGTAATATTTGAAATTACTTGAATATAAATGCTTGATGTTTGAAACATCAAAACTCCAAAGGTGCAACCAAAAATGTGCACGTGGTGTCCTGCCAGCTCTGCACAGACACTCTGTGACATTTGCATGAGTCTGAGGCATCATCTGCACTGAACTGATGTCTCCTGGTTGGCTCTTACAGTATTGACAGTTTCTATTTTGAACAAACAAGCACTGATGGCTTTTGCAGTAGAGTGCACTACTGCAAGTCTGGTTTTGTGGGCTTGTCAGGTTTTGAAAATAAGGTGTACTGGGTCTGCATTTATCATTTACTGCTGCTTTTCATGACAAGCTGAAAGCTTGCTAAGTTTTTGGCTTCAATATACTTGGATCCCTGATGAGTCATTTTTTTGGTTGCATTTGAATTTCAAGTCCAAGTTTTGTTGTTTAGTTTGGAAGGCAGCCCTATATAGAGCTGCATTCAGATACAACCATTGTGTTGCACACTATATGCCATTTTCTAGCCTTCTATAAAAATCAAATATTTTCATATGAGTAATCAGTAAATATTTAAATATATTCAGGTAGATATACAGTTGCCTCACTGAAGACTTCACACAACCTTTAGTTTAGTAGAAAGGTCAGCTTACCTGTATATAAAAAGTTACTTTAATATTTCTCCTTGAAGTAGGTCCTTTTCACAGTTTCTTTCTATGTTCCTCTGGTCCTTTGTTCGTTTCCCTGTTTGGTTCATACTGAAGTCTCACTGGAGGAGCTGATTAAAATCTTGCAGCACCAGTAGGTATATTTGCCTTCACAAAAGCTGAGAACTGAGATGCTCATGGATCAGATGCCAGTTATGGCTGTTCAATAACAGTGAATGCTAGCAATAAAATTGTGACCTTCATTCCATTAAATTCATAGTTGACCTTGCATATTCTGGGCTTAGGGGAAAAGAGATGGGTCTAAATTAGAGAGTTTCAGCATAGTGCTTAACATAAGGTGCTGTACAAACTACAAACTAAAACCTGTGATTAAAATTACTTAAATCAAGAGGTGGAGGCAGTTTGTGACATTTTAATGTCAATTTGTATTTTAAAACATGACATTTCCATATGGCTTATAGAGGTCTTTCTAAAATAAAATGATGAGATGTCTTCCTATTGGTTCATGCAGTCTTGTGTCTTTTGACTTTTTTAATAAATTAAAGAACCCTAAGAATGTGAAAACATACTTCATCAATTATACACTAAGTGTTCTGATTTAGGAAGAACTCTGTGATTTAACATGACGTTTTATATCTTCTTCTAGACCTATTAAGAGATAAGTAGGCCTTGTATATTCATATATAAATGTGACTTCCATCTAAAATTACTGCTATTAACATGCCAACATTTTTTCATTCATTCATTCACTCCTGCCAGTAGTTGGGGAGCAGGCTGCTATTTGTGGAGGCTATGGCAGTAAATGCATTCTACATCCAGGCTTGTAAGCACTTCTGGGTTTGAATCTTGCCTTACAGAATACACATCATATAAGAAACTGGAAACTCAAGCTGCTTTTGGTCCCAGTCCACCTATGTACACAAAACCATGTAAGTGCTATTGTTGAGCAGCTTCAAACAAAGTTTCACTGCTGTTGATTTCCTCTTTATATTTTTGCTTTTTCAGTCATTCAGTTGTTTGTTGTGAATCCAGTGTGGTGCTGTAGCTGTGATGTTTTTAGTATAAACAAGATAAAGTTCATAGGGAGAGACAGTATTTTTGACTGGACCTGAGAAAGATCTTGCCTGTATGAAAATTTGACTGTTAGTTAAAAGCGTCTCCCTATTAAGCACCAGAAATTTATTTCATGGATTTTTGAATATTGCCTTGATTATTACAGAATCCTGCCAATGGAATGGCGGTAACTTCTCAGCCTTACTGGCTTCTATGTAGATTTCTATTTGACAACTCAGGCTTTAAGTTTCAGGAAGTAAAATGTCACTCTGCTGCTTGCTGTTCTTTAAGAAAATTATTCTTCTGTCACATTGCTGAATGAACTGGATGCTGACCATGCTAACCAGAGTGTATTTGTGCAAGACCAGCAGCTGCCAAGGGAAGGCACTGTGATCTGTATTCCCCTACCCTGATTATAGGGACTCTCCAGTCTTGTTAAACTTTTGCTAAATATCCAGTTCTTTTAAAAAGTGAAATTCAGTCAAAAAGGTGAGTGACTGAAGTCTCCTAGCTACTGGTCCAGCTTCAGTCAGGATGAAGACCTAATGCTTTGTATACCATTCATGTTTCCTGTTTAAAGAGATCTTTTTCTTGTGCAGGAGTTTGAACAAGCCCATCTGGAAGCCAGCTCTGCAGACCATTTCCAGAGCAGCAAACAATACTGGTAAAGACTGATTCATTCATTTTTTTCTTTAATCGTGTTATATTCCTATTCCATAGAACACTGATTTATTTAATTTACACGCCAGCATTTATATACCATGGAAAGAAACCAACAGGTGACACCCACTTCTGCAGAACACAACTACAGTTCTCTAATTATTTCCTCTAAGTATTCTCTGTAAATGAAATGAGTCAGCTAAGCAGGACAGCATTGCCCTTTTTACAGCCTGCAGGCCCCATGGCAGGGATGTGTGGTGAGTGACAGGAACTGGTTAAGTCTGCATGCCAGTGGGAGCAGTGAAATAATTTCTCATGCTGAGGCTGCCTGTACAAGCTGAGGTTTCCCCCCCACTCTCTGAGGAGATTCTGTTTTTCCTCTCCACACACTGGGTGCAGCTGGCAGCTCCTGGCAGCTACAGGAAGTCTCTTGCCATAATCCACCGCAGATTCCACTGAGCACAAGCTCACATGTGATGCAGAGCATCTATATTAGGTTCTAAAAGAAAAAGAGCACTGGGGATGCCTTGCTAATGCTTTGGTTGATGGTATTTGCCACAAAATTAGGTCACCATATCTTAGAGTGATTCCTCTGTCACTCTAAGTGCAGGTTTTGGCTTGATGAGACCATGGGAGAGGCCAGACTCTTCTTCTTGTTGTAAGTAATGAGGTTCTGATGTCTGTTGCTCACATTTACCTGCCCTGTCCAAGTCACATCTAAAATACCACTTATTCAGAGCCACCTCCTAATGAAAACCTTGGCAGGTTGCACCTAGAGTTCTCCATATGCCTTTGCTGGCTCCAGGTCTTTTGAAATTCCTGGTCAAACACAATTTAGTATCCATCTGCCAGACTGCTCTGCCCCAAAGCACAAATTACAAGCAGCTGATGCTCATGTTAGGAATGTAAATACAACTGACTTCCAACCCACTAATCCATTAATTTCAACTCATTGATCCATTAGTTTCAAATCATTAATTAAATTCAGTGATGATGAGATAGTCTAAAAACAAAAAAAAAAACCTTGAAGGATGTTTTTCCAGACTTAGTCAATATGCCCACACTGTATCTTTTATGCAATACAAAACAAACACCAGGAAGAATGGAATTTTATATTCTTGTGTTTGTGTTGTATTGTTCTGTGTGCAAGGTAAGAAAATAAGTCTAAATTAGGACAGATCTCTTAAAGGTCAAATATGAATACCAGGGAAAGGAAGACAGTCTCAGAACCCTCACTTGCAGAGTAATTATTGCAAAGATTGTTTTCACATCTTCCTTCAGTGATGCTGAGCTCCCATGTGCTGCTTCCTTTTTCTGCATGAGGATATGAAAGGCTCAATCATATCATTTGCAGTTTACTCTGTGACTGTGGGCAGGCATTGTTGCTGGAGATGCCAGAATAGAGAAGGTGTTGGCCTGCTCCAGTCACATCCTCTGAGTTCTGAATCCTCTCAATCCTATGAGTTTCTGTGAGTTTCTGGGCTGACCAGAGACAAGTGTTTTTTTACAGATCTGTTTTATGGGTATTTGTGGGCCATTCAGACATTACCATTATGATCATTTATTTTTCAGCTCCACACTTTGTGACTTTTCTTGCAGTCAGCTGTGGAGCTCCTAGCTAGATCTATTTCTAAAGCAAGTGCATACAAAATACTAAAAATAAAATTTAAAAAAACCCCAAATTTATGATTACTTGGATTCCAAATCCTAGAAAAAAAATTTAAAATTTGTTTGAAATCCATTTCGTAACTTCTCAGTACTAGGAAAGAGAAATAAAATTGAAGAACCTGTTCTGTACACATTGGCCAATGGACTGGAAAGAAGGATTTTTAAAAACTCTTTCATGTATAATGAAAGGCTGTAAAAGATCAGACTTCCTGGCCAAGGGAAAGAAGGATTTTTCTGCTTCTGTAATATCAGCCTTTTAGCAAAATTAGGGAGAGAAGCAGGGAATTGCTTCCATTTTAAGTAGTACCGTCAGTGGCAGCACAAAAAAAGTCTGAGCTCGACAGAAAATTTCAAGTTGCTGCTTCTTTGGAAATCTCTTTTCACAGAGATCTGGGGTCAAATTCTTTTCTAAGCTCTCTTGGCACCATACCAACAAAACCCTGCCAGTGTAATTGAGGGAGCCCTGACTCCTGCTCTCATCTGGACTGTGCTGTCTAGGTGTAGTCTGACCTTTCTTCACCCACACTGTGACCATCTCATGTGTGTGTTAGCCTGAGGAATAATGTCCTTGAGGATTGCTTTGAAGTGAGGTGCATATTGTAATAGCAGGCAGGAAATTGATTCCTTCTCTTTTAATCCGTACAAACCAAAACTCTCGCATTCCGTGCTCTCAAAAAATCTGCTCATGTTTAATCCAGTGTAAATTAGTGCCTGCCTACCACCAACTCTGTGCCTTTTCCAGCTGTGTGCTGAGCTTCCTCTGCTACCCTTAAATCAGAGGATGACACTGTGGGGTCACCTCCAGACCAGTCTGTTGAGGCCTCAGACGTTTTCCCTGCAGCTGCAGAACGTGTCTGTGCTGAGCTGCACCAGGTCTTGGGGAAGAGCTTTGCAGATAGTTCAGCATAACTGTGCATTTTACTGAAAGATAAGGATTTTCTGGTTTAGGAAAACAAATCCATTTCTTGATGCAGGTTGCCAGTGCTTTTGCCCTTCTTATAACACCGTTTCTTGAAGGCAAATCTTTTAAAAGGGACCTTTTAGTCTCTCCTGAAGATTACACTCTTGTAGGGGTCTTGCCTTGATCTGTAGATTTAATGGCTTAATAAGCATTAGACACTCCTATTATGCAGTAACAAATAGGAATACAATACTTTTATCAATATTTGGCACAATTAATTTTTTTTTTATGTGAAACTAAATATTGATGCTGTCAAGTGACTGCAGCTTAAGGGCATAAATTACAAATATTCTCCTGTGAGCCTTGCTCAAATCGTGCATTCATATACAGGAACCATCTAATGTCTTTCTATTCCTGTAAGCTATATGATTTGATTGCCAGATTACATGATTCTGTATTGTGCTTAGATGTCAGTGTTTTTATTGTTATTACCAATATTATGTTTTATTCTTACTGTAAGTGGTAACAAAAAATTAACTGCTTCCTTACACTATAAAAAGAATACGGTCCCATTTACAGAATGTCTCCAAACAGAAAATATATTTGGAAAGGAAAAAGACCTGAATAAATAATTCACAACATGATGGGTGAGTAGGTAAAAAGGTCTTTTGATGTATTTTGCTACTCAGGAAAAACCAGATTTTTAAAATAAAGTAACTGCCTATTTTAATGGAGAACAAAAGCTCTTCTAAAGAAGAATGATTGCAATCAGTGTATTTTTACCCATTCTGCACTTTTGTAGGTAATAGGACTTGTGAAAGTAATGAAGCCATCCCTTTGGTTTTCCTGATTCTTGTCTTTGTTCCATCCTCCTGTTTCTTCATTAGCTTATTTCTTGGCTTATTTTCTAAATGAAATGTCAACCCACCCGTCCAAAAGAAACCATAACATTTCAAGAATACCAGACTGCAGCAAAGTGAACTAGCCTGTCGGTAATATAAACAGACAGTAAATAAATTGGTTAAAGACTTGGAATTCAAGTCTCCCATAATTAAACTGCCCATGGTTTCAGTGCATTATGCTCCGGATTTCCCCAGAAGAGCATCCCTGGGAAAATCAGCAAGTGCATTTTCCTGTTTTCTCACGAAACCGGAGCTCCCTCAACTCGCACGTAAACGCCGCGGCCCGGTGCCGCTAAGCAGGGGGGGGGCCGGGCTGGCTCCGGCAGGGGCCGGGGGCAGCGCCCAGCGGCACCCTCGGCTCGAACCAGCACCGAGCCCAGCTCACACTGCCTTTTGCACGAAGGGGGCCGTTCCTGAACTGGAACCAGGCAAAATGACGGCCACTCAGGCTCTGGGCTGATCCAGGTGAGGGGCGCTGGCACACGGTGCAGCCGAGGGCGACGGGGCGGGTGAACCGGCGGGGGCACCCCCTGCGCTCCGCACCCTGACAGCCCCGCACGGCAGCTCCCGTTCCGCGCAGGCCGCTCCGCAGCCGGAGCGCTGCCGCCGCCCAGGGGCGGGGCCGCCCTTGCGCTTCCCGCCCTCAGCGGCTGCGCGCCCTCAGCGGCTGCGCGCCCTCAGCATGGCCGGGGCGGCGCTGGGCCCGCCGGGCCCGCCGGTGAAGGTGCTGGCGGCGCAGCTGCGGCGGGCGGAGCGCGGCGCGGGCGGCACCTGGGAGCTGCGGCGGGCGGCGGCGGGGCGGGCTCCGCTGGCCCTGCGGGCCGTGTGGATGCAGGGCACCGTGCTCGAGGTGCAGCGCGGCGCCGAAGGCGGCACGGCCCGGCTGCAGGACGGCAGCGGCGCCTTCACCGTGCTGGGCGTGGAGCAGGTGCCGCAGGGCCGGCCGTGCCTCAGCGCAGGTACCGCGGGCCGGGGTCCCCCGCGGGCAGCGGGCCCCGTCCCTGTCCCTGCCCGTGCCCGTTCTAACGCGGTTCGGCTCATCCCAGGCCCGGCCGCCGTGCTTGGCCCCCTGCAGGAGGCCCTGAACAAGGAGAGAGATTCTTCTCCTATTTTTCTTTTCGCTATCTTGCTTTCTTTTCCTTCTTTTTCCTTGACCAGAACTGCCCGTTCAAATGGAGAAGTGTTGGTCTGCAGTATTGCAGAAACTGTGGTACAAAACAGGCCCGTTGCTTAAAACTTCAGTCCTCTGACCTATCCTCAGTCCACTCACACACCAGGATAAATTTGTGGTTTTTTGGCTCTTAACTCTATGTGGAAATATAGTTGAATGTGCCGTAGAAGTGATTGTACAGATAACAAAGCCTTTTTCTGAAATTTAGTTCTAAGCAATCGTCATTCCTTGAGTTTTCTTTCAAGTATTAGCATCTTCAATTTGCACCGTTTACTTGGCTTTAAGTAGTTTGGCTTATGAATTTAAATGATAATACAAAGGTTAATGAAATGTAATGCTTACTTGTTTTTTAGGGAAGTATGTAATGGTGATGGGTGTGGTGCGGTCCTGCAGTCCGGAGCCCATTCTTCGAGCAATAAAGATGACAGATCTCTCTGAAAACCCCATTCATAAGAATATGTGGAACCTTGAAGTGGAGGATTTGCACAGAGTCATTCCCTAATACTTTTACTTTCTGCCTAAAAGAACTGGAAATTTGTTTTCTTTTGCTTTTTGGTGCAGAACATTGGACTATTCTGTGTAACCGCTCCTGGAGTAAACCAGTGAGAAGCTGGGCTCAGTGAAACGTAGGGACCAATGCTTATCTGATAATAATCACAGTTCATGTCTCCCAGTGTTTTTATACCAACGTTTGAGCAGTGCCTATTTGATGTTTTGATGAAGATGTCCATGCCATTAAAAAGGCTGTATGTTTGTTTCTGTGTGTGATAGCTGCTGTCTGGGGGGGCTCGTGTTGAGGCAGGTGTTTTACAGCAGGGTGTTCATGGCAGCAAGGGCTGCACAGCACTCGTGCTACCAGGGTGAACTCAGTACCTGGCATCAAGCCAAAATGTGTTTCAATCCATTCAGGCTGTGCTTGGAAAGAATTGTTTTCACCTGTGTTTTCTATTTCAGTAATCACCATGTTTGTAAACTGCTTGTAAGACAGGTGTCTCTTGGTAACAATTAGCAGTGTCTTGTACTTAAAATACCTCTCTAGTTTCTGAAGTACTGAAAGTGGTAATGACCCCTCTGTTCCAGTGAAGTGAATGAAAAGATGTGATGCTGGATTCCTTGGAATAGATTCTCCAGGTGCAAGATGTAAATTCTTTTTACCTCCAGAAACAAGTGTTCTATCCCTAAGTGCATTTTTCTTTTTGAAGGTTTTTTTTTCTTCCAGTGTATGCTATTTTTGTTATTTTTAACATTCGAAATTGTATTCTATTCTTATAATTCCTTTTCTGAAAAAATCAAACTGTGAAATCACATCCAGAAACTTAAAAAGTAGAAATGTTACTACTATTTATTTTCCATCTTGTCTAAAGAGAATTTGGGTCCTGACAAATGCATTGGAGTATCTGTGTGGAATGGCTTTGTGATTGGGGACTGTATTGTCCAGCAATAGAGTTATGTTAATTAGGAATGCATGTTGGAAGAGAAGAGACTCTGATTGAATGCTCTACAATTGAGGATGAAAATCAAATTGTGGTAATTAAATTTTTTAATTGTGGGACTAGGTTTTCAAAGCATGTGGAAATTAACTAGCACCCTTTAAAGATCTGAGTTCTTTGCAGGCTAAGGGCTGGATTTCAGAGTACAATTCCAGTCCTGAGTTTGGTGTTCCAAACCAGATCACATCACAGGCAGCTGGATAGTGGAAGTCCTGTGCTCTTGAGATCCTGCTGATGAAATGCCAAGGCATACAAAGATAAAGACTTTTGGCAGTCTGGGTTTATTCATTGTTTATAATTCTGGAAAAAATCTGCTTGTGGAGTGCTGTAGCCTTCAGAAATAATTCATGTGACTGCCCTATTGGCTGGTGACTAGTTCATATTAAAAATTATTTTCCTAGGAGTTCAAAGCAAAAGACACTTGTAGCCAGGGTGAATGTTGTATTTCTAAACAAAAGGCTGCTGGAGATTGCTTTGACTCCCAGCTCTGTTGTACTTCACCTAGTGAGAGGCTGATGGTGGCTGTTTAAGGCTGGGCTGAAGGGCCTTATTTCTGGGTACTGAGAAGTCTTGCCTTTTCCTCATCTTGTGTCTCAAATTCTTCAGTTAGAACATGAGTTTGTGATTTTTGTTGCTGTTGCACAGCAGAATATGTAACTGAGGAGTTGCAGGATAAGGGGCTTCTGTAGCCCTGTGTTGAGGAGGAGGTCAAAGCTGAGCTCTTGTTACATGTGTTTTGGGGTTGGTGTAATGTGTTGAAATTCTGTGAACTTTATAGATCGTGGGGTTCTCTATAAAGGACATGTTGGAGGTGAGTTGTAAGCACTAAAGCTGCACTGGGAAGCACCACTGGAGCTGTGTGTGCTCTGCAGGGACAGCTGGTGTGGGCAGGTGTGCTCAGAGTACCCTCACAGCAGCAGTTAGGGCAGGAATTCCTGGGTGTGGTGTGGTGGGGAGACCCATGAGATAGGCAGTGCATGGTATGTGTTTGCCATATAACATATTTATATACTGCATGATGCAGCTGAGGCATAAACAGTTGCATTACTTCAGTCAAGGTGTTCAATAACGTGCTGTGTTGCCAGTAGTTATCTACTAAAAGTTTAGTCCTGGTAAAGAAAGCCAGGGCTAGTGCAGAGATAAAAGGCAGTTTTGAAGTACTGAAGCTGATGGATTGATCTGATAAATGCTTCAGTCAAACCTTTCCAAGGTGATTCTTCTCCAGAGGTTCACATCCATGAGAAATCACAAAGATCTCTCAGTTGGCCCAAGGGCTGTTTGGTGGCAGGTGGCAACTGCCCTGCAGGGACACTGCTGTCCCTCTCTGCAGGGACACCTGGAATGGGCTTCCCCACATCCCCCTGTCTCTCTGCTGTTGTGTTTGCTGATAGGAGCTGCCATCTCTCTCTCTCCTCTGTTAGGCAGGAGGGTGATGTGTGGGCTCCATTTTTTAATTCCCTAGGTGAGACATTACCGTGCAGTAAATAAGGCATAGTTTAAAAGTCTGGCTGGATGGTTTTAGTGGTTCATTAAAAGGTTTACACAGTTCAGTCAAAGAACCCTGTGGCCTGTGACACTGCTGTGTTTGTGGCAGGTATTTGGTGAACAGAGCATTTGCCTTTGCATTAACAGCAGAGACAGGGAGGAAAGGCACAGCTCCCAGTGCAGAAACATGGATATAATGCTTTATTTATGGCAGCTGTGATTCAGTGCTAAGCTCCAATTATGAACATGACCTGGAACATTTCATTTAAGTGTGGGGTCTTTTGGAGTAGTTTGGTTTTTTTGGGTTTTTTTTTTCCCTCACCCCTGATGGTGGCTCTGTTAGCCCTGCTCTGTTCAGGTGATGTCTCATACATGCCCTGTGTGCAGGCAGGTGCCCTGGGTCAGTGGGGTGTCCAGCCCAGCCCATGGGGTCAGCAGGGTTTCCAGCCCAGCCCTGTGCATGTGGAGAACCTAGGAACTGCTCAGAGATACCCAACACTGGACTGAGTGACATGGCTGCAGTTAAAAATGTTTATTGGTGGTTAAATGGCTTCTTTATTACGAGTGATAAGTTATCTGCAGCTTTTAGAGGAGACCTGGTGTCTGCAGCCAGCTCAGTGTTGTCTGCAGTTAAGATTTAGTTAAATTTCTGTATTTCTGTATTGCTGACTGAGCTCTTCTCAATCTTTTCCTCTACTTGCTGATATTTTTCTTTGTTTCTGAAACTGTCACCACAGGACATTTTTCAGAGATGCTTGGTGTGCTTAGCTAGGGGGTGAAGAGACATTCAGTGACTGGGGAGAAAATTATGTGTTTTTTTTAATCAGTAACTGGTATAAATATTCTGTAGTTTCCAGAAATACTTATTACTATTTTGGCTTTTTACAAGAGTGCAGGTATAAAATTATTACAGAGGAATATTTGATTTCTAGCATCTGATGTGTGTGGGAATGCTAAAAATTGCAGGAGTTTTTCCTGACTAGTGTAGGAATCATGTTTTCATTTGTATCAAGCTAGAGAGTAAATGTTCAGAAAGCGAGTGCAGCTGCAAGCAGCACACACAAGATAAGAGGCAGCTGCTTGCTTTTTCTGTGAGCCAAACCCAGCCAGTGCCAACTCTCTACAGAGGTCGGTGCAACTTTGTTGTTACAAATAATCAATAAAAATGTACTCCAGCGTAAAACTAAGGCAGTCAGATGTTTATTAGCATGATGTCAGAGTACCAAACACCATTATTTCAATGTTTGCATATTACGCAAACATTGCATTTGCAGCGTTACCTTTCACCAAGGAATGGCTGCATTCCAGGCACTGTGTGGAGAAAGGTGATGCAATTTTTAAATCAAGTGACCTACAACACAAAAAGGGATTCACCATGTGTGAGACACACAAGAGCAGCAATAACACCCTAAGGTTACTTCATGGGTAGGGGTAGATATTGGTCACCTTTACCCAACGCATCAACTGACAAGGGGTTTACAAAGAGAAAATGTGAAACTGGTGCACAGAAACCAAGAAGGCTGTTTCTCATTTAACAATGTGTACATTAATAAGGAAAAAATCAACCAGCATAAAAATAAGAAAATTGTTAACTGCTTTCCATTATTTACCCATCTTATTTCTATCTTAGCCTTCTTGTGTGTTGGAGCACTTCCCTGGAAAAGATAGATAACTTTCTCCAGAACCGCTGAACGGTGGAGTTTCATTTCTGGAGAAAAAGAAGTCAGCAATCTCTGCTGACTCTAGGCTGTTGATGCTGCTTTTACAAAGTAGTCCACTTGTACTAATCTGAGCTGGAAGAGAGCTTTTCTCAGCTTTTCAGTGTATTTGTGCTATGGTTCAAGGCTTGTGGAGAGGCAATTTTGCCACCGAATGGGAGAATTTTTTTAGAGTAACTGATACTTTCTTGTCAGATTTCTTCTGGTTGATTATAGTTTCTTGTCAATATACTGAAATAATTTCTCTTGCCCTCAGGGGTTCTCGGTAGAAATCTTTCCTTTTATACCTTATATACTTCACTATATTCACAGTTAACACTAATGCATTCACACTTCTACTGTTCTCTCCCTGTTCTTGCCTCTAGCTTGTCTGCCTAAAATAACTGTTCTGGTTTGGGTGCTGAAAGGGTTCTTCCATCTTCAGGGCTGCTATCTGCCATTCAGAACTGGCTCGAGCTGAAATGAAGAGATGAACTCCAGGTAAGTGATAAGTAAGTATGAATCACATGTAATGCAAGTTCTCATTACAGTGAAATACAAAAAAAAATCTCTGAAGGGAAAATAGCATCAGATATATTTATGACATCAAAACACTGTGGGGAAAGTACTCCAGCATTGTAGATGCAGTTTTATCTTAGATTGCTAAACCGAAATAAAGATGTAAGGTTCTCTCATGTTTGATAAATTCACATTTAGGAGAAAAAGGGCAGCATTATTTGTAAAGTTTATGAGGTCTGAGTAGTTCAGCTATTTCAGTGGAAGATCCTTGACAAGCATGAATTTCTAGGAAATAGTGCAGAGGTTGTTTCTGCTGACAGCCACTTTCTGTTTTGCTGTCGTGACTGTTGTTGGTTATCAGTTACTGTGTGTGAGTAACCCAACCATTACAGACTCTTTCATGTGTCAAACCTAATTCTCCCTTTGTTTGGTCTGTTCAGCTTCCTTCTCTTTAGAGTGTTTACATGTTTAGAGACTTAACTCATGTCTTTCCTCAGCCCTTCCATTTTTTCCCCAGGACTGTTCTCAACTGGTTCACAATTTAAGTAAAACAGGGTGTCCAAAAGTGGATATATGAAATAAGCTAAATAGATAAAAAGTATTTCTTGTCTTCAATGTGTTGATTCATGTGTACATCCCCAATGTATTTTGCTTCTTTATTAGCATGTTCTCGTTAACTGAGATTGTGGTCCGCCTTCATTCCAGTCCTTTTCCTCAGAAATGGGACAATGCAAACTAGCAGCACTAGCTGACTGCAATCATTCAGCTACCAAGCTATTCTAAAACTTTATTTTCAACTGAATATTCTGTCAACTCAGATTTCACAAAATTTGTCTCAGTATTTCATATTCATATGTTGAAGAGTTTTTGTAACTGCTGGAGCTAAAACCACTTGCTGCCTACAAGCTGCTGCCCAGAAATGCCCTGATCATCCACTGCTTAGGAGCTGAGTGACCTGAACAGCTCAGGCAGATACTGACAGGCAATGTTGTTTCTGTGTGTGGGAGTGTGATGTGATGCTCTTACAGACACAGTGAGTGTTCTTATTCTAGGTTTTTATTTTATGGCAAACAAACCCACCTGCAAATACTACTCCCTTCCTTAATGGGTAAGAAATCAAGTAATAATTGTAAATTTTTCAAGGCATACTACAAATGGGTTTATAGTCACCAAATCAGTCCTTTGAGATAGTAGTGAGTTTACAAATGCAAATAAATAATGCTTCAATACATATATTAACAAACTCCACCCTCTTCTCATTACTAAGCCTTAGCAAAGCATGGAGCATAAAATGAGTAAACCCAAGTGCTTAATTTCAAGCAAAAGCATAATTAGCTCTTCTGCATGATTCTGCCATTTATTTAGGGTAAATGTTTCCATTGCAGTCTTGTAAAAATTCAGTGAGTTACTACTTGGGCAAGAGTATCAATAATGGAACTCCAGTTAGCAACACACATGGCTCCAGTCACTTTTGGAATACACAAATTGGCACTATAACTACAGAAGTGGGAAAGGATTGTAATTATAAAAATTTCAAGCAAGTGCTACTGCTCTATTCAGGCTTTTCATCTTCCTTGGCTATATTCCAGGAATCCACTTAACAATGCAGTCTGGATGACAGCTGCATTAAAACACAAGTATTGATAATCTGGATATTCCAGGTTGAAAAGATAGATAAATTTCATTATTAGATACTGAAAAGTACAAAAATAAGTCCCTGAGTATTTTGTATTGTTGTTAAAATGAATCCAAATGCACTATTGAGACCAAAAAAAGATGGAAGCAGAAACAGTATCCAAGAGGAGGAGCTCAGTATTCTGCAGGTACTTCTGCCTCTGTTGCACAGCACATGAGGACAACATTAGAAAGGCAGTAGAGGGTGTGCAGTGGATGGGCTCTGGTGTGCTCGTGAGCGAGCAGCAGGAAGGGGAGGTAGCCAAGAGGCAAGAAGAGCATTTCTGGGAATAGGATCAGTTTTGCTCATGGCCACAGTCAGGTCCATTAGTTTTATTTTCTTGTGTGTTCTTGCATCAGAGACATGTAAGTACTGGAGCAATGCAGTCAGAATATTCAGGGTGATGAAAGAAATGAAACTTACCACTGTGGAGGGATTTCCACAGGGACAAAATTCCGGTTGCACAAATGAACAAAAGCTGCTGCCAAACTGCAGGCAGCCCCCAGGGCCGGGGAGTCACAGGTGTCCTGTGTGCACATGGTGTAGAATGGCTCGGGCTCCACCTGGGCACAAAGGGAGGGGTTAGGGGGGGACCTGCAGGAAAACCCAGAGGTTTGGGTTGTGTCCCCTCCCCCCTGCCTGGTTAGGACCATTCATAAACCTTTATTTCCTTCCTAATGGTGAGGAGGTTATTTCTCTTTCCAAATTCTAGACCTGTACCCTAAAGAGCAATGCAGTCACGCCACTACTCTGTGGATGTCAAAAAACTGCATTTATATTTATAATGATAAAAACACCTTTTCTGTCTGGATTGCTGTTTTGATTACTTCTAAAGTTCTCTGCAACTGAACTTCTATATCCTTGCAATGGTTATGTGACCTCCTTGGAAGTATGACACATAATTGAGACATTGCTTCTGGCTGAAGTTCTACTTACAACTTTGAAGCAGTTCCTAAGAAGTGAATGTGGTTCTTCAAAGAACACTTTGCAGATGTTTTGCTTAGCTGTAATTGGGCATGGCTTCTCTTTCTTCTGTACATGACTGCACTTATTCACCTGGGAAAACAGAATTACTGAAGTTGGTGTATTTTGGGGTTTTTTTGCACATCAGGGTAGGATGAGTTCTCCAGATTTCCAGTGTGAGCTGGTTTGAAGGGCAATATGGGCAGCTCAGTACCCTGCTCTAATGTTTATTGTTCATTAATATTGAAAGGCACCTCACAGATTAGATCTTGTTTCCTTTTGCTATTGATTCTGTTATTCACTGAAGGATTTTGGTGTGTAGTTGCTGACATAGCAGGTAGTTGGCTAGTTCTGTTTTGTATAGGTCTGACAGGTCAAAGTTGTGCTTTTACAAGATATTTCTCATGGAGAAAAGAAAAGCTTCATACCCTTGCTGGATTACTCATAGGTAAAGGTGGCTTTAAAAAAAAGAACAGTAAAACCACACCACCAAGAAGTTCTTTAAGCAAGTGTAAACTGTAGTTAACTTTACTTCCTAAGGAAAATGAACTGGCAGTTTACTCTGTGCCAACCCTCATCCTGCAGGAGTCACTCAGTCACTTCCTGTTGTGCAGCCTTGGCCCTGTGATGGTGGAGCTCTGCTGACGTCCTTTGCAGGGTCAGTGCATGACAGAGGCTGTGATAAAGCTCCTGGGAACAAGCTGCAGTCAGAGTTCACAGTGCAGTGTGAGCCCTTCCAATCAATAGGGCAGCCATTCTGCCCCTCTGGGCACTCGGGACTGCCCTGCTTCTGTATCACCCTAAGTTTGTTATTTATTGTTTTTAATTGATTCTTTTGTTCAATGTCTCTGGGGAGTTTTGTATTTTTATGATTATATTAGAAGTTAATATTTATAGCAATAAAAAAAATTGTGCCTATGGTCAGTCAAGTCACATTGGGATCCTGCCCCATTATCATAAACATAGGCTGCAAGCTCATTAACTGTATCTCTGCCACAGCAAGGTACTTGAAGCAATTCTCTCTTTTACAGTAAAGTACTGACTGAAAATGAGATTTCTGCTCCCAGAACTGAGACATCTGTGAGACAGGTTAAATGGAAGAGTGACAAAATCTTTGTGGTAGTAAGATGCTGGTTCCTTTTCTTTTTGGCAATAGATTCTTAAAATTAGATTTGGAAGGGATTTAGAGCATCCTGTCAACATGACTTGAGAGCATGTTAAGGCTACTTTACTTGGTAGGTTGCACTCACAAATGGTTCTGTACAACTGCACGTTTGTGTATTTAGATGATTTGCAGCTGATGACAGAATACATGAACTAAGCAGAGCTATAATGGTACTGGTATAAAATTGTTACAACATTTATTTATGGTAGTTATAGGAGTCTTTTTATGCAAGTCAGTAACTGACAGCAGCAGCTAACCTTCCAAAAAGGTCTGAATACTTAGTGGTGTGGGGATGGAGAACAAATTTGCTTTCAAATACTTACAGATTTGTTTCTAAAGTTTTGTTTATTGATGAGATGTAAAGCATGAGAACAAAGAAAATTAAGAGGCTCAATATACCCAGCTAGAACTAACAGCTCTGAAGAAAACTTCAGTGATGAATGTACAGATTTAGACCAGACCTAGTAGCCCCTGTCCTTGCATTCCAGGAGAGGCTGCTCTAAGGAGGAAAACATCAAAGATACTTAGCTCCAATATCCGTTTCTTCTAAAATCAGCAACAGCCACCTCTATGTTTTACCTTAGTACCTAGGCCAAAAATATTCAATGCCTATTTGTAGGGATTTCTTGAACAGTTTTTAGCAAATATGTGCAACCTTTTCCCTGGCTAGACACAGCAAAACAATGCAGTGTGCTGCTGTTTTCACTGTTGAGCTTTGGTTCATCTAAGGCAGCCCAGCGTGTCAGACAGTGCCCTCTGGCAGCAGCCCTGCACGCAGGAGCCCCTCAGCTCCTTACCTGCCAGCTCTGGGTGAACTCTCTCACGTTGTCAGTGAAGGAACCATTAGGCACCATCCATTCATTTCCAGCTTCATTGTCATTGGTACCAAAAAGCCCAGCTGAAACACCTGGGAGAAAATTGAAATGCAGTAAAATAGGAATTGTCAGGAGTAGGTGCAGGACTATTACAGCACCTGTCTCTGGGCTCTGATTATTCTGCCAGCAGGTTCAGCTCTGTTGTGGAGGAGCTGCCCAGCCTGCATTGTCATCTTGTATCTCAGCTGCTCATGGGCTCCTGAGCACATCACAGCATCACATCCCTTCTCTGCTAATCTTTGGAGGGTGACTTTTACAATAATGTAGGGTACATGGATGCTACAGGAATACATTCCAAGTATACAAAAAACTCTGTGAGGTTTTGGGCCTCCCTCTGTAGTTGTCTTGCAGGTCTAGAGCTGCTCTAGAGCAGATTTCAGCCAGGTTTTGGGGCTGGGCTGACTGCAGTGCCTCTGATTTCTATCTGCTTTATAGCATTGAATCAGCAGTAACCCAGAACTTGCTCTTCTCCCTGGAATGGTGCATTCCATGCTCTATTTGGCAATTACTGGGAATGCTTAGGGCCATTTCCAGGGTGTAAGGGGAGAAAAAAAAGTGAAAGCACAGATGCTGGTACTACCAGTAATACAGATAATTCAGAGAGATAGCAAAATGACTAACAGCTGCATGATTGATGCTCACCATGGTGCCACCCAGCCAGAGTGACAGTACAGAGATCATACTGAAAGTCACAGGAGACAGAAACTCCTTTCTGATCAGATACTTCTATTTTGTTGATTCCTTGCCTTGAATTCATGGTACTGTTTTCAGGGGATTGATCCAGGACTTGGCAGTTCTCTTCCATAAGGGAGAAGTTATACATCTTGGATATCTGTTTTAAATGAAAATGCAGTTTCACACCTGTCATAGGGAAAGTTCAGTCACAGGCAAGCACAGTGAATTTGCAGGTGCAATGAGACAACTTAGTCCAGAATTCAGGGAATAAGAGCAGGGCTGTGTTAAACTTCTGAAAGAGCAAAAAGCACAAAGTCTCCCTCTCAGTGCCATTCTCTTAGACCATGTCAGAGGGAAGTTGAAAAGTTTCTGTCATATACAGACAGCAAAGAGGCAGCCCTTGAGGTAAACTGGTTTTGTTTTGGAGAGGTGTTTTCTTTTTAAGAAGCTGTTACTTTAAAGCCATTGGCTGAGAGTGCTTCTGATCTATATTTTGAGCATTAATATTTTAAAAACTTTTTTTGTCAGCTGAAGAAAATTTTTGCCAAAAATAAAAAATGTTTGACTTGATCTTCCTACCTTTAGTCGTGGGTAGATGGTGATCACAGTCTGATTCATCTCCACATACAGTGATCTGGAGTTCCTGGTTTCCTCATTTAGTATTATAGTGAAAGCACTGTGAACAAAATCCTTGGCAAGAAGAACACTGCACTTTGATGCCAAATCATACATTTTTCCATCAAAAGTCACAAGATGCTTACTCCCAACTATCATTGCATGATCTGGAGAATGGTATTTCAGAAGAAACATCAGTGAGTTTTCCACAGAGCAGTAAATGCTGCACATAATGCAACACACAGCTTCTTGCTGTCATACTCTTAAAATAATTTCTCAACTTATTATTACAGTGACATTACTACACTTAAAATTTAATTAGTTACAATGTAGTTGCTCTGCAAAAAAAAAACTTTTCTCAGAAACAAAACAATGTAATGATTAATTTTTTGTTGTAGATTTACCTGAGTACCATAAAACTCTGATAAACTTGAACTGGGATTCAGAGCTTATCTTGATTGTCATTGTAGTACTTGACAGTCATATTTATAAACACACACACATTATACATTCTTATGCAGAAAACACAAGAATATTAATTCTCAAAAATTGTCTCTAAAAATGACCCTTCTAAATCAGTGCATCAAACAGCTGCAATCCAGGAAACCCTGCTGATAGATGACTCAGATTATTGGGTCACTAGGAGCTGCTTTCACAGCCCTTTGTTGGGTCTCTCTGTACTGGGAGGAAACCATTAAAAAGGGATTTCTGGAAAAGGCATTCTCTCTAAGGGACAGTTGGGACTGTTAGTACATTCCTGTAGCATGTAGCAATACTTTTACAGGCAGTACTGTGGATGAAGCTTTAGTAGGGCTGAGCTTGCTCATCCTAGAGGCAGCAGAGCTGAAGTTTCCAAGCCTTTGTGCCAAGGACACAGAGCCAGCAGGTGAGAGTGGCAGTGAACCATAGCATCAGCTCACAAGGGCATATGGATAAGGCAGATAAATAGCACCTGCTGTTTCTAGTCTCCAGAGTAGGAGGTGTAGAGTTACAAAATTTGCATGAATATTAAGTAGAGCAGTGTTACTGCCTGCCAGCTTTGCCCAGAGTGTTGATCTTCTACATATCATCTTACAAGAGTATATGTAAGGTGGTAAGAAAATTATTAATTAGTGACCATCTCTATGTAAACTCCTATCCCAGATACAATTTTTAGAATACAGTACTATACAGTGGAAATAGACCCAGGTACAAAAGAAAGCAGCACTTTGAAAGGGCTTACATTCAAAGGGGCTCTCCATCATCCTCCTCTTGATTCTGTAGTACTCTGCAAGGATGTTGAGATTGTAAAGGTCTTGCAGAGGCCTCATCAGTTTTTCTCCAATGAGGTAAGTGGTAATGTTTGCCAGCTGCAGGGACCGGTCTGCTTTAGGTAGTACTGGCAGCTTTCCTGCCACTGAACAGTTCCTGTAGAATACAAAGAATTCCTGTAGAATACAAATACTTATCTGCTGAACTGATGAAATGCCGTTGTTTTATTATTAGACATGTTGAAGTAAAATATTCATAAGAACAGTAGTCTGGTTAGAACAACAAAAACAACCCTCCTCTGGCCAGGAGCTGCACTTCCCCAGGTCACCTCAGGCCAGTTATCAGTTACTGATACCCTGCTTGCTGCCCAGTAGCTCCTTTCAAACACAGTGGGTCTGGCAGCCCACAGCAATAAACATTAGGATGTGATGTGACCAAAGCAAAGAGTGGTTGGGTGGCTGTCCAGAACCCTCAGCTGCACACTGACCTGAAGAGTAACTATGCACACATCCTTTTGGAGCACTGCCCAGAGCAGGGATCCTGCAAAGCCACCACTTACCTGGGTGAAAAACTGTACAGGTGCAGCAAGGGCTTCCGGATCTTGCTCACAGCTCTGGAAAACGTGGCCTCTGCCCACCTGAGCACCTGCTGGGTAGCCTGTTGGAATCACAGATTATGAAAGCAATTTCAGTGTGACTTCAGGGCAGGGTCAGTACTTGCAAATGAGCTTTAAATCAAGAAATGCAAAATACTACTTCAGTGTCTCTTACATTTGCCTCCTGTCTGACAGCATCTTGTCATGTAGAGGTTAATAATATCCAGAGGACAGACTCTAGTCACAGCACCAATGGACAGAAATATATTCCTCCTAAATAACATGACTTAAAGTGTAGCAATGCTTCACTAAGTTAATGTGCTTTAGTAGTTTAGAAAGGACTGGTATCTTTAATAATATAAATTAGCCTCATGATGTATCTTTTATGCTTTTCATTTCAACTAGAAGAGCCTAGATCTATTTGTACACTTGTTTATTGGAATCACAATTTCTCCTCTCTATGCAAGAAAAGTAAAAGCTACATGAATGACAGAATACTGCTGCTGTGATTTCAGCCAGACTTAGTTGAAGACTTTTCCATGTCCTTTAGCTGGAAAAGTACTCTTTCAAAGCAGGACAAATACTGCAAGAACAGTAAATCAGCTGTGCACAACCTATTATGTGGAAAGACAACTGCACTATTTCCATAAACAAAAATGTGTATGTGCATCCATATTTCAAAGCGGAGACTTAAATTTGTAGGCCTTGAACTGGAAATGGAGAACAGAGTTATACTAACCATATCCAAGCCTGCTTTCACAACCTTTAATGCCATCTGAATTGGTTTCATTAGCCACACATCTTTTACAATCTTGGGTAAGAAAGCCAGGATTTTCTTCATGTGCTCTTCTGTCTTCTCTTTCCAGACTTCATCCAGTGGCTTCAAGGTTACATCGTAGTAGGCATCTTTCAGAGTTGCTAATGGCTCTGAAGCAAGCACATTAATGAGACAACCTTAGCTGGTTTGGTACAAATGGCTGTTTGCTTGTTTGTTCCCACCCAGCTTGCAGCAGAAGTGAAGGAGGAGCACAGAAAAGTACAAGAGGCAGCTGTGTCTCCATGGCAGTCAGGCACATTGCACTGCTGTGAACTGAAAGAGCCATTTAGCTCTGACCCTGACCCCTTATAAATACACTGCTGCTGAGCAACAGGACAGTTTGGTCACAACTGATTTCAGTTATGGCATATCAACCAAATTTAACTTTTGAGAGGGAATAGCCTAGAGCTAAGTGAGGTTTTACCCTTGTGAGAACTGAAGGTTCTCACAGCTAATTCCAGCTGACCACATTTCTCAAAGGTTTCAGTATGGGCCACAGTCCAGCTGAACAGTGAATTAGTGGCTACTGGATAGGCTTGGAAAAAAACAGATCAAGTGAAATCCAATTAGTAAAAGCATTAAAAACTCAAGGAGGGATATGAACAGTCCTTTGAGAGGAAAGGCTTGCCAGGGAACTGTTAGCAGAAATACTTCAGCTTAGGAATTAAGGACTCTCTTCTCATCCAATTGAACCCAGCCTCCTGTGACCAAGAAAGAGCCTCACCACTGATTTCATTAGAAAGGTGCTCACAGAGAGCCTTCTTAGAGCTTATTGCATCAAGACTCCCACTCTGTACACTAAGAGCCAAGCTCAGCACTTCTTCCTAGATCAAAATAGAAACCTTTGTGTTATTCAGTATGTTTTGTAGTTTACACTGAAGTTTGATTTGACCTGCACTGACATCGTCCCTCTTCTTGCTTTGCTCCGTTTTGCTTACTTTGTAATTCGTTCTGCATTTGCTGGACAACATCTTGAATTTTCTCCAGGTATAGTGGGATCCTGCTTCTCAGAACGTGCCCAATTCCACTTTGCTTCCACACCTGGGTGACAGCCGTGGCCCCGCTGTGCAGGAATCCTGCTGCCCTTTGCAAGGCCATTGAAGGCCAGCCAGCTGCTTCAGACAGGAAACCAACATGCTGCACCTACAGTGGTTCCAAAAAAGAAGCGATTTAAAAACACACAGTGCTCTCAAGCAAAGCTTTGACATCATTGCGAGGCAATTCTGACTCTGCAGGGTTGGTGCAGAGATGCACGATACGTGAAACGCTTTTTGTCTCTGTGTGCAGGTCAGCACAGGAGTAATCACCGAAATGTTTGAGCAAAACAAAACAGCTGCAGGCAATATAATGATGTTTAACTAACACTGCGTGAACACTTCATGGTGTTTTCACAGATCATGTACAGACACTTACTGATCTCCTGAATCTCCACAGGTATCCATCAAACTTCTTTATCTTCTCACTCAGTGTGGTTTTCAAAAGGCTCCCAATTTCATTAAGCTTGTTCTGTGAGGAGATTGTTAAAACCCTGAATTCATTAGTTAAATTTGCTTGTGCTGGATCCAAATCGTTCAAAGTTTGTACTAGTTTAAAGGCCGGCAAACACCCACAGTGGCCTCACATTTCTTAGGGAAAACTACTTCTGCATTATTCAATGCAGACAAGGGAACAGAAAAGACAAACGGTAAAAAGCAAAAAACCTTCCCCAAGTAGAGAGTATGTGAAACCCTACCCTAATAAAAGTGAAAGTATGTTCAGGATTCTGATCATCAGTTTTGTAACCATCAGGCTGAGCAGTTACTGCTGCTCTCACTTTATTTACTCACCCTCCTCAGAGGATCCACCCGTTAGAAGAGGGTCCTGTACTTTCTATCTCTAGGCATGGCTGAATTTCTTAGTTCTCACCGTGGTAACTTCTCACATCAACATGAAAATAATTAAAACATTACATCATTTTGCCTGGTTACTCACCAACTCGCCTGCATGGAAGGTGCTCCATCAAAATAAAAAAAAAAATTCTGGGGAAATCACACTGCAGTTAACAGCCACTCAAGGGTCTCACCTCAGCCTTAAGAACTGGATCCCCACATCCATGGGCCAGAAGACTCAAGCTTCCATTAGCAGCTGCTAGAGTTAATTGTCCCACATTTTCCTGCCTTTTACCATTGATGCTGAGATAGGTGTTAATGGCAGCCATGTGTTTCCCATCAGAACAAGCACTGACTTCCACTCCTTCTTCCAAATCCCCTTAAGGAATGAAAAAAGAGCCTTCATTTATAGGAACAACATTGACAGACATTGTTTCAAGGCCAGCTTTTAATTACTTAGGTGATAAACATAGCTTGAGTGTGTTAGGTGTGGAGGAAAAAACAAGAGATAAACAAGAGACAATTAGATCTCTGTCAGGATTTGATCTCTTCTGTGTGGCTTGTTAATGAATTACGCAGACAGATTTGCTACTGCAAAGGAAGCACTGGATTAATGTAAATCTAAATCTCTCGGTCATACTGATTTACAAGGCCTTTTTTTCTACTTTAGTACTCACTTTAGTGTCCTTTGTTGCAGATGTTTCAAAACTGCTCAGCCCTTAAATGAAAGCCTGTCAGTTCCACCCACCACACACACAAGTCTTTTCTACAGAAGCACTGATGAGCATAAACAAGTGGTTGGCAGGGTACACGTAGAATCTGGGTTGAGAGAGCTGAGTTGAGTCATTTCTACAAACTTCTGACTTCAGTGATTCACAAACTAATGGTCCTAATCTCAAAAACATCATAGCACTTACAGGTGAGGACATGAACCTGAGAGAAACTTCCCTGCAGAAGGGTGGAATAGCAAATCCATAAGTGAAACAAGGGCTGGGATTGTCAGCAACATGAGTTTGAGACAACTGGGACACCACCAAACCTATTTGGTTTGCACCCAACTCTAACTGCAGCTGAAATGTGGATGAGCCCCACCTCTTGCAGCTCATTTCACCTTATTTTACTAATCTAGAATTTAGGCATAACTTCAAACAAAGGCCTTTTTTTTCCTCTCTGTTGTCAGTCAGAGCTGACTGCTGTGAGACAATCCCCCAGATGGAAAGGCTCCAGCAGGATCATCAAGTCCAGCTCCCTGGTGTTTGTGTTTGCAGGATGACCTAAACCAAAGTCCTGTGGCTGAGAGCATGGTCAGTGAGATACATACCTTGCAGATAGCCCATGTAGTACTGAAAACACTCCTTTCCTTTTGAAGCAGCTACTTTTACTTTCTCTTTCTGATCAATAATCCCCTCCACCAGGATTTGGCTCTGGACAGATGAGGAAGCAGCAGTTCCTGTCAGGCCTAGCCAAATATCTTCAAAGGCTCTTAACTGCAGCAATAAAGGAAAAACATTTATTCAAAGCCACCACACAAAATTAATGATCATTTAGAGATGGTGCTCAAATATCAGTGCTTCCCACAAAAGGATAAGTGGTGAGGGAAATGTTTCCCAATGCTTGTGCACTGTGCAGGAGTTTCACTGAGAGAGGCACAAGCATCAGAGTGATTGGCCCAGGAGCTGAATGACTGGATAGCACAAGACTTGTGGACAAAATTTTAGTGGAAGCAATGAAAGAAACAATGTCCCAGTCAGTTCTCTGTGAAGCTGCTGATTTGTGCCATTTATTCCAAAACACAGAACGAAGCAAGCTCATGCAGAGCAGCTGATACTCATTTCATCTCTCTCCTCTCTAAAGAGAGAGGAATGGAAAAAAAATTTACTATTTGTTACTGATTAAATCATCATCATAATTTTGTTAAGGGATGATCTGTTGTCTCAGTTAGTGCCTGACTACCTACATTCCTGCTAATGAAGAATTTGGATGGTGCCAACTCCGTTAGTTTTTTGCCTCGCTCTGTTGTCTCCATCGGTGTCTCCACCATTTTAATGTCACAGGAAATTAAAATGCAAAACAAGGGCGGAGGAGAGAAAAACGAAGAAGGAAACACTCCACTAGAAACACATCTGCTTTATTTGTGACAGCTCTACAGAGAACTCCTGTTGGTGCCTTCCTTTGTCTGTCGGTCACAGGCATGGACACTGCCTGACTGCTCCTTTAGAGAGCACTACAGAAACCAGGAGTGTTTTGTTGCTTGCTGTTTTACAGTCACTGCCTGCACCTGGTCTCTTTGGGAAATAGATGGCAGCAGGCCTTTGAAAACCAAACCCCAGTGCCAGTAAAATAAAATAGAAACTCACTTTAATTTCCAGAGAATAGTTCTTCGCATCAGCAGTGCTCTGATTCTTTATGGATATTCCAATCAGCCCCTCATCTCTCCCATGATCAGCAAGGTGGAATCTGCCCTCTGAGTGCAAAATGATGTCATCTTTGTTGAGCTGGTGCTTTCCAGATAAAATAATTACCTATGTATGCACAAAAAAGGTGTTAAAGCTTCCAAATTCTTCCAAACAAATGGACTCTGCTTTGAGTAGTTAGAAGTTGTACAGTGGCAGCATTCTCATTAAATTACACCACAAACAGAACTTGTAGTTTCAAAAATCAGCACATCTCCCTGTTCCTCACAGCACTGTCTTCATTACATCTTCAGTTTCTGTGCTATAACAAAGCATTTCAGTGACTACACCCTAAGACCAGAGGAACAGCTGCAGAGAACTGTATTTTGTTAAAATGTCCAATGTTTTTTGCTCCTACTCTTCTCAACTGCTCTAGCCAGACATTTTGATAAAGCTGGGGATACATGGGAAGTGAGGTGAATACTGTCCTGTTTCTACTGGGATAGAGTTAATTTCTTCTCAACAGCTGGTACAGTTTGGGATTTGGAATGGGAATGGGGTTGGTTACACACTGATGTTTTGGTTTTGCTCAGTTGTTTATCCTAAGTCAAGGAATTTTTTGTGTGTGTGTCTGTCCTGCTGTGCCAGTGAGGAGGTGCACAAAAGCCCACCTGGGACAGATGCCCCAACATGACAAAGGGATTTTCCACCCCACAGAATGTCATGTCCAGTACATAAACTGGGGAGAGTTACCTGGAATGGGCAAACCTGGGTTTGGCAAGGGGGGTCTGACATTGGGCAGAGGGTGACGAGCAATTGTTTTGTGCATCACTTCATTTAGTTTTTTTCCTTTTCACTAATAGTAGTAAGTATGATTATTGTATTTTACTTTGTTTTCAATTATTAAACTGTTCTTATCTCAAGATACAAGTTTTACTTTTGATTATCCTCCCGATTCCACAGGGAGAGGGTAGGGATAGAGGGGGTTGAATGAGTGGCTGTGGTGCTTAATTTCCAGCTAGGCTTAAACCATGATACCTTTGAAGAGAATGATCCAAAAGTACAGAGGTACCTGCTTTTGGAGTGACAGGTTATACACCTTGGCATTGTAAACAGGTTCTATCACACCTTGGTCTGGGAAAAAGTTTTCCTGTTGCCAACAGAGCATGAGCTGCTCTGACACTAAATAAGGAAGCCAAGATGTGTTTCAGCCACTGGGAACTGGAGAGAGATATTTATTGCAGGTTCCAAGTTCTGTGTGAGTGTCTACAAGCAACTCTGAGGACCAGCATGCACCTAAGGAAGATCATGGGTGGCCTTCAGTTTATGTGTGTAATAGAAAAACAAGGTTACATTTTGGTTCAAAAATCCATCACTACCAGCAGAGCAATCATAAAAACCAGCAGATGTTTACCCACAGGGGAAGGAAAGCACTTTTACTCCTCTCTAGTCTCCTTTTTGATCACTTATGAGCCTGTTTTGGTATTCTCCAGAAACATAAAATTAAGATACCTCTGAAAGAGGAACAAGAAAGAAAGAACGTGGAGGAAGTGAGAGTTTACAACCATAAAAGAACCTATAGAATACACTATAGTAGCAAACAGAACCTTTCTGCCTCAGTCCATCAAATGACACTGTTTATTTATTTAAGCTACAGAAGTATGGTAAGTCTTCTGAAGAGTTGCAGCTGAGGAAAACTAAGTCTCCAAATGAGTAATTGCATTTAAACTGAAATAGGTTCAGTGTGTTTAAGTGAGACTTACATTTGGAAGGTCACAGAACTCAAAGCTTGAATAGTAATCCAGGCAGGAGGTGTAGTTTGTTTCTATTTTACCCAGAATCTTCTGTTTGGCACATGGGGTCAGGAAAATATTTTCCAGAACAGCTTCTAACTGAAACGTATCAGGATACAAGAGTTGATTTCTCTGCAATGAAAGATGACAGCAAGATCTTAGACACTCCTTGGAGCCTACTCATCCCATCCTTGGGCTGGCTTTTGTTATTAAAATTTTGTTATTTGGCTTTTTTTTGTTTTTCAGGATTTTAATGTAACATTTTCAGAACATAAGATTTCCATTTGACAATGTTTTAGTTTATCAGCCTTGTTACCAGTCCCCATCCTACAAGTTTTGCAAATTTAGGGCACAGATGAAGCCTCTAGTTTGGAAGAACCCTTTCTTTCTTAACTATGCTCCATTTAGCTTTCTTCCTGTGTAGAGAAAAATGTAAGAGGTAAAGTGAAATAATATTTCACAAAAAACAGTGCTCTATAGAAGTTTTCTTAAAATCCACTCAACATTACATCTAAAACCAAAATAATTCACTGAGAACAGCTTCCATAAAAATGGTGAGTCAACAGATACAACTGCCTTCTCTTACCTCATATGTGAAATTGTGTTTGAATTTTTTGTCATCCCACTTCAGATCTAGGTATTCACTAAACAATGTTGGTCTTTGCTCTAGAGACCCACATGCATGCAGGTGTTCCATGCTTAATATTCTCTGAAGCTGGAAAAGTGGAAAAAATTAACACATATAAGTAATTTTTTTAAAAGTGTTCAGTATACCCTCCAGGCAGTGGGTTTCCTGGGCAAAAGCACACCCTGTGAGAACCCTGGACGGTCTCTACCCATGAAATCCTGCTTCAGACTCTGCCAGGAAACCTAAGGGGCTGACAGCTCTGTCCTGAGGGAAGCCTGCAGCCCAAGTACCACCATGTCTGGCCTCATGAAACAGAATTTTTCACAGCATTTACTTTTCTTCCTCTAAGACACAAAATGGTTGACTTCAAGGCTTTCATATGGTAACAAGTACAGAAAAAAAAAAATCATTCTGTGAGGATCAAACACAGAAATTCAGCTACATTCATCCTTTCCAAGGCATGTAAGACTCATACCTGGCCTGCAGAGAATGTCACACAGCCACCCCAGGCAGTGATGTCCATCTTGGATTTATCCTCCAGCCCCAGCTGGAGGTGAGCAGGCTGCCCAGCATTCCCTGAGACCTGCAGCTGAAAGCAGAGAAGGATTTGTCCAGCGGCAAGACCAGAACCAGCAGAATGATCCCCATGCGGTGGAGGCAAACATTTTTTTCACAGGGGTATCAAAGGGCTTCTGGTTTGGTTTTATTGTAAGGTTTTGGGCTTTTTTGTTTTGTTTTTCTTGTATGTGCAGACTAGAAGTTTGTTCACTGCTTTATGGACAAAAATTGTCTCATTTTCATTGCTTGGCAGGTTCCTGGGCACTTCTGGGTTCCTCCCATCCAAAATGAGTCAATACTAAAAGTGCAAGACTGTTGGCTAGGAAACAATGCTGCTGGTTTGGACACAAGGAGATAACAGAACTCAGTGCTCTCTACATTTTTCAGGATGATTCCTGGTTCTGCAGTTCTCAGGGATGAAAGGCACACTCACAGTCAATGCAGTATCACAGCTGTGTGTTTTGCAGCCCAGCCTCATGATCTCACCTGCTGGTTGTACTTTCTGCCCCTTCTTTCTGACAGGGAATGCACCTCCAGTTCCTTCAGAGTGTAATTAAATGGGTGGGCAGCAGTGGCTCTGTAGCTTGTCCGGTGCCTTCCAATCTTCAGAGAAGATGACACTGATATCTGAGCCACATCAACAGATGGAAAGGAACTTGTGAAATAAAACACCTCTCACATACTGACCTCAAACATGCACCCAGTTAAGATTTCCCTCTACCTTGTCCTCAGATGAATTACAAGCACAGTAAAGTCCTTTCTGAAGAAGTGAGGTAAATTAATGGTAAAATTAGAACAATTTTTGCTGCTTGAATTCAAAGCAGAACTACTCTCTGTATTTTACTAAAATAATGAACAATGCTTAAGTTTGTTGAAGCTTAATTTTGATCTCATCTTTAGGCACTGCAGGCTGTACTGCCACAGAATCATTGGACATAACTTGCAAACTTAAAGCACAAGAAAAAGCATTTGCTTCATCAGGAACTAAATTCTGCTAAGTTATTGAGAGAAAAATATTTTTGTGGTAATATAGATAGTGGTGGGATTTTAATAATTGTGGTGATTTAAGAAGTAGTAAAAAATACATTCAGTACAACTGCTAAAGTAAATTTTGGAATTTTAATACTTATTAAAGAAATAAAAAAAATCTGTGCTCTTTGCAGGCACATTTATGTTTATGTGTGGTAGCATACTTTATACATTGTCTTCTATCTTTCCATTATTCAGAAAATAATGTAATACTCAGCCAAAGTGCTACATTTCAGATGTACATATAAAGATAGCACAGTTAGCAGCAAGTCCGGAAAATGTCCCAAATTAACCACATCTGAAAGTCAACCTACCCTATGTTCTCCAAGGTTTTTTTCCACTTTTTATATTTTTAAAAAATAGTGATGACTTACTTTATGAAAACAGACTGGTTTCAACTGTTCCACATTTGTAAGTCTTGCTAATAAGGAGGAGAGTGAAAGAATGAAATACAAAAGAGCTTTGACTGAATCAATAAAGCTGAAAATGCTAAGCAAGGGATGTGTCCTCTTCTGTGTGGGTAAACCCAGTATTATACCCATGCAATGAATTCTTCATCCTTCTCAATCTCAACTAATGCTCACACTTGCTCACTTGTCTTAGATTTTATTTCTTTGTCCATAAGCTGCTTTAAGCATGACATTTGTGCTATTCTTCCCACTTACCCTCAGAGGCCTTTACCCAGTGCTTTGAAGCTGATGCATTTCATTACCTTTGGTTAAGCAGCAAGGTGTGGGGTTACTGCAGACAAAAAAATCCTATGGCCTGAAAATACTTCCTACAAGAATATCAGCTACTCAGCTTTCACAGTCAGAACTTTTTATACATCCAGGAAGGGGGACAGTTTGCATTATAGTCAAATTCCCTGGCTTGCTTAGTTCCTTTTTTAATTAAAAAAAAAAAAAAAAAAAAAAACAAAACCAAAAAACCCTCTTGATACCCTCCTGACATTTATTTGCTCTGGGCCACTGTACCTTGTCCTTTTCATTCCAAATGACAGTAAGGACATCCTGGTGACTGCGTGCTGAATGTTTCACGTATAAGTTGGCCCAGGCATGCCGTGGAAAAGGGATGGAGAGGGGATGGAAAAGTTCCACTATAAGGAAAACAAACAAGTAACATTTCCTATCAGGAATCATGACCCTTCCCAGGACATTTTCCCACAGCAGCAGGACATCCCTTGGCTCCCAGGGAAACGTGGTCTCTGCTCACACACACTCCCCTACCCAGCAGCCACAAGGAATTCAATGTGCTGATGTCTGCTCAACATGAGGAGATGTGAGAACAGAACCCTCTCTCTGTTTACCAGCAGAACAGGGGTTACCTGCAATAACCAAAAGACTGACAGCTACACCCAGAGCAACTTCAGCAACAACAACCAGGGAAATAATCTGTGTGAGACTGAGATGGCCTTACACTGGAAGAGGAACAGCTCACAACACTCAAACAGGTAAGTGCAGTTAGCTTCTCTATTTTCACATCATAAGGGTTTAACACCTCAAGGTAGCAGCCACTGTGACCAGTGCTCCCTTCAGCACCCAGCACTCAAGTTTTATGTTCCATATTCACCAAGCAGAAAGAGAATTCTGAAGTGGATGTTTCTAACAGCCAGACCCTATAATGAATTTAAAGCAAATCAGACCTTAGAAGCCCTAAATTGAAACCAGGATTGAAACCCTTTGAACATGCATTTTGAAATCAGATTTATGGAGTTTATTTATAGCCTGCTTTGAACACTTGTAAAAGACTTGATAAACCTACCCTGAATGCCATGGCCTCCAAGCAGCTTTGGGAAGAGTCCAGTGTAAGTGCCTGTTAGCTTTAGCTCTTTGCCATCCCACAGGGCAATGTGCCTCAGCAGATGAGTTCTGTTGCCTTTTTGGTAAATTGTCATAAACATAAGTTGCCTTGGAAGAATTTTTAACTAAAAATAAAAGAGGGCAAACATTAAACCCCAAGTTCTCTGAGAAGGTAAAACCTGAGTGTAATTTTGGTACCCCAAAGTCCTGTGGGGTCTGTAGGAATGTGTTTTTAAAGGTCTAGTACAAGGATACTCTAAGCCCACAGCTCTCATACGAGCAGCTATTCATTTCTACTTGTCTTCATTTCTACAAAAGTTGTCTTTGCATATAATGGAACATACATAAACAACTGAGTACTCCCTTTACAACGGTCTTTGATTATTATTCAGTTTGATTTTCTTTTATCTCACAGAATAAACCATCAAGAGTCCTGCTATTACAAAATAAATCCAGCAGACAGCACAAACAACAATAGGTACTTGTGATGTCTTTTCTTATTTAGAGAAAGAGATGTGTGGTCCCTGCATTACAAAAACTGGTTCAGTTTGTAGCACATTATTTTTCTTATTTCCTATAAATCCTATATGAGTGCTCCATCTATAGGAGCAAACAAATATAAACTCAAACTAATCCACAGTCAAACGTTTGCTCATGCTACTGGAGAAATCAAGGGCAGAACACCTCACACAGCAGGAGCTGCATTTGTCCTTCCCTGTTTGGCAGCCACCCCCTGAGTGCCCTCCTGTCACAGCCTGCCTTTGCTAGCAGTGGATGGTACCAACCTGGGCCATGGTCTGTGCCACCTCAATGGCATTGGTGTAGCTGCTTCCAGTCAAAGTTAGCTTTGCTGAAACGTTGAAATCCCTTTTTTCCATCCTGAGGTAGAGTTTGCCTTTTGCTTCACTCATATCATAATTTACCTTTTCAAGTTCCCATTAAATTAAAAAAAAAAAAAAAAGGAAAAACTGGAATTGTTAACATCTTTAAAAACAGGAACATCCTCAATAACAAAAAAATGTTAGAGATACTAGTGCTAGAAATGAAGCAGCTTGACTCCTAACACATTAGACAAGTCTACTTTGCAGTGATGTATGCCATGGATTATTTGCAGATAGTTACCTTAGAAGACAGTTGTGCTGCACAGGGGAAGTACTGTAGAAAGAAGGGATGAGTCTGGAGTGCTTTTATATTCAACTCTTCACTAAAGGGAAGAAATGTTCTCTTGTTCAACAATATTTTACAAAGTCCACTCTTGCCGGCAGCACAAGTTCATCTGAGTTAGCTCCAAGTCTGCCACAGCTTTTAGAGTTAAAATGGCAGCACCTGCCACTGAACGCTTACCCAGCTCCCAGTTTTTGATACAGTCACACAAAATGAGCTTAATAAAAAATCTGTGTATGCATCCCAGGGACAGAACATAGCCCACTGGACCAGAAAACATTTTGCCATACCAAATGCATCAGCTTTTTAAAAATGAGAAAGGTATTTTGGAATCTGACTTTGCAAGCACTGTCATGGTTTATAAACTTAGAATTTACAATTATTAAAGATTTTAACAGAACTTGCAAGACTTTTCAGTGCAAAGGTCTTCCACTAGAAACTTAAGAAATACCTGAAATACCCCAAGGCTAAAAATGTCACACCTGTAAACACCCTTAAAAGCCTACAGTTTTGTGCAGATTCAGCCATACTGACACCAACTTAGAAAACCAAGTCACCATAATTTTATAAGTTTCAACTGTGCCAAAACAATTTAATAAGATTTAAATATTTATGTCAAGTTAAGTTCTATTTTTAAGTACTTGTCTGGTCCAGGCCTAGAGTTTTATGACTCTTTCACTGTCTGCTACTTGGATTCTGTGTGGGCAGGCAGAGACAGGTCCCAAGCTGTGAGGGGAAGAATCTGTCTGCAGCCCTTCAGAAACTCCCTGAGGTTTACAGTGTGTGTGGTGTGACTACTCACTTTACCCAAGTTTTGTTATCCATTTCACCAGTGATTTGGTGATGAATACAGTAACTGTATTCCATGGAAATCAGTGGCCTAATGACATTTTTTATAGTGCTCAGAACGACCCTTTTACCCTTGCTGGTCTTTTTTTCTACTGATGGAAAAGGAGAAGTTTTTGTTTTGTTCATAGGTCAGCCTCAGAGCACCTTCAGTTTCATTTTCAGTCATGACTTCTTGAATTGTCATCTGTGGAGGGGGAAAATAAACAAATCACATGCCATAACTTCTACCAATCATTTCACCTCAACTGAGCACAATCTTTGACTCACTTAAAACCATCATCTTGACTGGAGTTTATCTCCCAGACAGGCCTTCTGGATGCTTGCTAGATGTAAACCAAGAGCCTCATGAGAGGTTTTCCTTTTTCTTGTGTGTGTTTCCATAGCTATCTATTTGCATTATTGACAAATATTAGTGTTACTTTCCATGTACCCTTATCTGGTTTAAGTCTAAAGCTACTGGTTCTTGTTTATGTCTCCCACAATCTCATGTTTCATCTACCAGAAAGAAATTGTGCTTTTTTTTTTTTTTTAATAAACAGATCAGGCTCCACCAATTTTTTGCTCCAGGGCATTCCTCCCACAACTGCTGCATCATCTACACCCTCATCCTGAAAATGCTAAAGAACTACTCTGGGAGAGATGAGGGCCATTTCCCACATTTCAATAGCAATTCTGGTATTTGCCAAAGTCTGTGGGAACAGTAATTTCTGAAGTCCCCTGGTTATACTCATACCTTATACATGAATAAGGCACCTCAAGAATTACCACCTCAGCTTTTCTCTTTTTTTCATTCAAACATTTAGAGGATAAAAGACATTTCGCTAAATATTAATGGGGAAGAAGCAGGGAAAATACCTTATACCTTGCAATAAAAGGTTGGCAGTAAATATTCCCTTGAAACACTGACACTTAATGTGCAGGTTTAACATTGATCTAATGTTTATGTTCAGGAAAGTTGACTTTTACTCTTGCATCCTAGCTACATGTCCTGTTATTTGAAGAGAAGGTGGTGGATCACTTGGAAGTGTTTTTCTGTGTACTACCCTTCACAAGGGAAGGGGACATTTCAAGTAATGCTTCTTTCTCCCAAGGGATAAACAGACACAGCCTTTGTTGATCCTATCAAGTAGTTTGGAATATAAATCTACTTCTGTTTATTCAACACTGAATAATTTTAGGTATTTGTGCTACAAGTGGTTTAACCAAGGCAAGGAGTTCTCTAGGTATGAAGGACAGCTGTTTTCTACCAAAAGTTCTTTCTACTTTTGTGAGCCCTATCAGCTGCAAAGTGACAGTAAATACCTGTCTTCCTGAAATGATTAACCCTGGAAATGGGGATTTCAGGTATCTGACCAGGCTCCTTAGAAACAGACCACTAGCTTTGTACTTAAGTTAAATGAGGATTCAGATAAACTGGGCCAAGTCAGCTCTCAGCTGCACTTGTATATAAACCTGAAGTAATTTCACTGAGGCCACTGGAAATGCTCTGGATTAATGGAAATGTAACTCAAGTGACAGCATTCATCAAAGCACAGCAAAAGTTTTGAGGTGCATTACCTTAAAAGAGAAGGGAAGTCCCAGGTGATGGAGAAGTGATATTGAATGCTTCACCTCTGCCATGAACACGAATATACCAGAGAGTTCAAAGTCTGTGTCAACATCCACAGTCACAGTTATATCTTTCTCATCATACTGGATTTCACAGACAGTCTTGGCTTTGTTTTCTATATGAAGGGACAAAGCAGTTCCAATTTGAGCAGCTGATTTTTGAGAAATTTCAGTACTGCCTGCATAAAATCAACCCAGACAGCTTTTAGCTTAATACATTCATCAAGACAAAGTCATCATCCAGGATTACAAGAACTTCAGCCTGTGGTTGGAGGAGGGCAGAGTTTCTCTGGATGTCCTTGAACTTTGTCCTTACAAAGTCTTGTAGTAATAACAGAGCTTGTGTACCCACATCAGTGTTAAGTGGCAAGTTAGTTCCTGTCAGGAATGTGTTTGTGCAGCTAGAGCTGAGTAGTCCATACAGCCAACTGCATCCCAGGCCTGCAGCAGCCTCTCCCAGGGAAGAGCTCTGAGCTGTTCTCACCTCCAGGAACTCCTGTGCATCCAGCTACAGCAGCTCAACAATGCCCAAAGTGCATGACCTGAAGACCTTTCCCCACTGTCCTACAACTTCTCATTTTTGAAAAGGAAAAAACAAGACTGCTAAAATATCAAAGTGAGATAAGAGATGTGAAACCCTGCAAATTCTTTAAGGTAAGACAAAACCCACAGAAATGGTGGGTTTGTGGTGGAAATCACATGGTGACTGTGGCTGTCCTGAGAACAACCTCTCCCTCCTCTCCTGTTGCTTTTTTCTGAATGGGTGAAAGGATCTGATGCCACTCACATCAGTATTGATTCAGTGCCTGCTAACCTCAGTAATTCCTGCCCTTTGGTGCTCTCACAGTTTTCTTTAACATGAATAAATTCCCCTGGGGGCACTTAAGGTACCTGATCACAGTGTAAGAGAGATATGCAGATAGGATTTATGCCAGGGCAAACTCTGAGGGTAGACTGGCTCAATCAACTAATCACAGATGCAGTTTCAGAATGACAGGTTTACTTACAAACAAGATAAAGCCTCTTTTTAGGTACTACCAGCAAATCTTACTCAGTCTGTAGCCTGTTGAAAGACCAGATGAAACATCCTCATAGAGCTATTAGACAATAAAAACCCAGCCAGGAATGGCAGGTACCCACCTGATTTCTGTACACTGAAAATCAAGTTGATTGCCTTAGGGTAGCCAGAAGCCTGGAGTACCTCACTGCTGTGCACACTCTGGCAGAACAGATCCACTTGGTGGCCAACATAATGGGAGTTTATTATGTATGTGATTGATGTTTCTCCAGCTGCAATGTGCACATATCTCTCTTGAGTTGTGTTTCTCCCTTGAAAAACCACATCTATCTAAAAATGACATGTAAATATAAGTTCTCAAAACAATATTTATGTAGTATTTAGTTTTAAGACAGGAGAAAATGGAACTGAAAGAAAGTTCTGTCTAGTTTACACTTATGTCAAAATCTATCCATTAATAAAATGTCTCTTGGCCTTTCATTAATCATCTTTGACTTTCAAGTATGAAGCTCATTTAACTGAATGAATGTCAAGCCATGCCAGCCTCACTGATCTATAGCAAATTTTCATTACGTTCTTTTTTATCCCACAAACACAACTTCCTTCTTGTAAAGGATACTTAATATACACCTAGTGACAATATTTACCAGATAGTAGCTACTCCAATACTTCTCTCAAAATAGCACCCAAAGAAACACTTCTTTCAGTATAAAATTCCCATTAAAGAGCACAGGAGCAATACTCCAGACCCTGGTGCAATGTGCTCTAGTTGTCCTGTAGAGTTACAACATCAACAGTACCCACTCTACTACCACTGACCAGAATGGAAGAATCTCATTCAGAAAGCAGTCAAGGAGAAACTTTCAGTAGTTCAGGTTTTAGGCATCCACAATTTTTAAATACCAGAAAATCTCAGCTTCCATCCTGTGCCTTACAAAATGGGAATTTTCATTCAAGCCGTGAGCTTGAATTACATCCTTATACAGGACAATAATTATAATTAAAAACAAACAAACAAAACAACAAAACCCCAAAATCACCTGTAAAGATGATGGGACTCTGGCTTGTAGCAGCCATGGCAAAGAGTGATGGAAATTCCCTGTTATGTTGGTACTTGTTTCCAACTCTTGAATTTGTCCTTCAAGAACTGTCAGGTGAGCACCATAAAGCACTTTCAAACCAAAGCTCCGGGTGACTTTGAGGTTCAAGATAGCCTGCGTGCAACAGAAGTAAATTGTGAAAAGACAGAATTGTAAAAGTTAAAGCTCCTGCTGGTCAGGGTTCTTCCTTTGGTTGAGACAGTATAATCTCAAAGATATGTCAAAGATGCATCTTTTATCATTTTATAACACAACACAACATAGTTATAAATGTCCCTTTTATTTTAGAATTCAACCATTTAACATGTATTCTCAAGTATGGCCATGCTTTAATGCTATTCAGTTACATGGTTAATAAGTCTTGTGTTTATCAGATTAAAAAATATGCCAGGTAATGGCAATGGTAATAGTAATTTCAGAAGGAAAATACCATTTGGAAAGGACTCAGTGAAATCCCAGCAGTGCTCCCCTCTGCCCTGTGTGTGCAGGGGACGCTGCAGCTCTGTCAGACACACAGATCCAGTGCCTTCCTCTCAACTCCACACTGGAGCCACCTCCAGCCCCAGGCCTGTGGAAAGTCCTGGTCTGAACTCTTCTCCCATGAGAACAAACTGAGCTTCTGGACTCCCCTCAAGAACAAAGGGAGCACCTGGACTCCCCTTCACCAAAACAGCAAACGTGTAAAGTCCCATCTACACCCACTGCCCTTTGCCATCTCACTTCCCCAGCTGCTCCCCTCATGCCATGGCTCCAGGTTCATAACCTACCTGCAACTCAATCCTGTCTTTTATTTGCAAAGTCTTCAATGTGTCTATGTTATGAGTAAGTTTGTAGTTAAGAGACACAACATCCAACTTCTGGACAAAGTTCAGTTCTTCTGTAATCTGCTCAGTTCAAGTAAATATGACAAAAATTAACTGTGGCACATCTCTGACATGAAGACTTCTCTGAATAACCATAATCATTGGACTAATTACACATTAGAATAAAATTATGAAAACTGTGAAAACTTTATAGTGAAGAATTGTTTAATTTTTTTAGAAGTCACAGCTTTGTACAGTAAAAGGGAATATGCTGCACCAAGTGAGATTCTTGATAAGGAAGGTTTGAGATCATTTACAAATGAGAGTCAAGGATCATTGCTGATGTCAAATTTTTTGCAGGGAGCAATTGCACAGAAGGACTGGCTGAAGATACTGCCTTCATTTAATGAAGGCCTTTAGAACTAACCCAGCCCCAGCTAAGTATTGCATTTGGATTGTCTGCAGAAACAGTATTTACCAAATCAATTAGCTCACTTCAACTTCTATTTCACATAATACTGATATGGAGAAGACACTTACTTGCTTGTTGTTCACACAGAAATTGATAAATCCTTTATAAAATTCGTTATTTTTTTCTGATATCACATCAAGTAACATCCTCATGGGAATGCCAATATCAGCAGCTCCTTGGATATTATGGGTTAGCACTGCATCCAGCTCTTGTCTTTCCTGTTAACATTTCACAGCACAGAGCAAAGCACATGTAGAACCCAAAGATCACTGCAGTACAGAGCTCAAACCAGAAATCTGTCTGTCCTACATTTAAGAGGAATTAAACTCCCACTAGCTATGCTGTTTCTCTATGGCACAGAAACATGCAGGAATTACCAGTTATGGCAGGAAAGTGAAACACCTGAGGAAACAGGTACTTGTGTTGCTCTCTGCTCTCTTGCTCTGATGACAAGAGAATCCAAACTTGTAATTGTCAACAGAAAAGCAAGAGATTCACAGCCTTCCCTGTGTTGCTGTCTAACTGAATAAACAAACAGCAGTGTCTCCATTAATCACTGCCTGTGGGATCTCAGTCTCTCAGAACTGGGGTGCAGGGTGAACAAGACCCCCCCTGGGGGGCTCGGGAGTCCTGGAATGCTGCCAGAAATGTCTGGTGGCTGGACTTTGATCCCACATGGGAGATGACATCAGTATGAGGACGGGAGGATTTCACTGGGGTGAATGGTGAAGGGACAAGTTAATTGGAGTGTGAGATACAGGGTTTAAGATCCCTGTACAAGGGGGTCTAGAGAGGCAAGATGGAGGGATTGGGGCGTGCCCTTCTCCTTCTTCTTCTTCCTCTAGGCCTCCATCTTCTGTGGTGATGTTGGCACTCCGGGATTGGACCTTACTAGGGGAACACTGGTTAATATGGGTAGAGGGTATTGGAGAAAAATGATAAATATTGTATACGTAACTCCGGGTATAAAGATAGGTGACCGCCCCAGGGGCTTTCAGTGTGTGCCCATGGCTGACTGCTGAGCAGAACTCTGTCAGGCCAAGAGAAAATCTTTTAGATAAGCAATTAATAAACACCGAGACCGAGAACAAATCTGAAGCTTCCTCTCGTCCTTTCGAACCCGGGGGCCCAAGGCCATCTTTGGGCTTTTTCCCAGACCATCTAAACAGCCCAGAAATCCAACAACTGCCTATTATTTTGCAGGGTAAATCACAGTGATGTAAAGAACAGTAGAATACAAACAACAAAAAGTAAGAACATCCAACAGTAGAATACAAACAACAAAAATTTACACATAAAGAGCATAACAAGGAAATTATTCAGGAAGTGCCAGAGCCTATATCCTATTATCCTATGCATCAGTTACTACACATTGAAGGTGCCAGATTTTCAAAGATTTTATTATTTCAATTTTATTCTGGCATTTATTACTTAAGCTTGACTATTTGTTCTAAATAACATAGGTTAGAGTACATTACTGAGTACTTTGTTCACACACTCCAACAGTCTGCAGGGTACTCACATCAGTGACTTTTAGTATAAAGAGTCCTCGGAATTTACTTTCATCAACAGTGATCAGTGTCTGTGAATCTAGGTTCATTTCATCCATCAAAAGATAGCCTGAGCCATCAATTTTCATTGGTGCTCCAAGATCCTGTAAAGGAAAGAACAAACTTTTAAAAATCACCACTTTAGCACTTAACCACAAATACATTATAGCTCTGAAACTTAATTCCTCATAGTAACTTTAATCACCTAGCTGTAAATCAAGTATATCAGGCAGCATAGGCACAGGATATTTCAGAAATCTTGAGAGACAACTTTGAATAATCATAATTTCTGAACAGAAAAACCCTTCAGAGTTCTCAATCATCTTTTAGAAAACACATCAGAGCTAGTACAAGGAAGTCCATTATCTGCAAGTACTGATTAACAGAAAATTTGGTGTATGCCATATGAAAATACAGTGAATGACTGGCTCCAGAAGTAAGATGCAACATTTAAAGAGAATGTTTTTATTATTTCTCTGCTACCTCTTTGAAGTACCTAGATCATTGTCTTTTGACTTTAGCATAGCATTATACTAGCTTAGATGTATAAATTCAACATTAAAGGAGAAAATTCTTTTCCATACCTGAATTGTTTGGCATTTGTTTTCTATAAGCATTTTCCACTGCAGGTTCTTTTCAGGGTCAAAGTCCCCATTCATTTGAAGCTCACAGGCCCCCAGTTTTATTCCAACTCCAATGAGATATTTTAAGTGTTTCCGTGCAGTGATGGACAGCTCATTTTCCCTTGGGATTTCCCTCAGCTGGGGGAGGTCATGCCTGAACTGAATTTCCAGAGCCAGCTTTGGCTTGCACTCTGCTCTCACTTCAAGATGGGCAGTTTTGCCTCCTGTTTCCAGGACAGAGAGCAGCTCTGCCTGGCACTTGTCCTTCTGAATGGATCCTGTGAGCCGGGATTGAGTTGGGAAATTGAGATCCTATCAAGATTTAAACAAAAAATCCTTTGGAATATACAAACACTCTAAGACCAGTGTATATTATATGATACACTATCAGAGACAAAACCTACAGTCTCCAAGCTGCCATTTTTCTCCCCCTCAACAAGAAAGATGGTGATTTTTCCTGAATAAGACCTGATGATTTAAGGACTGTCCTGCAGAATTCACAACTTCTGCATCTTTACGAAGTTTTACATTTACAAAAACCATAAAATACATATTTCTTCAGACTGGCAAAGTTTACTAAACATTCTATGTTTCATCCAGACCACACCAATCTCAGTTTTCAAACAAATTAATGTACAAAAAATCATAGGCCTTACAGATATTCTTGCACCTGGTTGTAGAAGGTTTGTTTTTTATAATAATTAAACTTCCAGCTTGTCTTGTGCAACATCCCAAATGAAAGATTTCTTCCCATTCTGCCAAAGGATTTCTACAAACACTGAAAATTCTACTATTTTTAATACTTTAAGGGGTGTTCATTCCCTTCTCACTACAACTTTGCTGTCATTTTTATGTTGCCACTTTGTAGTTGAGGAAGTTACTCAGTTTGAGGATTTGAAAGCAAAATATAAATGCCTATGAACATCTAGGAAAACCCCCTGATTTTGCAATAGTCATTCTTTCCAATGTAGTCAGTGAGGCTAATTGGAAAAACCAAGGAAGTTCTCTTTTGATAGAATGCATAGAATGCTGACAGACCAGGGAATGTATTTCTGGCAGAGTTCAGGCTGATCTTGCTGTTCAGCCTTAGAGGGCAGTGTCGGCCTGCGAAGGCAACACTCAGCAAAGGCTGAACTGATCTCAGTCCCAGCGAGCACCTGAGCAGGATGTGTGACAGACACTGCCTTTGCCTAATGCTGGGACAGGGGTGCCTTTAGAGTGCCCTCCCAACACTCCAGCAGTGCCACATTAGCTAAAACCCACAACGCCTTCATTTGATCCCCAAACCATCTTTAAAAGCTTCCCAGAGCTACCTGCAGAAGTTGGCATTCTGTTTCTGTTTCCAGTGTCCAGTCAGCTTTATTCTGAATACAGAGATCCCCTCTAGCCCTCAGTCTGCATCTGCCAGCCTGCAGCAGGAAAATGCCCTCTGTGGTGGAGTCTGTGGCTGCAGAGAACAGGACTGAGTTTTCAAAAGGCAGCCCAAGCTGGCTGAGCCAGGGAAATGAATGCCTGAGCATCCCTTGGAGTGTGTATTCATGCTGGCAGGAGGTGTCTATCTGCACATCCACTGCTCTGCCATCACACTGCAGCTTCATTATCAAGCCCACGTTGCAGATGTTCTGTTGAAATGAGCCCCCCAAGACTGCAGCACGAGGCAATCCCATCCTCTGCAACAGAAAAGATTACACTATTTAAAACACACAAAGCAAAGCAACTGTCTTCTCATTTGTTCCTAATTCATGAGAAAGCATTCCTTCTTTCTGAAACCATCTGTGTTTGGAAACAACCATACAAGGCAGCTTGATTCAGAGAGAAATCTGAATTCAGAAATTTCTCTGTGAAAAACCTGAAAAAAAGCTACATGGGGGGGAGAGGGGAAAGAAGAATAAATCCTTGAATAATCTTTTCATAACTAATACAGAAGGGAAAAATCTTAACCTCCCCAATTCCACACTGAAAGGACATGCTTTTCACTAGATTTTAGGACAAAAGTTTATTTTAATTAATAAACTATTATTAAGCAACATTTTTATGGCAACACCTACCATTGTATCACTCCAAATTACCACTTCCCCCTGCAAATGCTCTGACTCATTGCTCTGTAAGAACTTTAATGACCAAATTTGGCCTATCCATAAATGTATCAGGAGACAGTTTTCTGTGAGTCAGTGATCTGAAATACACAGACTGGAAGGGCATGGAGAAAACAACAATCTGGGCTTACCTCTAGACTGACGCACTTGTTTGTAAAAGCAAGCACCCATCCTGTCTCATTGCCTGCCAGGCTCACTTCCCCATCAGCTTCCAAAGTGCAAGGCCCAAGGACAATACCAAGGATGCCCTTGTACTTGTCACTTCTCATGGCTGACACCTTCAGTTGGTTCTCTCTGGCAATTCCCAGAGAATGAAGTGAAGGCAAAGAATGCTGGAAGTCAATTTCTAAATGAGGATGGGTGTTACTGGTGGCATAGAGTTGTAGGCAGGCAAATATGTCATGAAAAGAAACATGTCCAAAGAGGATGACAGTAAAGTTGCTGGTAAATATTGACCCATTCAGTGAAACTCTTGCTGGAGTCTGAAAAATTACAGAAAACTGTGGTCAAGTTTGCTTTCCTGTCAGGTCACATACTGTTTTTAAAAACTCATATTACTAGAAGAGAACTGTTCCCTACACCACTTTGTATTCATCCTACATAATTATAAATGCTGAAACAAACGGAGAGATGGACTCAAATCTTTATTTTGGAGTTCCATAATAGAAACAACAGGGAAAAAACCCAAATCAATTATTAATGAAAATATTTGAAAGTGCACACAAAACTTCCAGGAAGCTCAAATCCATTTCTAAGTGTCTGATACTTTCAGTACTTATTCCCTCCACAGTAGGTAAGACACTATGCTGTTGAGAGCAAAGTTTATAAATGAAGCAAGTACCTCAAAATGATGGAATGCAATTGCACCATTGCAAAGGCCAGAAAGTTGTTTGTTAGCAGATTCTCCACTGCAAGCAACCTGTTGATGTTGTCAACAAAGCACATTCAGAAAATTAAGAAAAGCAGGTAGGACTAAAATTCAAAGGGGCAAGTTACAAAGCTGCTTTAAGGATCAAATGGATGAAGGCACCAAAACATAGACTAAAAGTTAGAGTTCTGTTTCAAAAAGATAAACAGCTTAGTGTTTAGTGCACTAAATACATTAAAATAAATGGCAGGATTTCTGCAAACCTCTAGTACATGTGGAACAATGTCCATCAGTCCTCCCACATCATGGTGAAGTGAAAGAGAAATTTCTATAGCAGTGTCAGTGGTTTTCTTCTCTATGTCAATCTTGAGCTGCTCTGCCTCCACTGTGGTTGTTATCCCTGCAGCAATCTTTCTGGAGAAATGCTATGCACAAAAGAAAGCAAATCATGGAAAGAAACAAACAACAACATCCCAACAACAACTGGGAAAGGCAGAGTGTGCTGCACCGTGCTTAAACATCACAGCCTGTGTCAGGGTGGCAGCACTGGTAAAATAAAAGTGTAAATTCATCAAGACAGACTCATTTCAAATAGAGACTGTAGTGTTATGCCAGACCTTCTAAATGCAGTGTATCAATAATTCCTTCTGGCTCCAAAACATACTGAGAGCATTCAGTACCCTGAAGGATTTGAGCCCTTAGGCACAAACAATTAAAGCACTGGAACTATTAAAAAGCAAGGCAGAGGAAATGTTTAGAATTCTTTGCACATCTCTGTGTCTCACCCTACCACAGAGGTTGAAGCCACCCAAATATAAGCATGTGAGTGACTTGAGCCTTGCAGTGGATGTCTGAGACAGCAAAGTATTTGAACTCTTCTTTTATGAAAAGATAATCTGCAATACAATAGAGCTGTAACATTCACAGATCTATAGCAGAAATGCAGATACAGAGAAGAGTGGCCAAGCAACACCATGCCAGGAACCATGGTCCATAATGCTTCTGGGGGTAGGAATTTCCAAAGGGAAAGCCATGCTAAACACTGTTCTGATCTTTAGCAACCGTCCAAAGGATGACACCAGGACCAGTTACATTCAGTACCAGATGCAAGATTTAGGCCTGGTGGTCCACTTCCCATTTATAGGGGAAAGATAAAATTGGACAAGACATATGTTCATATGCAGCAAAGCATTTCACTTAAATGAGAACTGAATGGAGCATCTCATTTAGTCTAGATTCAGCTCCAAGAGTTCAGATGACAGGTCCACAGTATGACAAGGAGCCAGACAACACCTTTCTTTCACTCAGTAATTTAGTACATCTCAAAAAAAGAGCAGCTTCTAAAATAAAAATATAGATTGCATAGGAAAAGCCTAGAGTTATTATGTATACACAAATTGTCCTGCCAGAAATTAAACTTTCACAGGCAGAACTCTTCTTACCTCATAATAGCCAGCAGCTTCTAAAACAAAAGGGATCCCATGTTCCTTGATCTTTGAGATGTTGTGCTTTAAGCTCACAGACAGCTGGGATGTTGGAGGCTCTGTGGCCACTCTGTGCCCCTCAAACACAGCAACCATCCTTTCACTGCCACTCTGCAGGGCTATGGCAATGGTGTGGTTTCCTGTGCCATGCTCACATGTGGCAGTAAGAATGCCATCCAAAGGCAACCCTACTGACAGGGAAGGAAGTAAAATCAACACAGAACTTCTGGGTTGTCATTACAGACTACAAATGTATTACAGATCAAAAGAAGCCTTCTGTAATTTTTCGCAAGAAAATACACACCTTTATATAAAGTGCGATCACTTTACTGATATTTATAGAAGGACATTACCTACCAGGTGAAAATCATATTAAAAAGGGACTGCTAAATTAAAATGTGGCAGGTACTTTGGAAATCAAGAGCTTTCCTTCTTTTGATAAAGGATATTTACCAATTGGTATTGTGTCCAACTCCAGTAGTCAGCTGTCAGAAAAATTCAGAAAATATTTATTCTGTCCAAAGGAACCCATGAAAATTACTGACAACTCCAGTTCATGAAAATCCACAGCTTTGCTTAGGAAACCACACTTGGCATAAAACTACACTTGGAGGAACTGGTCAGCTTAGATGCTGTGCAAGAACGCAGATGTACAAGAAAGAAATAATTTACTCTGAAATAATTCAAAACTCTTTGAACTATTTCTGTGTCCATTTAATGGTATTTTCTCAACAATATTCAAAAGAATGCTGCTAAGTTTACAACACATTTTGTTCTGGTGGTGAACAAACACAACTCATCTGTTTCCACTGATCAGAAGTCATTTAGATAAATTCACCTTATTAGAACACACCATCAAGTCAAATTTTGTTCCTACCTGCATCTTTTAAAAAGTCAACATTATGTGTGAAAGTCCCACTGACTCTGCTGTGTCCATGATCCATGATATTGAAAAAATCTACAGAAAGAGCCTTCTCATCCACCTGGAAGCTAGCTAGCCCCCTTTTCTTCTCTTTACTCAATTCCAGGTGTCCTTTCAGTCTTGCCTCCCCTGGGATTGCCTGACTGCCATTCTGAACCATGGCAACAGTGAGATTGTGCACAGTGGTATTCCCAAACACATTCCTGTTCCTGACTTGCAGTCCATACAGTCTTTGGTTGACCATCACATTGACGTTACCTGTAACAGGCAGAAATTATTACTGTGGAGAGAGATTCTTGGGACAGAAATAGTCACAGTTTTAGAAATAATGTATAAATTAACCATTACTTTAATACCAGGAGGAAGTAGAAAAATTTCCATTTATTACACTAGATAAGTTTGCCTAATCTAGAGAGGAAAGCAGTTCAGTGTTGAGGGTCTTTCTACTAGTGAGTGTCTGTGTTTAAAATAAATTACATTATAGTATTTCTGGCAGCTGTTCCTTTTTATTCACCAAGCTTCTTGTGCCCTTAGGCCCTGTACTATACTGCACTCCCTCTGAAGGAAAATTTACAGGTGGATTGTGACCTAGTACTTGTGTAATTGCAGGCTAATCAATCCCTCCAGAGCTCTGCAGTGACCTACTCCACCCATGGAGCCATTCAAAGGAGTGGGACTCTCAAGTCAGCCCCCACATTTCAGAAGAGGAAAGAGGCCACCCACTATTTCCTTTAATCCATGAAAACATGAAAAATCCAAACTATGTTAGTTCACTGAAAAATAGTCTCAACCCAATGACCCAGGGTTCATTTTGCATGTTAAGTACTCTGCTCTGCCTTATACAGAATCACAGAATGGCTCAGGATAGAGAGACCTTAAAATCCATCTTGTTCCAACCCCTCTGCCATGGGCAGGGACACCTTCCACTGTCCCAGGTTGTCCAAAGCCCTGCCCAGCCTGGCCTTGAACACTTCCAGGGATGGGGCATCCACAGCTTCTCTGGAAAATTTGTTCCATTGTCTGATCACCCACACAAGAATTTCTTCCTAATATCCAATCTAAACCTGCCTTCTGTCAGTTTGAAGACATCGCCCCTCGCCCAAAGTGCTTCTCCAGCTCTCTTGGAGCCTCTTTAGGTACTGGAAGGGCTCTCAGGTCTCCCTGGAGCCTTTTCGTCTCCAGGCTGACAACTGCAACTCTCCCAGCCTGGCTGCAGAGCAGAGGGGCTCCAGCCCTCTGATCATCTCTGTGGTACACAGGTACACATTGCTCTTCTGTTGGGGGCCCCAGAGCTGAATACATTGTGCAGCTCAGGAAGGATTCCATTAAAATTAAGCAGTGTCCTTAGATAGCTGCAGGTTAGAACAAAACGCAAAGGAACACAGTACCATCATGAATGTTGTTTTTGCACTTCAGTAATCCATCCAGAGAAAGGAGATGAGGTATGGCCTTTAATCCAATAAAAGTGTGTTGGACTCTTCCATTTAGGAACAAAACAAAACCAACTTTCTGCTCCCTGGCTCCCATGAAATCCATGTGTAGACTATTTTCATTAAGCTTCAAGTCGGAAGACAACAGAAGTCTAAAAAGACAGACATAAAATTGCTAGTAAGATACTTTTATGGTTGATTCAGGATTGTCAAGACAGCCTTCCTCACTCAAAGCAGGATCAATGAGAGCAGGGTGCTCAGGAGTGTGCGTGGTCAGATTTGGATTATCTCCAAGGATGGAGACTCCACAGACTCTCTGGACACTCGTTCCAGTGCTGTGAATCAGGCCATCAGATGCCTTGCAGTCAGCATACACTATTCACCAGGTGTTTATAAATCCCTCAGTAAAGCTTCACAGATTGGCAGACTAATTTTTCTTTAAATTTCTTTAAATACTTTTGTTATGGTTCCTAATAAAAGAAAGAGCTGAAGATACTTTGAGTTGGTAATGGAGCCTTCTCTGTCACAATATGAAATATCTCTTTGGTGCTGATTTAAAAGCAGCTTTTGAGAATTCAGTTTAAAAAATCTGAAATGTCACCATCATTTGAGTTTGGTAAATGAACCAACAATATTTCTTTGCATCTTGGCCCTGAATTGAATGGTGTTGGAGAAACATGGCACAGCTTTTTAGGGAAACCTGCTGGAGCAACAAAAAGCTCCATTTTCAGTGTTGTAAGTATAAGATTGAGACACAATTTTCACGTGGCCTTCAACAAAATACCCACTAAACTGTCTGACTTTCTAGACTCAAGTATATTACACAAAATACCTAAAAGTGAGGCAATCACTCCAGTTTTCATAGTGTTAGACATCCCTCCTAGAAATTGGAACCCTGTTGAAAGACTGATGACAAGTAAAACCTCAGTGAAAATCCACTCCATGGGAAGAACAAAAACTACACTGTTCAGGGAAGTAAGATTCATTCCATCAGTCAGTAACTGAAGTCTGTACAGATTGCATCCTTTTAGCTGTTCTCCAGAAACAAAGTTTATTTTTGTTTGTATTCTCCCTGTAAAACAAACCCTAAACAAACTGTCATTCCAAAAATTTTAAGTGCTCTGTTTTCTTTCCTGTGAACTGCAATAAATTGCTCTCTTATGGCTTACCCTGGTATTTAAACAAATTAATGCCCTTTTGGAAACCCAGAACTGCAAGCATACTGCAGAGCCACATGAAATACCCTTCTTGGAATATTTTATCTATTTTTAGTATTACTAGTAAATCTAATGTGCTTCATCTAAATTGTAGTAACTTCTGATTTCTTTAACTCTTATTTTCTCATTCTCCTTATCCCATCCAATTAGTAAACACTGGGACCTCGACAGAAGTTCTAAAATTCTTCATTGCATACTTTTGTATTTGTGAAATTTGAAAAATCAGCTGAAACTTGGAGAGTCAAATTGCTATTTCCCATCTCTGCCACCTGAGAGCTTTCGCCAATACTTGAAAAACCTTATAGTAAACACTGGGAAATGCCCTTTTCCACTGGCATAACTTGTACTATCTGTTCACTCAAAGTTCTCTATACAAAGTCCTCCAAAAGCATCTAGAACACATTAACACAACTTACACCAACTTATGCAACACAAGGAGCAGAAGTATTTCAATAATAGGGATAACACATGAACTGGCATTTACTCAGTGGCCTTGCTGCAGCCATAGGAAAGTAACTACATTTAACTTTGTATCCCAGAACACACTTAAGTTCCTCAATTAACCAACATTCTGATTTCTCTACCTTGATGGAAATATTTTGCCCATGAGCTGGAACTGTACTGATTCTGGATTTGTCAGGACTGTTTGATGGAGAAAAGCCCTCAGTTCAACAATTCTGGCATTCCTCCTCTTTTCATTGTTCATATCAACCTCCAGCATCAGCATTTCCCTTCCATTGGAATGAAGGTGAAGGGAGCCATTGACATTGTTTTCACCATAGCTCTTCAGGGCTGCCTGGGCCTGCACACACAGAAAAGGAGAGCAGGACATTAAGGATCTCAGATTATCATTCACAATACTGAAATACCAGTCTGAGCAATGAGACTGCAGACAAGTTGGGAGTGGACAAAAGCAGAGAGGGGAGCAAAGGGGGAAAGGAGCTTTTAGTTCTCATCTTAGTTTCTCAAAATCTAACTAATTTTATTTGGCAATGAATTAAATTAATAATGCCCAAGTTGAGCCTGTTTTCTCTATGAAGGTAATGGGTAAGTGATCTCCCTGTCTTTATTCCAACCCTGTCACAACAAAATATGAGCTACATTGAATTTTAAGTACAATTTAATTAGACATTAAGAGTTTTCTGAATTTCAGTCGAAATACAAGCCAACTATTCCAACCCCATGTAGCTATCTAGCCAGAACAAAATCTACCTATCAAAAGTTAACTGTTTCCCTAACAAGTGACACCTCTCCACTACAGTCATTGAGTGTACAAACTGCAAAAGCTTCAAGCAACAAGACTGTAATGACCAGAGGACTGACCTGTGAAGACACGTTCTTGTTGATGATGACTTTTGCACTCACACCACAGTCCAAGTGTTCCAGTTTAGTCTGCCTGGAGAACAGCTCCCCACTTAGAGTCATTGCTTGTGGAAATTCAAGCTATTTGACAAGGTAAAATATCAGAACAGAACATTACATTCCCCCCAATTGCCTCATCTGATTTAATGTCTCAACTTCTAGCATGAAGTGGGTGATGTACATAAGCAAATGTGAATATCAAATTTTACCAGTTATATCCCAAGATACTGAAAAATATATTGAAAGCAGTAAAAAAAGCATGAAAAAAGGTCAATGTGTGCCTTACAAAGTATTATTGACACAAACAATTTATACATAAGTGAACCTGCTGAAATCCCTACAGTTATTTGTCAGGGCCAGGACTTGATTGGATTAGGACATTTACCAGCAACAAACAACTATAATTCTAAAGACAACACAGTAAAACAGTGAGCAAGAGACATAAAAAATACCAAAAATTAAACCCACCCAGTACCTGGAATGAGTGTGTCACATCCATGTGTAAAAGATGTCTAAAATCTGCCTCACTGGATTTGTCCTGATACCTCCCTAGAAAACTGAGAACATCTTCCTTATTCACCTTTAAGACAGTCTCAAGCTCATGCTTCACCTGTGTGTTAAGAATGGGAGTAAGCAAAGTGCACTGAGTATTACCCCTGTGTATTATGAAAGATCAGAGAAGTCATCCCTACACATCATGAAAAATGAAGGTTTCCAGCTATTACGTTTTGGCTCAGAATGAAAAACAAGAGAATGAGGAAAAATAGCTTAAAAAATACATTTGTTAAGAAAGATGAATAGACACAGCTAGATAAGGGTGAGAACCCTGAATCCATTCTATCCCAGTACTTGTTTTATTAATAACATTCATGCATAATAACATTCTAAAAATAATATTTGAAGTATTCTTATCATGGATTACTACACAACACATTATTATACAAAATTAAGGAGGTACCAAGCACATAATCACCCTCTGAACATTTTGGTTGCAGCAACTCTGTGGTGAGAAACTAAAGACCTATAGCAAGTGAGGTCTGAAAAGACAAAGTGTAAATAAACAGGTAATTAATGTCTCCTAACTAATCTAATGGGAAATTTACTCACATTTTGATGACTTAGAGTTAAAATGCACATTTCAACATCTTTGGGAAACATGCTGTAGTTATAAGGATGAGTTAAGCCAGCACAAATCTAAAAAGAAGTTTGAGAGAAAATGCAAGGCACATAAGTAATATGCAGTAAACCGCTCATTTACAAGTTGTTTTGGTATATCAGACTAAAGGAAGTTTTTGGATAACTCACATAGGGGTTTTCAGGTTGGTAACCAAGAATGAGAGTTTGAATTGTTTCCTGCACTCCATTTATTAAAACTTTTGTTTCCATGAAGTAGTGCTTTTGCTTTTTGTCAACAGTAAATGTTTCCTGCAGAAAGAAGCTCTGCAGAAAAGGCACTTTAAAAGGATGCCTGGAAAAAATCCAAGAAATAAACATAGTGTAAAAGATCTTAATAGACAACTACAAAAAGAAATTATGCAGAGTTCAACTTGAACTCCAAAATTCTCAGTTACCACCAGGGTGTCAGGTACAGAAGCAAAACACATGGGACTGGACATTTAGGAAACTACAGAGTATAATGACAACTTGATACAAACTCCACACAGTCCTGGATTTGGTAAATGCATGGGAGAAGGTTCTGCTCTGAAGTTCTGACATGCATAACCAGCACATACACCTTCTATACCTACATGGCCAAGACTTCATTTCAAATAGGGAGTGTTCAAAAGCTCCTGGCAGGTTTGAAAATTTCACCTATCCACATTTTATGCTTTATGCAGAAATAGTATCTACATGCCAAGAATCCTGTGCAACAGATGTTCAGCACTACACAGCTCTAGGAGTAGTTTACTTTAGTGTAATGGTTTATGGACTTTATTAAATATTTCTGCACATTTACTTAGTCAGACCTCTTGGAAGCATGCACAAACCCTTATAAGCAGACACTGGACTGCCTTTACACATGTTAGAATACCTGGTACAGCTCTTCATTTACATATTTTTCTAATGAAAAGACACCTCCCAGTGTTTTAGTTATCTCTATGCTGCACAGCACTCCTGTGCACTCCTGTTGATGCTGCTGTGCCTTAAGAAAGCTGTGATGTCCCCAGAAGTGATCCAGATGTCTCTAATCTGAGCACACATTTTTACTAAAACCCTCAGGCTGGGCTTTAGTAATGGATAATGAAGAGAGAAATTTCAGGGACAGCCAATATGTAGGAGAAGTGTACTCATTCTCATCAGAAAATGGAATTATATTCCAAAATCTAAATAAGACCATTTGTTACATGTTCTAAGAGAATACCTCTGGCTTTAGAATGGCTATATAATGCCTAAGGACTAGGAAAAAGGCACAAGGATGGCAGAGAGAATCAGATCGGGATTTTGGAACTCCTCACCACATACAAGTTTGGACACACCATAAATCCTGCTGTTTTCAGGAAAGGAGGCTATCTGCCTGGCTGAGCTGCCAGCAAGCATGTCTGTTGCCTGGAACAGCTTTGTTCATTGTCATTTCAACAAAGAGGCCAAAACCTAATGGATGCAAAAAAAACAGCCCATGAAGCTGCTGTACTTGAGCAAGTTCAGGGAACCAGATGGGACAAAGAACAGACTCTGTGCATGTGCCACACTTTGTAAAGCCCAGAACACTTCCTAAGAGCATCAGGATGCACATTAAATTTAGGCCAAAACATTCTTAAAAGATAGAGATAAGAATACTAAACCTGAAATGAAGGGTTGCACGTTTTTGATAGAGCATCTTCTCCTTCCTCAGCTCCTTTATCTGACCTTCACACTGCAGTACAACAGGCTGACTTTTATAATCTTTCCATACAATCTTCACAGAAAAGTTTGTCTTCTTAGGCTGCACTCAGATCATGAGACCAGAACAGGAAAGGACAATTGCATCAGATTTACTGCATTCATATTCAGGAACCTCAGTATGGAAACCATGTTGTTCAACAGGATGCAGCAAGGCTGTCACTTGATAGACAAACCATTTCTGCTGCAGTTAAGTCCAGATCTCCATTAATCTCTCAGAGGATTAAAAGTGTCATCAGTAGAAAACTGACTCCAGCAGAAGACAAATGCCCATTAATGTATCACTTGAGTGGCACCTACTTGCAACATAGGCAAGCTCTGGTACATAAAAAACCAAACTGGATTTTCAAAGCATGGAAAAAGCATTTTCAAAGCTATGTTTAGAAAAACACTTTTTAAGACTTCCTGCAAGGTGTGAGTGGACCAAAGTAACTGATCAAAGAACCTATTTTGAGGAGAAACTGCTGATTATCCTTCCTGTGCCACAGACATCAAGCAAAGCAAAAATTATTTTAAGACTAGAAGGGATGTAGAGATTAAAATAGCCTATAAACCTGGGTTGTTACCATGCTCACTAGCAGACAAGAGATTCTGATTCTCCAGGACAGCAGAATCTCCTACACCTCTCATACATCTTCATCAAGTTGAGAGTAACCACATCTCCAGCTTTCTTTCTAGTCACACTGTCTCTCTACACCCTCTCCTCCCTGACTGACTGGGCTCTCTAATAGGTGAGAAGTACCCCAGACTATGCCACACAAGTTTTTGTTTTCTTTTTGAACCTAGATTTGCACTGCAGCCTGTCAAAACAGACAGAAATCGATGCAGTACTGGAAGGGTTTAAGTTTCAACACTAGCAATAACATCTTTTAGGAAGAGAGTGCTGAGTCAAAAAAAATTGCTTTTGTTTCTCTTTCTCACCGTTGGCAGATTCTGATAGCTGGCTGTGAAGTTGAATTCCTGTTTCGTACTCTTTATCTTAAAGCAGAGAAGTTTGGCTGGTTCATTATTCTCCAAATGAATCTCATTCTTCACGAGCTGATTCCACAGAGAGACCATTTCATTATAGCTATGCAGAACATTCCTCCCAAGATGATTAACTGTGGATGCCTGAAAAACAAAGACATTAGTCTGGCTGAGCCAGGACAGACAGCATTCCATTGTGCAGCAGCACGGCACAGAGGTGACAGAATGATCACTTACAAGAACTATTAGAAATGTGTGCCATCTTTTCCATTATCAAAATACCCCAAATTACCACACAGAGTTCAAAGTTTATTTTATCTCCTCCAAAAAAAGGTGGGACAAAAAGCTAAATAGTTGATAGTTTAACACTTTTTTCTCATTCAAGAATGTTTCTCACATTTCTCCATGACTGTGCCTGAAGCAGTAGTGACCTAAGGAGGAAAAGCTGATAAAGGAACATCCTAATCATAAACATAAGTCAAATTCCATAGTGACAGAAGTCTATCCCATTGTCTAATGAACAGCAACTAAATTAGTTTTAAATCTCTATGCATAGCACAGTCTAAAATAAATGAGGAGGAAGCTTAGAAACCACAGAGTCAGGGCACAGTGATATCCCAGGGCCCTGTCCCCAAAGCCATACACCCTGTGCACCATGTCACTCACCTGCAGGTATGTGGTAGCTGGTGTGTAAATGTGAACTTTTCCTTCCTTCTCATTGCCTTGATCTTTATAGAATAGTTCCAGTACAAGGTCTTTAATGGAGAGAGCTCTTGCAGCTGTCAGCTGGGATGTCAGTAAATAAGCAGAATGCTGAGGCTGGTGCAGTTTGTGAGCTGTGTACAGGTAGAGCCATGGGGTGTCTATACTGAACCCACCTGCAAGGGACATATATTAAAGCTGATAGAAACATGAGATTTCAGACTACCTGGATTCTAACTCCACTTCAAGGCTGATAAGATCCAGAGGTTCCAGAATGAAGCTAAAATGCTACTAACAACCTTTTCTCTTGAAATTGCTAAAATCTCTGGGTTATATATAATGAAATGAATGTCCTTCCCTAGTGTAAATGGAACTGCTGGAAGAGGCCAGCCAGGCTGTGATAAGTTGGAGGTTTTGAAAATTCAGCTAGACAAAGCCACAACAGATGTGATCTATTGCTAGAAATAGCCCTGACTGGAGCAGGAAGCTGGGCTGGACAATCTCCAGGGTCTCTCTCTTCCAACAAACATCTTTATCATTCTGTTGCACTCACGCAAAACTGCTCAGAGAAACCTGGCAGCAGCTTCCAATGCCTGCTTTTCTAATCACAGACTGGAAATGGTTTGTGGTACTTCACCTTCCCACTTCTTCAGGCCATTTCTGGATGCATCCTTCCACTGCAGCCCAGCCACAAATGGCACATGGTCATTATACTGCACCTCAAAGTTGGTGCTGCTCTGCAAATACACCTGAGAGGTGTGCAAGTGCTGCAGCTGGGTTCTGTAATTCATCTGTTTTTCCAGGACTTGCATGGTAAACTGGAAAAGAAGTGAAGCAACTTTAAACAAAAACAAGATCCCATTCTCAGGGCTGTGTAAGTTCCACACACATAAGCAGGAAGGTCACAGCTTCTGCCTTTGCACATTTGCCATTCACTCTATAGATTTTCATGCATGCTCACCAGTTATAGACTGAAGTTTCTTTAATATGCATTCGTTACAACTACAGGAGATTCAAAAAGAAAAATGCTATAATATTCTGAGTTGTTATAACCTGTGCCCTCCTTCCACATTGTGTCACCAAAGCAGCTTTCATAAATCTCTACAATCATTTTATATGAGTTAATAATGCAAAAACCTCAGAGCAAATTACACCCCAACTTTTCCAGTATTTGCAAAATTTATCTTCCAGCAAATGTCAGAGATTCAGTGTCTCTGAGCTAAAACCTCAGCAAGCTCAAAATTATTAGGTCTGGGTACTTGCCTTATATTATGAGTACACATCATACTTTAAAAAAAAGGTAGTAATAAAAAAAAATACAAAATTTATTCTTAGTCTGTCTGTTAAATATTTGAAGTGAAGGTCTTACTTTTCAGCATCACTATTACCTCCATGAAATAGCTGACTACAGATGAACTGGAACTGTTCTTAAAGGCTTGGCTGATCAGCACTTTCTTCTTGTTGTTTATTTCATCCCAATGTTTCCCATAGTTCACTTCCATCTGGGAGGAAATCCAAGATGCAGTCACTTCATGTTTCAGGTGAACCTAAAGAAGAGGGCATTGCCTTTTTGCTGTGATCTCTTGCTCATGCTGAGAGCCCTGAGTACAGGTGCCACAGGGGTGCCCAGCACAGAGTGCCTGGCTCAGCACCCACCTGGTGGCTGTAGGAGGGAGCCTGCACACAGTGAAACTCATGGCCCAGCTCCAGGCTGTAGAAGCCCCGTGGACCCATCTCCACTTGAACTTTCTGCTGCGTGCTGCACTCGTGGCAAGGGGTTTTTGCCTCTCCTGCTCAAGTTAAATCACAGTTACTTATTCAAGTAAATCAGAATTAATCTTTCAAAGTGTTAATAGTATAAATCTGGCACTGGCTTCAAGACTTCTACTTTTCAGAACATCAAAGTGAGATTTGTTTATTTTTACAATTGTATCCTTGTTGATTTATCCTATAAATGCACAAACTTCATTACTTAAACAGAATTTTACCTGGTTGAAGTAAAAGAACTACAAACTAATCACAATCAAACTTTGCAGCTTTCTTGGTATCACACAATATCTGATGATTTTCTGTTACCACCTAGCTCCCAACACCATGACATTACATGACATTTCATCTTTAAAAAAAGCCAAAAAACTCCCAGCCCTTCTGGACATTGAGAAGAAAATTGCAATAATGAATTTGAAGCTCCAACTAATAACTAGGAATACTTTTTAAAATGAAAAATCCAGTACTTCTGCAAGGAAGTATTTGCTGAACACTTCAGGTGGAATAGCTGTCAAACTGGGTTTAAACTAAAGTGTAACTATGCTCCAAGTATCTAACTGCACAATTACATAGATACAGCCAGGCATCTTAAGGTAGTGTCCAAGTGCTCAGGTATGTTTTCTTTGCTCTTTATAAAATACTGTGATCAGTATGCCATTTTTTAGCAAAATTATGGGGCCATGCCTGCATAGGTTTAAGAAAACTTTATTATTCATATTGCTACGTACTCTCTGAAGGTGCAATAGAGTAAGCATAAACAATCTCCCTCTAACATTTATCATGATTAGCTGCTACAAGCATTCAATACTTTGATATAACTGCACTGATGTTCACCTGCTTTGTCCCACAAAACTAACACAATTCCTATATTGCAATCAGGGGAGCAAAGCCAGCTGCTTCCTAGAAACCACCCCTCATATTATTGAGTGCATGCATGCAATCATCTGAAAACACAAATTAATTAGGAGCAATTCTCATTGAAAAAGTGATTTTTAATCTAATGATGGATAATGCTTGTGAAAAGTCCACTTTGAAAAAATTGGTTTTATATGCAGACTCAAAGAGTAAAGTATATCCAACTGAAACAGAAACTCATTCCCAAGTGTCAGATCACAGTTTAAAAATTAACTGAAATCTTTCTACTGCGCTCTAACCACAGAGGCAAATCTTGTAGGAAAAATAAGTAATTCAGAATACTTTTACTTTCCCTGTTTTTCAGTGTACCTAGAAGTCCATATTTAATCTGCAGACCATGAGACCACAATCCCTCACGCTGCTGGAGAAGAGCAATGGCATGAACTCCAAGAACACCTGGCAGGTGAGTCTCCCCTTCCAGTGTGTATTGTCTCTGCTTATCATCAACCTTTTTCTCCAGAAGTCCTATAGAAAGAATAGAAATGATTATGCAGTGATAGAGCTTGAAGTTACTTCAGCTAGTTAAAGGAATACTACAGTGGGGAAACCAAAAGGGCATTCAGTCTCTCCACCGTTATGAACTCCCTGTGTAGTGAAGAGATAAAAAGACAGAGCTGGATGTTCAGAAAGTGTCTTTCTTCATCTCCACAGACAGCCTGCAGACCACACTTCTCACAACCTGCTTCAAGCTTATTGAAATGCATGCAGCCAAAGCTGCTTCTCAAAGGAAACAAATTCAGACAGACAAATCTTTTAATTAACTAAGGCCTAACGTGTGAACATGCGGATGTTCACCTCTAATAAAGTCAGAGCAGCCTGTGGCTTTGCAGCAGCACAGCTGGTGCAGCCAAGTTCTCAGGTGCTGGGAGTTTGAAATCAGACCAGAACTGGCTTGGATACAGTCACTGGCAATCCATGTGAAAGCTAAGGATGAAAACTTCACCAAAAGATCATCCACCAAAACACAAACTGCCTTCTGCATTCCTTAGTTCTGTTAGTTAGTTCTGTTTGAAAGTACCATGTAACCCTATGACATTTCAGTCAAAAATGAGAGTTTTAGACATAAATTACTGGTTTATTTCACTGTATTATTTTAATTTTAATGTATTGATGTTATACAAATATTAAGGCTCTCTTTCTGATACTTTCTCTTGTATTTTCCTCTTAGCTTATTTATGAGAAAAAAAGTCTTCAAGATTTTTAGAACAGCAGGTCTTAAGAGACATTCAGCTACAAATATGTGTCTCTGCACTGTTTTGTACTAACAAAAGTGAAAAACAGCTGTTATTTTTTGGCATGTTTTTATCAAGTAATTCCTTTCATCTTATTTCCTCTACCCTTTCCAACAGTAATTCAAAACAGACTGATTTTAAAATTTCTTTTATTCTGAAATATATATATTTGTATTAATTTATGCAGGATAGTAATTTTAAAAAGGAGTCCTTATGGACTTGAAAGAAATTTAAGGAATAAATGTCCAAAGCCATGCAACTCTAACAAATAACAGCTGCAGAACTTGCATTTATATGGCAAATACTTACTGTCCTCTAACCTGAAAGAAAGGCAGCATCCTTCAACAAATTATTCAGAGATACTGAAAAAGCTATCTTCTTGCCAAGCTGTTTAGTGATGTTTCCTGACAAAATGATAGGACTGCTTTGCTTTATCAGCTTTACCTCCAGCTGGGTCATGTATCTCTGCTTTCCACTCAGCATCTGCAAATCTGCCATTCCCTAGAACAAACAAATCAAAAAGCAAACCTCAAACCTCAAGCTGCTGAACAACATAAGTGAAGTTTTAAGAAAGCAATAGTATAGACTTGGGGTTTCAGAAATGAGATGAGAGGAGGAAGAAAAGACATGTTTTCAAAGCCTAAAACTTGCCATTGATAAATAATGGGGAGGAAGGATGGATTTGTTTTTCCAGTTACACAGAGGTCACAGTGGTGCAAGATGCTACTTCCTTCAGCTTCTGCTGGTTTTAGGACTGAAATCACTACGAATGTTGCAATACCAGGCCAGAAATTAATAGGGTGTTACTGAAAATATTGGCGGTCTCACAGAGATTTAGGTTGAAATTTAGCACTGAGTCTATCTCAAAAATATGTAATAAGGAGAACTGGTAATTCCTCTGATGGATTGCTCACAAAACTGTTTTTCAATATGTGTATTTTCCCTGCCTTTCTTTTCTGTGCTTTTATGTAAGTATTCATGCTAGAAGGAGACGTCCTGAAATGCAAACATACCTTAATGTAATACACATCTCGGTCATCCACTATCAGCTCCAGGTGTCCAACTCGGGAACTTTTAGAGAACTCAATCCTCCCTTGGAGAAAAAGAAAACTCTTTACATTTTCTTTACTGTTCAGTGATGCTTCTTAAGACTGAACTTGAAATGATAGCTGTTCTTTTTATAAACAATAGATACAGAGAGATTAAAAACATATCAGCTCAAAGAAAAAAAAGTTAGGATCAGAATTTGCATTGGCATTTTGCAAAGTGTCTTCAGAATAAACTAGTAATTTTGAAAACATATTCTGAGGAGAATAATTGAGAAGAGGTAAAGAAGCTGTCTCCAACAAAACCAGCTTAGTTCTGGAATTGATTTACGCACTTTAGGCCTGTGCTAAAACTTGTAAGCTGTGTTGTGCTGTGGAGACATTTCAGGAGCTCAGAACACTGTGCACACAAAGCTTTGCACAGTGTTGGTAAAGCATCCTTGCAATCCATTTGGAAATAACCAGGATCAAAAAAAAAAAAAAAATCGGAGTGGAAAATTTTAAATACATGATATGGTGGAATACATCAACACAAAACATCACTTGACCAGCACACCAAAGAAGCTGCAATATGTTGCAGCTATATTATTACCATTAATTGATCAGTTTATATTTCCTCAATGGGTTTTGTAGATTCTGAATTCTATGGTACACTGTGATTAAAATGTTATTTTTTATTATAATGGATGACAATATCATAGTCAGTACTTCAGTGATTTAGCAACAACTAACTTCATCTCACAACTAACAGAACACAGCAAATTGAAACAGTAAGGCAAGATCAGCATATGTAAAAGATGTCAGAACAATGCACCATATTCTTTAGCCTTCAATTCATCAATCCTGGTAACAGATTTCTTCTCTAACATGACTTTATGAACCAGGTACTGAACCTCTGATTGTGCAAAATATAGTCTTAACCAAGATGCAAACCCCATTGGGAATGGCTGCTTCCTAAAGCAGTAAACTGAACAGTTATCACATAGTAGTTTCAGCATTAGGTTAGTGAGTGAAATATGCTGATATTTCTCAGTTAATTGTAATGCAGTTCTCCTAACTGATATTAGCTGATGATCAGGCTCTTAGTTGAAAAACCTACCATCAATCTCAATTTTTTTCTTGGGTTGTATCAATTGGATTCTGAATCTCCTCTGTGGGACACTAAAACTTAGGTCAACACCAATATCTCTTTTCAAGTCTGACTTTGGAGTCCCAAGGAAGAAGTGAAAGACAGCTTCACTAGGGATCCATGAATTCTCCTGAAAGAAAAAAAGGATAATCACATTATTCGTTGGCACACCATTTACAAAACAAATCTCTCACACTGAGACAAGAGATTGTTTGTGTGTGCTGTTTTGTAGATAAAAAGAGTATACACCTCCTATCAGCATCAGCAATTTGTGTCCAACATATCTTCCCATATATTGGGAATGGAATGAACAATAACACAGAGCTTGGAATGCAGAGGGTTGGATATGTAGTACTGAGATGCAGTTTGCAGAACAGCAAACTGCAGCTAAAGGCAGAGCCCAGTGTGCCAGTGGTACCTGAGCTATGTGGTCATAGGCAGCTTCCACCACGTACTGCTGCAGGCCTCTGTCTTGCTTAGTTAATGTCACAGCCACTCTCAAAGGTCCACTGAGGGGGAAAACCAAACCACTGGCTGGGTCAGGATAGGACATTGCAGAACACAGCTGCCAGCCAATAATCTCAGATACTAGTGGAAGACAACAGTTGAACATTCAATTAGAACAGCAAACAAAGAAAACACAAAAATTAACATTGCACTGTAGAACTTTAGAAATAATATGTGAAAAAAAACTCTAGTGAATAAAACAATCTGTTATGGATATTTCAGAATGCCTTTCTAAGACAAACATAATAGCTGGACTCACCTTCCTCCCTAGTGCAAGACCTGATCTCTGTGTGGTCTTGGAAGACATCTATATCCTCTGTCTCATCCACCATTCTGTAGTAGAGTTTAGAGCTACAACCAAGAATTTTGAACAATAACTTAAAATAATTATGCTAAAGTTACAGCAATATTTAAACAAAATTGTCAGTTATATTCAAGAAAGTTAACAGTTACTGTTTTTGAAGATGCCCGTGCTTAATCTTACCTGAAATCAATTATCTCCATAGATTCTTCTGGAGTGTTCAAGAAAACTTTGAGCTCTTTCCCTTTCTTCACCTGGATCCCCCCATCAAGACTAGTAGATGTCCTCATTCCTGTTAACCACTTTAGGCCAGCTTGTCCCAGAGTCCCCACAATTCCCATTTGGACAGAAAGCTGAACAAATGCACTGTTGAAAGATTCATGTACATGAAATGCAGTTTCTTTTTAAAGCACTTAATTTAAACCTCTTCAATAAATACACAGCATTTGATGCTATAACACAGTATATTCTGTGATTAAAATCATGAACTATTTTGTTTCAGGAAATAACTGAAAAGACTGAATGTGCACCAACACACACTTTCTAACATGGATTATAGTTTTACTATGTCTCATAAGGAGGAGATTTGAATGCAGCTTTCAGCATGAAATATTAAGATAGGGGAAACAATTAGAATTAAGTATCACAGGGCAAGTTTCTCTCTGCACAGCACTTAGTAAAGTTTAGTAACTTATTCAGTATGTGCAAAAGATAAAATAGCCAGGTAAGGAAACACAGGATTGAATGCTCTACTGGTTTGTGCATCCATAACCTGTAAGAGCATTATTTGATCCCAATAAAAATTCCCTTGTCACATGTAAAACATTCCAAAAAATCATCTTCATGCAACAATTCAGGAGTCTGATCTAGAGACAGAGAGGAATAGTCAGCTTAGACTAGTACTGGAATAACACAGTGAGAGCTCAAAATCAGACAGGCAGGACAGGAAAGCACTGCTGCCCTTACACCATGGCAACCATTCAGCAACAGAAAGATGATGACTGCTTTTGTTCTTCAGGAATCTCCTCATTAATTAATAGGCACAAAACTTTCACAGCAGGAATTAATACTTTACATCAGGGACATGTGAAAGGGACACATTTGCAGCATTTAATACCTTGGTTTGATATATCCATTTAGAAAGAAATTGGACTGTTGTTTGAAATCAGCATTCCCTTTGATTTTTATGTTGATTGCTGCTGAGGCATTGACTGCCAGTTGAACAGGAAAGCCTGAAATTGCTGGAAACTGCAGCTCTTCAGTGGCCAAGCTCATCCTTTTATTAAACTGGACCTCCTGCCCCTGTGGTGAACAAAACCCAAACAAAACCCAGAATATTATTTTGCATAATAGAGTTAGCATTCAATAAATTTGTCAGATATAACTTTTGACTGCATCTATCTATTCTAAAAGTGTCTTTACCTGAGCTGATCTGGGACACAAAGAAGAAAGCAGCCCAAAGCCTGCCTATGGCCATGGCATGAGTCAGACACCAGTCCTACTCTAGTTAAAAAAAGAATTTGCATTTAAGCATGGATGGATTTGAATGAAAGAAGTAAGAACCATTAAACAGCAGAACAAATCTTGGCCTAATGTACTGAATGCTGTTTAAACCAAATATACACTGGTGTCTTTTAGAGTTCAATTTAGAGAAATAACAAGCAATATTTTGTATCTTTAACATATCTGTCAGAAGGCAATTTCTCAAGATATTTACTTTGGAATAGAAAAAAGGTTCCTTTTACCTTCAGAAGTTTGACAGCCAACTCAGCCAGATTTAAGGAATAATGTTTCATTTGTTTTCTTAAATCTTCACAATTTAAGAAGCTAAGTTCATTTCCAAAGATTTTCATGCTTAGCTGACATTTCAACGCCTCCTTTCTTACTGTTCTCTCAGTGAACTGACAAGATAAAAAAAAGAAATCAAAAGGAAGTGTGTTATAATTTCCTTTCAAACTCACAATAAACAATTCCTCAATGCAGGCTATGCTATTCGTAAAGAAACATTATGCTCCCTTTCACAAGTACTTTGGAGACCACTTCAGACCCTGGATTAGCAGCTGCTCTTTCCAGCTACCCTTCAGCTCCATAGCACACAAGCTGGCTGTCACTATGGACACTGGTCCTGTCCAGTGCTAAGAGGACAGCCAAAGGAACATTCCCACAAACAGATGAAGCTTTGAAAAATACAATCTCAAAACAACATTAGGGATGCCTTGATTGCTAAATAACCTGCTAGGAAGTAAAAATTTTACATTTTCTGTCCTTACAATTCTACAAAACCATAGCAACACAATATCATGAGCTTACTCTCTAAGAAGAAACCCTAAGAAGATGAGTCCAAGAAGAGAGATCATCTAAGACAAACTAAATGAATCACAGTTCCTGATTTTTCCAGCTAATACATCAACAACTGAAGTAAATTCTCAGAGCTTCCCTGTTGTGTACATAAAATATAGCTCTCTCCAAAAATGAATAAATTCACAAAGCATCAATGTAACATCTGACATCAAACTGGGAAGTCAGATTGCAAACAACAGGACTCAGGAACTCAACATCAAGCAGCTGTTTACAGTGCCACAGCAGTCAATCAACAAAAGGACATCAGCATAAAGGAACCAGAGCTCAAAATAATGAGAGGAAGCCCAAAACACAGGCAACATAATCCCATGGCTGAGTGTCATTGTTTTAAGACAATAAAACAATCTGAAAAAAACCCTAAAAATCTGGCTCTTTGCTGCTCCGTATTTTCTGCAGCTGTTAAGTTCTCTGCAAGTGAGCAGAACGAGTTACATGTGCTTTATGCAAAGGAGTCACAGTAATCCAGAGCATTTGCCCAGTGTGAGATGGGGCCCTGTGTTTGACTGGAAAACGTCATTAATTTTTCCAAGATCTACAGATTCAGTTACCTTTTTGACTAATTCATTCATCTTACTGTATTTTCTACCAAGACAGTTTTGGTTTGTTTTTCTCAGCTTTGGCTTGCCAGACTTGCTCACAAGGTGATCAGTGGGGCTGTATCGCTTCAAAGTCGGGTTCCTCTGCTTGACTTCTTCTGCTGTCTCCACTGGAGTTTCTGATTTGTGGTTTCCTTCTTTGGTGTTTCCAAAAAAATAGTCACTGAAAGTAGAAGATTTCGGCCCAAACCCCTTCTCTATGAGAGTTTCAGCATTCTCCAATCGTACACCAACCTAGTGAAAAGCATGCAGCAGTGAAAAGCCGAACAGTGACATGTATAGGCCACGGTCAGTTCTAAAGCAGAAAATCAAATATACAACCAGATATAACCAACACAAAAGATTTGCAAGGCAAGATCACAGTCTACGAGGTTTAGCATTCTACCTCCTTCAGTATTCAATACTGGATATTCCAGTATTAAATCTTCCCCAAAAAATTAGATATGCAAAGCTCAGTCCAAAATAAAAATACTTTTTCCTTCAGGTATTAAGATCCATTTACACCATAATGGGCCAAAAGGGGATACTGCTATTTTGGCATGTTAAAAAAACTGTAAAACATGTTTGGCATGTTAAAAACTGTATTTTGGCTGGAAAACAATAAATAACACATCCTTTTCATGCTCTGAAATAAGATTCTGTTTGGAAGTTTGCTTAAAACAGAATTACTAACATAGATAAATCCAGGGTATGTAGCACTGAAAAAAAAGTTTTGTTCTCTTGCAAGCTTAAACTTGAGATCTGAAGGCTACATTAAATACTTTCTTTTTATCATGTGCACATTGGTACCTGGCACAGCAGGTAAAGATGATGGGGTCACAGGCAGGTCATTGAAATGTGCCAAGCACTGGAAGGTCAATGGCACTGGACCAGTGACTTCAGCTAAGTACAAATGAATCTACCTCTGAATTAAAGCAATGGTGTACCCAAGGCAATCCATTTCCCACTGTACACCAAGAAAAGGAATCTTACCATCCTAAACAGGAGCAGTGTCTCAGAAAGCACTGACTTTAATGTTTCATTTGAATCCCCAAGAGCTGAGTAGAAGTCACTTTCCTAGTGCGTGGCACCAGCAGAGTAATAGTGCTTTTATTTTGACTAAGCCCATTACACAAAGGACTCTTCAGTCCGAGAGAACCGTGCTACAGCAGTGAAAAGCACATTTTGCTAAAGGAACTACAACAGGAAAGCAGAAAATGCTTTGTACTTCAATATTCCAAGTGTCACTTCAGAAGGGGGATAAAACACTCCCACAATTAAAAAATCCATAAACTTGCCTCCAGGAGATTTATAGCCTGTCCCATGAAGTGAACAGTCAAATTTGTCACGACTGTTCGTGGTAGAAAAGATGTAGGAGAAAAGACCACTGATGCTTCCATATTTGCACCTGCACCAGCTGCAACAGAAAATAGATGTCTGTTAGCTGTTCTCATATGTTTTGCAAAATTCATAATTCTTTGGAAACTGTTACTCCACTCAATAAGAAGATGGTGAATGAAACATTGTCAACAGGTGAAAATATTTAACTTTTTAATACAGCAAAGGCATTACTGTAAGTAACTTCCAGTTACTGGAATTCCATATTTACTAGATATTACTGGGTATTATCTCACTAACATCAAAAGGAAAGTATTTATAATGCAAGAGATAGATAAATGCACTGGAGGAAATGGACAGAAAATCAAAATGTAACTCTGTAAAACAACATCTAGCATTTTCACTGAAAACAAATGAACAGATAGTAAAACAGAAAGGAACTAGTTTGTCTCTTCTCTTATACCAAGGACAGCACATGGATTAGGAGAAGAAAAAACAACCCAGTCCCCAGTGGCTGCAAAGGAAGTTAACTAAGGAAGGAATTAAAAGCTGATGTTCACAAAAGTAATCTTAAGTGTTCATTGGTTCTTAGTCTCCTCTCTCACAAGAGGCAAAGGTGTATGGATCTGGTTTGCTGGAAATACATTTCATATGCTCCAATTAAGGTCAGAGCAGAATCAAGCTTACATTTGCATATTTGGATAATATTAAATCATAAAAATCAAAGTTCTCTGGAACAATATGTAAGGGGTCAGAAAAGCCATGTGGGATGTTAATAATCCATTTGCTACAAAGTATTAAGTTCTAAAACTGCACATACCTGAGTGAAATGTGACATCAGAGTATGAGGAGTGTTTCCACATCTCCCCATCAAAATCTTTGCTAAGGATTTCATCAGGAATAGAATCTCGAAGGTGCTCCTTCAATGGGTCATCTGTCTCCAGGAGCTGAGTGAGATGACTCCAAACAAAGGAGCCCACTAAAATTCAACAAAGAAAAGCATGTAAAAATCAGAGAAAATGACAAGAGTCTTAAAAACAGATACAGCAATTTTTTTTTTAAGATACCACCATAAATTCTATTTTTTATATATCACCATTAATTCACCATTCCCCTAACCACAGCAGAATCCATTCATTTTCAGCATAATTAGAATCAGTCTGATGCACCAACTGCAACAGCACCTTAAATAAAAAAGGCACATACAATTAAACAATTGTGATTAAGGATTAGCATTTCTGCATGACACTGTGGAGTCCCAGTTTGACCATGTATGTGATGTGTGATGGGGGGCAAATGTTCTGGAGTGTAGTTCCTAAATAGAGGCTTTTTTGTCTCCTGAAGATAAAAGATATTAGGCTCCAGTGCTAGTTCAATGCACAGACACTGAATACTGATGTAACTGCATTTTTCACAACCCAACTTCTTTTCAAATTTCATTTTCTGATTGTGGAACTAAAAGCTAACATGTGCCCCATGCCTTCAAAAGCGCTCGTTATTCAAAAGCTTATTATATAAATTATTTAGCTGTCACATCAACAAATGACAAAGAAAATAAATTAAGAATATTCATGAGTACTGCATTAAATTGTTTGTAACACACAACATTTTGGATGGACTTGTAGAGCTCCTTCATAAATCAGACAAATTAAATTTTCTACATGGAGTCCCCAGGAGGAGTCACTGAGGGCACACCTTGACAAGGTTTTGGAGGTGGATGCAATTTCTCTCCATCTGAACTCTGAACAGAGGGGAATGAGTGCCCTCCAAACCACAAGCCACATCAGCAGGTGAACACAATGCTGAGCCTGAACTCACAATCACTGCAGGAGACACTGGTCTGGACACAACATCCTGGGAAATGGATCCCAGCTCCAAGGCAGAGCTGGCCAGGATCCAGACACAGTGCAGACAGAGCCTGCTTTCATCTGCCTGCAAACAATCTTACAGATACCCTTCTCATGTTTGCTTCTTCTTGGCAGATGGAAATGCAAGGGATTAGTCTAGAGGCACCCTTCACTGAATGTGGTGAAACCATTTTAGAAAATCGTAACATTTTTTTCTGCCACTTGATTCTTTCTCAACTTAACAAAATACAATTTGCAGTCATGAATTTGTATTTCTAATGCACTGAGCATCTATACATCCTTCTCAGGAGCCTTCAGAGAATGAAATGTTGCCTGTAGAAGGAACTAATTCTATGAAAAGTCAGTCCTTACTATTGCTAAACTAACAGTATCACAATTTGAATATAAAATGTTACAATCATACAAACAATTATTTAGAAACAATCTACAAAGCATTGAGATTAAATAAAAATTGACATAGATCGGTACCATTACACCTGCAAAGTAAATGTCACATTGAAGTATCAATTAGGAACATGTAAGACTTCAAGGCTTGGCTGACCTTGGCTGGATGTTTCTTTCAGCAAAGTCTTTTGTACTTGTTTAAATAACTCTTCATGTGGACATTTCATTGCTATATAATAAGCAGCAATTCTTATTTCCACATCTTCGCTGGTTGCTTGATACAGCTGAACTAATATAGCATTCTAAGAGAAAAGCACAAAAAGATAAGGACAATTATGATTCCCTCCCCTGGAACACCTTTTCCCACTGAAACCCACTTTCAGGTGTTGGTGGGTTTTTTGTTCTCCAAGAGCTATTGCTACGTTTATACCTTAAATAGCCTTATACCCAACAAAGCCACTTCATGTAACATGGATACAAATGTATCTACATATTGTCTATACTACCCTCTCCACAAATTTCCTGAACAAATTGTCATTATGACCTTGAATCCTACACAGACAAATCTATACAGGACTCTGCAACACAGAGCCTCCCCTAACAGCACAACTGTTAAGGATGGTTTTATCCCACCACATGGGAGATGTGTCTGTTGTACCTCTCACGTGCTGCAGCCAATACACAGACAACAATGGCCATGGCATTGTTCACAGACTATTAAGATCATTACTTTTGGTCTCAATCAAAGAGCAGGCCAGCAATAAATTCATTCTGTTCAATATTTCCCCAGTATCAACCAAGATAATTCCTGGTAGTTCACAAAAAAAATTAAGAAACTAGTGACTGATACTACTAACATTTTTATTAGCATTTAACAGCCCCAGTCCACTCAGTTCATTTGCCAGACAATGATGGGGTACACAACAACATACAGACTTGATACTTTGAAATGTCTAATGAGCAACACCAAGCTTCATAACTGCAGAACAAGTGAATCACACCAATCCATGCTGAAATTAAATTTTAAAAAGCCATAGAAAGGTGTTTCTCCAAGTGCAAGTCCATGTGGAGCTTCTCGTTCATCTGGAGCAAGACATCCAGCTTGGCCCAGACCAGCACTCCTGGCTTTGCCATTCTTCTAAGTAGCAAGGTATTAAAGATAAACAAGTCTTGAACTTTCTTCCATTAAACCACTTAACAAAACGTTCTAACTGTGGCAGTGTATTGCAAATCACAACAAGCTTCTCACATTAATACTTTATGTTTCAGAGATTAAAACAGTGAAACAGTCTATGGGAAAAATCAAATCCTATGGGTTCTCAGCCATCATCCTTGCAGACAGAAGACACCCAACTGCAGTGCCTAATTAAGAAGTCCCAGACACTGGATGTGTTACCTCAACTGTAGCAAACCTTATTATAGGTTTGTTCATCTGGGTGGTTCTACCCTCTCCTCCAATAGCAGAGGGGCTCTGCTGGAACATGTCTACACTTGTTCCTTATCCATTTGTGTGTTCTGTAACTATTCCAACAAGTCCCAAACGTGTGGCAGTGAATCACTCACCCTGAGGGAGCAGGGAATGCGCCGGAAGGCCTGGACGGCTGCGAGGCGGATTTCCATGGGATGGCTCCTGAGGGCAGCGCACGAGCTCAGAGCAGGAGCCAGCGCAGCCGCTGCCAGCCCCGCGTTCCCGATGGCTTTCAGCACCAGCTGCAGCTGGAAATGCAGAGCAAGGCAGAACAGAAAGCTCTCCAAGTGCTGGTAGCTGTACATTGAATTTCATGGCACTAGCATTTTCTGTGCAAAAATCTGTTTAAAATGATTACTGGTGATTTGGGGAGTTTACTGCAGGTCCCATTGTACCACCAATATCCTGGCTTTACAGGAAGGACAAGACAAATATGGACCATGTGGCACTTGTAAGTATACTTGTAAGGGGGAATACAAAAATATTTTTTAAAAGACTACATTGCAACAGGAAAGCAAAAGTCACAAATTTTATGTACTGGAAAGGTTTTTCAAGTACTTTGATATTTTGTCCCTTTTGATCACAGATATTTGACATTTTAGTGATTCAACATAGATTTCTGGACACAACAGCTAAATTAAAATATTAATTTGTCAACAGATATGTGTTCTTCATATTGCTCAATGGTATGAAGTTTGCTTCATCAGGAAAGCCAAGGCTTTTCTTTATTTCCACACACAAGAACACCCATACTTGATAGGTTCTACTTGTCAGATTACAAAATTTTATCAGCTCATTCTAGCAAGAAATATTCATTTACTAAGCTTGTATTCATGGCTGTCTGGAAATCCAATGATTACCATTTTCATCAAACAAGTTCTAGATCATCAAGGGAACAGAAAAGTAAAGCCCTATATCATGTGCCTCTGTACAACCAATACCTTGCTGAGATGTTCTGGATTTTGCACAGTACAGTTTCCTCCCAAAAATTTCCCAAGAGTCCTTATCACACTCTGCACAGCAGGTACAACACCACAGGAGCTGTGAGCTGAACAAAACCTATGTACAAGAGCAGTTACTCCCAAGAAGCAGCTCTGGCTTGCTCTAGGTGACTTCAGCAAAGGCTGTAAACAACCATAAAAAGAATGAGATGTTTCAGAAAAGTAATGAGAATTGTGACATACCACAGATTATAAATGTATCAAAATATTTACAAACTCAAATTCAGCCTCAACAAAATTATCTGGACAGAGCTTTGTATAAATACATGAAAAAGACTGTTACTGTAAAACACAAAAACTATGAGCCACCTAGATTAATTACAAATTAAAAAAGAAAAGCAGCATCCACTCACAGCAAGAGATTCAATCATGCCTGAAGTGGGATTAGGAATGAATGCAAATGACCAGAAGAAATGTTCTACTTTGTCTTCTTCAACTTCTCCAGAAGCTATGAGGTCTTTCATTAGGACAACACATGCCTCTGTGGCACAAGATGGGAGAGCATCTATTAACGGTTGCCTGTAACAGAAGAAAAAAGTACAAAAAAACCCCTAAAATGACAAAAATACTTAAGGATCACATAACAAGTACATTGAGACTGGGCTTCTTTCAAAGTAAATAAATGTCCAGTGGCTTAACAAATTCCAGATTCCACAGAAATTAATATTACCTTCTGGTATAGTGGCCTTAAAGAAATATGTTTCAGACAGGATGGGATGGAAGTGCATTGGTGTTTCAATAGTACCTAAGCAGATTTTCAAGAAAATATTCAGTTGCTTTCTCTGAGAATTAAGCCACATCATATCCTTGGTTTGACTTCTAAAGACTGAGGTACCTTAAAGCACTGACTTTTTATTAAGGTGGTTTTTACCTTTCATTTCACCTGTAACATGAGTAACAAATTAAAATATTAAAACATTAAAACTAAATTGACCAGCTTTTACTTCCTGAGCTTTTTCAGACCTTATCTAAGGGGAAAGCTTACACCAGCATGACAGACAATACATATTTCAGATCTTAAGAGTAAATATTCTGTAATGTAAATATTCTGTGCCTGCCTCTTATACTGATGGAAGGACACTTCTGCATTAACTAGAAAGCAGTTAAACTAGATAGGGTAAAAGCATCCGAGTGGGATCTGCATGGGATTTTCTTTCACTCCTAAATTTAATAACCATGTCCTGAGTAAAATGACTCTTTTTAAAGGTAATATAAAAAGGCAGAGGAGTTTAATTACTATCTAATACTGAAGAATATTAGCTTGACTATTTATCAAAGGATGAGAATAAACCTAACCCAAAATAAAATTTGCCCCTTGTGCATCAAGTAAAGATATTGTTGTAAACACAAACCTTGGCATTAGATTAATTTCAAACAGGCTCATGACATTTTGTACTGAAACCAGGTGAAAGAATTGCTTCATTATTTTCAATTTTATGAAGAGAGAAAAATGTACTGATTTTAATAATACTGGATTAGTATTCCTGATAGTCTCAAACCATTGGATCAGAACTATTCCTGACTGCAGAGGAGAAGGGTCTTGATCTCCAAAGCCACAGTTCTACAATTGACATAAACCTTCCTGATATCGAGCTGCTACTGAAAGATGCAGCTCCACCACATCCATACTTCCAGCCTAACATCTGTCTCCTCTGCCCCATGGTTACTAAGGGCATTGAAGGTACAGATCCAGGTAAGCTTTTTCATAACAAATGGCCACATAAGCTTAAAAGCAGCAGAACTGATTTCCATCCAAGCCATGACTCAGGTTTCCCATTCACATTGCTTCGGAAACAGGAAATCTGGCTGTGGGAATAGGTAAATCTATTTTGTACACAGCATTCATTCAGTAAGGAGAGAATGTCATCCCATTGCAGAAACAAGATCTGCAATACAAATTATTCCTTTAAAATGCTCCAAATTTAAATCCAACATTTGGGCACAGATTGAAAACATTTAAATATTTGCAAAATATTTTTTCCTGTATATTTTTGAATGCAATTACTAAAGAAGACTTACCAATTGTCTCTGCACTTGAATGATGATCTTTGCCATAGTGCCCTTAAGGCCTCAAGGGAAAGGTGTCGAAGCTCAAACACAAGAGTCATGAAAAGGTCTGCAGTCTGTAAGTGCACAACCACAAGTGTAATATTCCTGCTGTGCAGAAACCAGCTTCAGAGAACAGAGCACATGAGGTTATGCTGGCGTTGCCACTGATTTACAATGTAACCCGAGACTGAACCGTCTTTCTTCCCTGTGTCCTTACATTCCTTCCTCATTTGCTTTTCTCTCCAGACTGCAAATGTATATGGAGAAGGGCTTTTGCTTTGGATGTCAGTCCCTGAGACAACAGTTCTCAGCGACCACCACACATACCACAGGCATACAAATGAATAATAAACCAAAAGGCAACAGTGTGGCTACAATCCAGAAGAGAAAGTCAATCTTCTCTGAGTTTGTATGGCAAGATCCTGATTTATGACCAGAACTGCTGACAGCTTTGACACAAATGAAAAAATTGTCAAGCTAACTGCATATGAATCTTAGGTTTATGTGAAAGATCATTTAACAGAGATTTGGGCAACACTTAGAAGTTTCACTTAAGAACCCTTGGGCTGTGAGAAATGATTCCATCTTACTGGGGAAAAGCCCAGGCAGAACTGCCCTTACCTCTGCAGGCAGCACAGGACTAGCTGGAAACAGAGGCAGAAGAGCTGTTCTGTTTCACTAAGAGGAATTGCTACATCATACAGCAGCTATTTTGCCTGCATTTTAAATGCTAAATAGCACGTGGATGTATTCCTCTGAGACCTGATCCAAAGTTAAAGAAAGAAGATAGGTCTCATTGCTTGAAAAATTAGCAGAATGTTCAATACAATATCCTGTATGTTCATGTTAACTGAACTTTATAATGTAGAAACTTTAAACATGATCCATGTCAGATTCACTTCAATGCTTTATTCACCTCAGATGTGAAAGGCTTAGACATAGGACTAAATTTATGGTTCCAAAGAAAACATTTTTCTTTACATAAAAATTATACAAACAAAGTCTAATTTCACTAAGTCACATTTCCAAAGGTTTGGGGACAGACCTACTTTGACTTTCTGACCTTCCTTCCAGGAGCCACTCCCAAAAACAATGAAAACATGGAATAACCCAGTGCCAGCATTCAATTTTAATTAAAGACTGCCAAGCCCTTTTCAGTAACAAGAAGCTGTCTTTCAGTAAGAAGCCTGAGTAACTTCTTACTATTTTGTTTGAGGGAGCAATTTGTCAGATCCAATCTAGATATAGTTTATGTTTTTAATCTTTTGGGATTTATATTATTCTTAGAAATAATATATAATTTAATCAAATTAAAACCTGTTCTTGTACATGAAGCCCCACCTATGTATTAATTCTGTTAACATTTATAATTCCATACCTAGAATTCAGATAGATCCACATGCATTCCATTCCATTCCATTCCATTCCCTCATTACCACTGAGATCTATCTTAAAAAGAAATTCCAAGCCTGGACACTATGGAGCTAGTGAATAATAATAATAATTTTTTAAAAGCATTTCTAAAGCCTGGGCCCTATGTGCATTTCTCCACAGGTAAATCTACTGGGGGCAGGGGATCCTCACAGATCTCATCACAAGGAGGTGTGTGTGCAGCTGCTGCCCAGGTGTCCCATCAGCTGGAGCTGCAGCACAGGTCAAGATAAAACTGCCAGACTGATTTGCTTTCAGGTGATACAATTTTAGACTGTAAACTGACTTCATTCTGCTTCACACCTGCTGACTAGACAAGCTCTCCTCTAATAACTCAATGCAAAATTTTGCAGACAAGCAGCTATTTTTACTCTCTAATAATAAATCTTTAGAATGAACTGTCTGACCAGGTGGGCTGTTGTCATTTTTTAAGGTTGGTTGCACTGAAATTGAGCTGTCATTGTAAATTCCTCCCTTTGTAGTATCATAATAACAAACTACATTCAAATCTCACTCCCATTCCCACCTCTGATAGAAACACAAGAAAGCCTGGCTTTTATTCTACATAGAAGGTAGTTTGTCCTTCTACCTGCAGACCTGCCATATTTTAAAATAATAAACTAGGTAAAAGAAAGCAATTAGAATGCCCTACAGGGAAAAAAAACTAAAAACCAAAACCAAACAAAAATGAAAGATCATGCCCTAAGAGTAAACTTTTTTGGGTCAGACTGGGGTCCAGGAGCAAGGCAAAGCAAATCTGACTACTCTTGCATACACAGCCACATTGACCAGAGCTACTGCCCAAGCACCAAATCCCAGCCAGTCGCTGGAAATGCAGCCCCAGCAGAAGTGCTGTGACAGGCTTCTCTCCAGCCTCTCTCAAGAGAGGGTCCCTTCTCCCCCTCCCTTTTTCCATTCTTTGTCAGCAGGCAGCTTGTTCACTTAATGGTCCATTAGCTAATCTACATCCACATTGAAATTCAATCTTGTTTCATAATAGCATTAAAAAATTAAACAACAACATCGCTTCCTTGGAACTGACACCATCTCCACCTCCATTTTCTCATCCCTTCACTGTTTTCCCCAGAGTTGGAGATTTTCCCTTCCATTTATTCTTGGTTTTGTGTCCTGAAAGAAATGCATAATCTCACTTCATTCAGAGCCAAACAATAAAGGGACAAACAAGCTCTACATGCATAACAGTGAAGCTGTCTCCCAAGCAACACTGTGGGCATTCCCATAACTTCTTTCTTGGCCCAAAGGACATTTCATTGGTTGAAATGAGGGATGATAAAGATTCTCTTTGAAATGTCTGGTCACACAGAAAGAACACCCTGAAACAGTGAAAATGGTTGACAACCAATCAAACCCTGTGCTGGGACAGGCACATGATGAATAATTCACTTTTCTTCTAGGCAGTGGCACAGACAGCAGCCACTTGTGCTAATCTTAGTGATTGAAAAAAAAAAAAACACCAAAATTTCCCACACATGAAGCCAGTCAGCCTTTCTGGAGGCAGAAGTGACATCCCACTGTTACTGGGAAAAATCATCTCCCATTCTTTCAAAGACATTGAATTAAGAGTGTTCCACAGAAGGTAGGATTTACGGTTTCTCAGGTCTCCTGGAGTAATTTCTTTCTTCAATATTTTCCAGGCAGTATATGACCCTCTAGTCTGTGCCTAAATGCCATTTCATACTGCTGTACAGTGACAATCCCATGGAATTAAGCATTATCCCTCCCCAAGAGGAAGGTCTGCTCTTATTCTCTATTAGCACCAACCATTATAGTATGGCTCTCTTAGCCCTCCACAGCCCCAGTCTCCACAGCATGCAGCTAAAAGAGATGGGAGACCTGCTTATAACTCAGAGAAAAAAGCTTATCCCAAATATTGCAACATCCAGAAAGGCCACCTGCTGCTTTCTGCTCAGCCCCATGCCCAGGCTTTAGTCAGGCTGTGATACCAGGTCAGCTATGATCACCATTTAACAGGTTGGGAGTAAGGTCTGGGGCTGGAATTTATCACAGCTGATTGCAGGTGATGGCTTCAGCAGCTGTGACTTCTCTGCTCCACCCTGTGCCTTGCCCTGAAGTCTCACACACAAAACATGAACATCTACCTGTGCTCATGAATCACAGGGGACACCAAGAGAAGGATGAACACACCCAGGACATCACTGCAGAGCTGCAATCCAGCACTGCACTTGTCTCCAGTCCCCATAAAGCTTCTCCTCCAAACCTCAGTATCTGTGTCCAGCCCAGGGGAGTGACAGGAAGAGCTTCTGTTCTTTGACATGGGACTTAATCTAAACAAGGAAGGTGAGTGCCTTCCATGCTGGGTATGAAGCCTTCTGTTAGCATCACTTGGACCTATGTGCATTCACAGGGGAAATCTCAGCCTCTCTGCACAGGAAATAACCTTGCTCCAAAGTAAAACAATCTGACCAGAACCTCAGAGGACAGGGAATATATCAGCAATGAGATGACTAAACTCATCAGTGGCAAATTCATGGAGGCACCGATGCCCTGTTTAGTGCCTTTCCTATCAGACCATACTTGTTTTCTAGTAATATCCAGACCAAAAATTACCTAAAGAGTGTTCTCTTCTGTTTTCACATTTACATTTTTCCCTTATTTTTCTCTGTAGGAGCTTCACTACTAGCAAGAACCCCGGTATTTGAAGGATATGGGATATGAAGTGTCCTCTGTTTGCCCTCAGCTGATCTCAGGTGAACAGTGATTAAGCACCATCATCTGTTGATCCTTCTGTATTGTGCATAACAGGTGCTCTTTATAACCTACCAGGTGTTCTTGAAAACCTCTGAATTTCAGAGACAGGGATCTTAATTTCAAACACAGAGACAATTACTGACTGATTCAGCTGCTGCCAGTATCAACATCTAGAATGATTGTCATCATAAAAAAATATTTAAGCCACTGCCTGTTCCACATGACCAGAAGATTCCACCCTATCTTAGCAGCATTCACCAATGAAAATGGTTCAGGGGGCAGAGATTCCCTCTGGACCCAAGCAGCAGCCCCAGAAAACACCATGGTTGTTAGAGCTCATCAGAAGCACAAGGAACCTGCCAGCCAAGACCAAGAGGCAAGGGCTTCATGTGCCAACTGTTTTGAGGGGATGAGGCAATATAAGGATGGCAGAACTCCAATAAACATGGAGACAACAGCACTGCCAGGGGTAGTATTACACACCAAAGCTGTAAAAGACGTGTTTTACTATAAAGTATCAAAACTGCCAGTGACAACCCAAACCAGATACTTTATATGCTTTTGTTTTTTCACAGCAAAACAAAAACTTGAGACATTTTCTTTCAGATTAATTTAGAAAACAGTTCAAAAATGCTTTTGCCTAATATTCAGAGGGCTACAGTGTGTTTTAAATCCTCAGTGTATTTACTGTTTATATAAGAAAACAACATTGCAAAGCATTTTCCCTTTTCTAATTCCATATTTAAAAATGTCCAAAACAATGGAAGGCTTCAGTATTTCAAAATTGCTGCTCTCCTGGTCACCTCTTATCTGTGCAAGAGAATTCTCAGCCCACAAAGAGCCTCCCAAGGAAGCAGAGGCTGTACAGCTTACCTCATAACTTGCACTGTGCGCTAAGCAAAGCTTCCACACCAGTTCAGTCACTTCTGCTCCAGTGACCTCCCTCTTAGTTACCTCCCTTTCATAGAGAATGTCAGTCACATACAGATCCTCAGAGCCCCCTGGAATAAGGAACATAAAGGAAAAATCACATCTCTGGTGATTGCTGGCCATTTGCTATCATTAACCCCATATGCAAGGGGAAACCTCCTTTCTGAGCCTTTATTTCTCCCTGTATGAATATTACCAGGAGTGCAGTCAGCTTGAAATTAAGAACACAACAGAACAAAGACAAGTGTAACCCAAAGAAAGAGTGAGAGAAATAAGACAAAGATACACATGATAAAAAGCCCTATTTTTCACCAATCCATCTCTTATTATGGCCCTGCTACTTTACATTTGTCACCTTTTCCAATGTCATCAAATCACTAGTCCCACACTTCAACCACCCAAAAGGTGAACAGGAGCTCTAGGTGCAAAGAGAAAGAAATGGCTTGGCTCTGAACCTCTTCCTGAGGAAAAATTCTATCATCTTATATTTGTATAATTACAAACAAAGTGTTCTGGAAATTTGGGGGTGCCTTTAAAAAAAGAACCAAACAATTATTTAGAAACAGACAAAAATATGTTCCTCAGCATTTAGAGTTCAACTTGGAAATCATTTCTCAGGCAAGCCCCTTGTTGACTTCAGTAAAATAATTTTCCTAAGGAGAAACATACAGGGCAAAGAAGGAGCAAAATTTAAAACAGTTCTCAGACATGGCATGTCCTTAGTTCCATTAGGACATAAAATTATTTAGGCTTCATTTATATAAAAACTAGGAATTGTCCACAGACCTGGGAAGGCTGATGCTCTGCATACAAGGGGACTAGGTATGTAAAGTGGATAAAGGGGAGCTAGCCATTACAGACCATCACTGTTGGAAACCTACCCAGTTTTGGAGTTCCACACAGTTCTGTTATGGCAGGCCCAAGCCCCAAAGGGACAGCTAGGCAGCCTGTAAAAACATCCACATTAAAGCAGTTTATTCCGTTAAAGGTGAATATCATGGGTGCAAAGAGTTCTCACAGGCAAGGCAAAGTCACAATATTTTTCTATGAAATGAATTTACTTTACTTTAGCAGAAGCACAGTTACCTTTACTGTAGAGTGTCTCTGTTTCCACATGCATGAGTGTGAGCACAGACCAGGTCTGTGTCTCTGCCCCGCTGCCCTGCTGAGGGAACAGCCTCACGCGCTCGGACTCGCTGCATTTGGCCTCCTCCAGGACCCCATCCCTGATGCTCTGGACACATTCCAGCTGGGAGGACACAATCTGCTGTTCAGACTGAGAAAAACAGATACTTCAGGAAGATTCTTGATGACCTGTGTCAGTCTACCCAATCCTTCCTCTCCCAACTTCACAGAGGATTCCAGTTTTGGGATAGTGAGAAGTCTCTTGTCCACATCTCTGACAGTGCCCAGCCTGTGGAGGTTAATGCACTCCTAATTTTAGCCTAGTTTTTCAACACTGTAAAAAACTGCTATTAACTGCCAGGATCAAATGGTGTCAATTCATTTCAATTCACAAAGCCTCAAAGTTCATCAGATATTTTTGGTCAGCAAAGTAGAAAAAAGCAAAAGTCTGGTAAATTATGAATAGCTACTACAATCCAAGAAACAGGTGATATTCACCTAATAAAAACAGCACAAGATACAAACATTGATTGTATTTTCTGTCAACAGTGGAAAGTTGCAAGTCTGGCATTTAGAAAATCTATCTTTCCAAAGTTTTCTACAAATAGTAACTTTCTTTTTCTAATTTATTTTTTCTTACATCTCTCGATTCCCCCCTTCCACAGAGTATTTTCAGTTTACCTCTGTAAAGTATTTTAATGAGAGTTTAATCCAGGTGCCTAACAGCCTCTTGCATTTATACTGTAACATCCATCAACTACAATGCAAATTTGCATTGAAACAAATTCTGTGAATAACAGACATTACAGGGAAAATAATATTCACCATTTCTTTGCTAAGAACCCAAGTTTGGGCAGACACTCTCTTCAAATGAGTCAAAAGCAAGAGTCAGCGTCATTCTCCAAAACTTACTGACACATGAGGAAGAACAACAGACTGCACAGAAGTCAAACCAGAAGAGCGATGGGAGCAGAGGTTTAAGTCCTTTGTCTTTACAAGAATGGGACCCTTTTGCTGATACCTGGTTGGGCAGATTCCCAGGACATCCACCTAGTAACAAACACACACTGTTGAGTCACACACACACACAAATAAAATTCAAGGAGATAGTGTAGGTTATTGCAATTAGTTTTAATAGTTACCTTTTTTGTAATAACAACAGAGATCTAAATTCTCCATTGCAGAAGACCAGTTTTGCCAGAAAAGCTATGAAAAGGCAAATAATTTTAAAGACCTTGGTCAAGTTTATAGTAGCCAGGCTCTGTTGGTTTGTTTAATTTCACTGTGTTATTCTGAATCAGGTAATTACAGATATATGCTCTTCCATTTAAAATGTTGTGGGCATGCAGGGAAGCATTAATTCAGAAGAGCATCACTAGGCAGAGTAACTTCAATTATGTATGGGTGTGCCAAGCCCTACTGCAGAACATCTCGGTAAGCACCGACACGCAGCAGTAGCCTGAGACAATTTTAGAACATTCACAAGAAGCAATCAGATAACTGCCACTGTCTGCTGAACCAAGTGGCAAAACCCTTTATTTATTTACAAATGGAGTAGACTTAACATGTACAAGAGCTAGGAGTCACCTCAGAGCAGGACAGACAGACTCACCTCCTCAACAACAGCACCAGCCGAGAATTCTGGTGCTGTCTGCAGCACACTGAGAATGCCTCGCTTGATGTTCAGTGCCCAGGTCTGTTCACCCCTCACAGGACAGAGCTTCAGAACTTTCCCATCACGGAAAGAAAAATGAAGAGGATGCTGTTCTAGTATTTCCCTGTGATAAAAAAGTTTATCATTTCTTGCTTCAAAGAGTGCAAGTCAATTTATGACATTAGACTCAGACTTTCCTCAACAGAGCTGTTCTTCTACAATGCATCTGTCTCACTCTCTATCTCTGTTCTTTACAGCAAGCCTCTATTCTTCATAAACTCAGCCTAATCCTAACCCAAGGAGTCCTTAAAAAAACCCTGTGAAACCCAAAAACCAAATCTGCTCAAGATAATTACAGTATCCTCAACATAACTGCAACACTTAATAAAAGCAGTCCTGTCAAATTATTTACAAGTAAATGTACTTAATGGCAATGATTCTTGTTTAATTAAGAGAGAAATTCCATTTTATTATTCAGGGTGCCTTTGGTAGGCATGTCTGAATTGCAAAGTCACTGCACCACGCCTCTTCAGCAGTGATGCACACAAGAACAATTGCTTCCCAATTAACCCATATCTTCCTGCTCTGCTAGGTGTGAATACTCAGGCTCTATCCCTAACTTATTCCCCAATCTCTGCTGTTAGTACACCTCCTAATGGCTTTTACTATCTCAGATTGAGAGTACAGTGTTTTCTACCTTTCCAAGGGATCACTTTTTAACATTGATTTTCACTCCTAATGTAACATACTTTAATCATATATTTTCCCTCTAAATGGGGAAAAACAAACCATCCAAAGGAAGAATTTTATTGTAGCCCAATGGTCAGCTCCCATACAGGGAGCTAGACAGGTCATCTGCACATTAACTGGGACACTAACTATTCATCTAGTCAATCAGTCACAAAGTAAGAGATAAAACTTTAATATACAACATCTGGATAGAGTCCTTCCAGAAGAGACTTGGCATATAAGAGAAAGGTTTCTGAACTCCCAGGCAACTGAGTCTGTTTTTGCTACTATCTGTGGAAATTACATGCATGTTCAGAGGACAAGCTAGACTACTGTATATTCACAATAGGCTGAGGCAAATGCTAATAAGGCTCACTTGTCTGAATAATTATTCTGAATAGCCAAGCTTCACTGAATGCTTTCTTTGCTACCTCTCTTTTTTGGCTTCTCTGCAAACAATACACAACTGCTCTTACTGCTATGAAAATCTTGCAAATAACTTGACAGAAGATGTGCCTGTACACTCATTTGAACTCTGATACCAGTGCCCATAGAGAGAACACAAAGTTCTTCCTGATGAATATAAAAAGCAATGCATTTACCCCAAGCTTGCTCTTTTTGACCCTTTGAATTGAGTCAATTACCTCAGCTCTCAGTGTTGTTTAAAGGCTGAGAATCCAAGTGGCAGGACAAAGAGGAAGATTACAAGGCTGAGCTTCATCAGACAACAGCACTGCTTTTTTTTTGATGAGACAAGAAGCATCAGCTCTCTGGGAAAATGCCAGACTTCCACAGTTTGAGGAGATCTTTTTGTATAGCCATCTATACTAGAGACTATACCTTGGCAAGTCAATGAGAAACACTGACATATGTTATGAATGAGCTACTAAACCCAAAAACAGAAAAGGAAGAAAATCTCATTGGACAAATAAATGAAATATAAATACCTTGGGTGAAAAAACCACAAAGCTTTGCTTTATGAGAATCTTTTAAACCAAGAACTTCTGAAATGTACTGCAACACACTAGAGTCTGTAGAAGTAACATCTGCAGCTCTGAGAGCTGTGATCCACACATGCTGCTAGAGGTCTGGTGATTTGTACTCAAAATAATTTGAACTGTCCACTATCCAAAAGGTTTTACATACAAAGGAATGAAAGTTATGCTGAGGAAAAACCTGTTTGGACCAAACATCTGTCATTCTCTCATTTTTGCTTATGGTGCTCATATCTGGATCCTCATCTAAAAAAACCAGCTAAACAAAACAAAACAAAGAAAACCCCTAAAACTAAGCAGAGTACAAAGCAGAGTGAGCAGTGTCCAGTCAAGCTGCTGCTAAGCCACATAGTTTCAAAAAAACCCAAAAAACAGACCAATTAGAAGGTTTTCTACCTTAGACTCTCCATTTCCATCAGAGACTCCTCTCTGGATGCAAAACTTTTCTTAATCTGTACATCTTGCACCTAGGAGCAAAGATTATAGGCAATATATTTCATTGTCAAGAGGAATTTGTGGATTTATCACATCAGGATATCCACACCAAACATCACAGAATATGAACAAAGGTTCAGTCTTGCAATAGAACTGCATTAGCCCTATCTTCAGGTGGCATATCTGAGGCAGTTTCCAGAAAGTTCTTCTGTGAAGAAGTTTCATTCACTATTAAACCCATTTTACACAGCACTATTATATCCCTTTTACCATCAAATCACTAACCAGTTAATTTTTATCCATGTGCTAGGAGAGGTATAAATCTGCTCTTCTTTGTTGGCCTCATGGGTGTGTATTTAGTAGACATATGTCTACTAAAGCAAAACCAGTGAATTATCCCCTCTGTTAACATGAAGGAAAGCCCAGGCAGCTGAGGAGTTGATTTTCCTTGCTGGCCCTGTAGTTCTCCACCTGGCCCACCACAGGGCTAACCCTAGGAGAAGCTGCTCCTGTCACTGAGACAGATCTCCTGTTGGGATGAATGGAGTGGTACAAGATTGAATTTTACACTGGGCTAGGAATGGCACCAATCCAGCACATCATACAAGTTCCTCAAGTTCTCTTTAAAATGCTTGCTATTTTAAAATTATTACTACAGATATCAAAGTGCTTTAAAGTAAAACAAGCTCCTTTCAAGGACTGGCTTCACCTCCAGTTCTGTACTTCATAACACAAAACCATGAAACTGTTGTGTCACTTAGAAAAGAAAACAATTATTGCCTTTTAAAACTGGCAAATACCTAATTTCAAGTTGTGGTGCATCAAAGAAATACTGCAACTCTAATTATGAGATCCAGAATCAAACTGGCTTTCAATTACAGGAAAAACAAATGTTTGAAATGTAGTAATAATCCCTAAGAAAAATAAGGTTCCACATCAGCTCCTCTCAATCACTCAAACAATTATGATAATACTTACTTTCAAAACCATCTGGCAATTCCCCAATACTTCAATGATCACTGTGCTCTCCAGAGAGATGCCACTGCTTTTGTAACTATTTCCCTGCAGGAATGTGTTGGTGACTGCTGAGTACCTGTAGCTGTATCTAGCTCTTTTGGGGAAGTATGATGCACTGTGTCCTAGGAAATAAACAAAAACAGGGAGTGTTCTTAAGCCTATTAAACTTCCCCTTCTCTCTATTTTTTTTTTCTATCTTTTAATCTTTCAGCCATAGAAATCAGCTAAGTAAAGGGATGGATATTTAGATTGTTCCCACTTGGACTTTCAATTGAAAGAATTGGATTTCTGAGAACACCCTGTGTGCCAGCCATAGCTCCTGTAGGGAGGGTGAAAAGACTTCCCCTCTCCCAAGCACATAACCTCACTATTTTCTTCAAGGCAAGAAGTCAATTTCCAAGGGCAGAGCAGAAATATAATGCATTTACAGCACAATCCTCTTTCAGCACCTTTCAGAGTGCAGCAAAGCAAGACCTTCAGCACAGTACAATGAAATAGATTCTGCTTTTTGTGCTCATGGCTGGGCTTAGTCCCACACTGCTTTAGTCCTTTGCTCAGCTCTAATGCTTAGGAGTTTTTCAGAGTTCACAGAATGCAAACTTCAGGCAGGTGTGGACCCAGTAAATCTTGGTGGAACTTCTCTGCTACTTCCATGAATGCTGATCACTCAGAGATAAGTATCATTCTTCTCAGAACACAATATCCCTGTGCAAGTTTTCAAATTCCTCTTTTCTTATCTTGTTTTACTCACCTGCACATTCTGTAAAACAGGAAGCTCCATAACTTAACCTCTCTGAGGATCCTGCAATGACAGGTAACAGAACAGAGAAGTGCTGCAAATTTGTGTGCAGCTCAGCACAGACCTGCTGCTTCTGAACTTCAGTGAAATTACTGAAATCAAAGCATGGTCCTCAAAACAAATTAAACCCATGAGAGTTTTTCTATCACGTATACAGACTGACACAATCTCACTATTTCTGCTGTTTTCCCCAGGATGCTGAAGGAAGATGCACTATTTAATGCATCCTCTCCAAGGAGGGTGCTCTCCCACCTGCCCAGTACCACCCAAAGAGCTCAGCAAAGCAAACTGCTACACTACACTAAAAACCCAGACAAAGCTGCTACAAGAATTACTACAAACATACAAGCTGTAACATAATTCTCTGAAGTTTTGCCAGTGAGAACATTTCTTAGTAGAAGTATTCTGCATTGAGAGATCAATCTTAGCAGAGGCAAAATTTCTTCTACTTACTCCCTGAAGCTCCAGCCACAACAGCACAGAGTAAAATGATGGTGAGCAACCCTGTGGCCATCGAAATCACCTCCTCAGAGCAGAAGTTAACAAAAACACATCAGCTCTGCTCTCAAAGGCACCTCTGAGCAAGGCACTGAAAGAAAATTTCCTTCACAAAGCAGGAGCTCACTATTTCAACTCCCCTCTTCCTGCCAGAGGAGGGGCTCTGGCAGGGGCAGCCTGCAGAGGGGAGGGGGAGGTTGTGGTAAGGGGGAGAGACAGACACATCACCCCTGATCCCATCCCCAACACCATTTCAGCCTTTTTACAAAAGAAGAGAAAGAGAAGTTAATCTATTAGAAATCCCACAAAACTACAAGGAAAAAAATTAGGTATATGGCATCATAACGGAGCAAATGCTCAGAACAATCCCATGCAGTGAGTTTAAACTAAATTAACAAATGTAAAAGCCACCCTAGCATTCACTCCTTGACAATCAACCAAAAAAGCACACAGGATGAAAGCCAAAGCTTTGGGAGTAAAGGGAAGGGGTTTCCATTGGGACCAAGCAAGTTCATGGGAAGCAGCTCATCCCACCAAAGTCCCAAACCTCAAATGGGTGAGATTGTGTGTGAATAACACACAAAACCACTGAACCACCATCCTTCTGGTACCAATCAGGTTTGTAGAACACATCAGACACAGGCCTCCCAGGCAGACCCCTCTTCCTGGCCCAGGGCCCTTCCCACACTGCCCATGCACTCTGAGCCCATGTACCCCTGAGCCATGGCCACACCTCAGCTGTGCCTGTGTGCCAGCACCTCCCAAGGGAAGCTGGGTGGGCAGGCAAACATTGGTTTCCTGCTGCTGCAAACCCTCCAGTCTAGGCTGAGCTACTGCTCACTGCAAACCAGGGCAGTTTTTATTGAAACATCTAAATACGGAATTAAATGCCTGAATAGCTGCTAGGTACTAAATGCACACTGAAGTCAAACTTTTAAGATAAAATACCACATAAGTGTCCTGTGCACTTGACTCAGGTGACATCTCTCATGTAGTGATTGGCAAGTGCAGGATGGAGCCCAAGACTCGACATCTTGTAACCATTTTTTCCTACCTAACACAGGTGAGCTTTTTCTAAAATATCAAAACACCACCCCCAAAACAGGCAGAAGAAGAACTTCCTGAAGAGAAGTTTCCAGCACATTGCTGTCCTAGATAATATTAAAAAATGGAAGAAAATCTGACACATGTGCTGCAAACACACTTGTTTAATGACACACTAGAGACCCACTCTGACTGTAAGTCTCAGAAAAGCATTCATCCATTTTAATGGATAGGGTACTCAAGTATGGAAAATGAATTTAATAAAAAGTACCATCAGTCACACAACAGGTAAGCCTGTCCGTGGACACCAGAGAATTGTTCACCATTATTGCCAAGAAAGCCTGAACTTTTACAAACTGGCAAAGTCCGCTTTGTATAGGCCCCACAAACAATATTAAATTAATATTATCGTAACACTGACAGGAGGGAAGAGCCCTTGGCCAGGGTCCCACACCCACCTGTGCTCTCCGCACCTCCGCCTTCCTGCGCTCGCAGCCCTCCCGTGGCCGGGAGCTCCGCCTGGTTATGGCCCCGAACCGAGCCCGCGGAGCCCTCACAGCGCCGGGCACCGCCGGCAGCCCGCTGCCGGGATCCCCCACAGTACCGGGCACCGCCTGGAGCCCGCGGCCGGGGTCCCTCACGGCGCCGTGCACATCCCGGAGCCCCCCTCACGGCGCCGAGCACGTCCTGGAGCTCCCCTCACGGCGCCGGGCACGTCCCGGAGCCCCCTCATAGCACCGGGCACGTCCCGGAGCCCGCGGCCGGGGGCCCCTCACAGCCCCGGGCATGTCCCGGAGCCCCCCTCACAGCACCGGGCACCGCCCGGGGCAGCAGCACGAACGCCCCCCACCTGTGGGGAAAACGCCGAGAAGGCGCTGCGAAGCACCAACACTTTCCAGAGCGTTTTCCCAGCCGAAGTTAAGCGATGGAGGGCCACCTGTCCGCCACAGGGCTCTGGCAGCGGCCGCTCCCCGGCGGACCGGCCCCAAACTCGGCCTCCGAGCACCGAGGAGCCCGGGGCACAGCCGGGGCGAGGGCGGGCAGAGCAAAAGAGTCAGGGATGGCTGCGGGCAAACAGGGTGATGGGCTGCACCTCCAGTCCGGGTCCAGTTCCGGGCCTCTCGCTACAAAGACATTGAGCTGCTGCAGCGTGACCAGAGACGTGCAGCGGAGCTCCTCATCAAAACTGATGAGCAACAGCTGAGGGAGCTGGGGGGCCTGAGGAAAGGAGTCTCAGGAGGGACCTTTCCTTCTCAGCTTGCAATCTCAGCATTGCAAGTGAAAGTTTTACCCAAAAGTTTTAATTGAAAAAATATTTCTAGGGCCCGGGTTGCAGGAAAACAACACATTTTCAGTGTGGCTCTGTGTGGGACAGTCGGCCTGCAAGGCAGACGGTGCCATTTATCAGAGACTTGGCCCACGTGAGACTCTGAAAAATTTCTCCCTGTAATTACATTTCTTATTTTAACATTTCAGCAATCCATGTGTTTGGAAACATTCCAAATATTATAATTTTTCAATTACAAGCACTAGATAGAAAGACAAAGCTTTTATTTTAAATAGAGTCAGTTTTAAAAATAAACAGTAATTTCAACATAATCAAACACAAAGTGCTTTCACACAAAGCAAGTTATATCCTGCATTTGTTTGTCCAAGGTAGGTTTAACAAAGCAGGTTACTTTGGCACAGTGTGTAGATTATTCCATACACAAGAGAACAAACACACTTTGCATTTAAGGAAACACAACTACAGAAGGGCAGCAGAAAGCCTTGCAGAATGCTGAATTGGAAGGAAGAGCTGCCAACATTGTGTGTCCTATTCTCAATCCATACAAGGAACTTAAAGAGAATCAATGGACTGTCCACATAAATCTTTTTTTTTTTGGTGTTTTGCATTCTGGTGCCACCACCTCAGATTTTCCAATCATCACTTTGAAGAGACAAGGGGAGCTAAGGTAATAACAATTGGAAGACTTACCAAATGAATATATAGCAGGATTATCCAGACCAGACTGACAAGGTACTAAAAGAATTTAAAATCCTTCGTACCATGCAAGCAAATCCCAATTTTGGAAACACTGCGAGCTTCATTTCTTCCGTCTTGCTCTGACAATAAACTGACAACAAGCACATTTTCTGTGACACCCAGTAAGGCACAGGACTTGCTCATGTCACCAGAACAGAAAATTCAATGCAGCATCACCCAAGCCCTTCAGGAACACAGAGTGCACTATGGGGGTGCACCAGCAGAGAAAAGCACTTGTTGGTACCACATCATCAGCATGGAAAGCTACAAAACCACCAGCTTTTTATCTCCATCATCCTCTTGCCAGTGAGTAGCTCCTGATGTACATTCTTATGGCATGAGGAGACCAGAAACCTTTTCCAAATACACAAGGAAGCTCTTAAATCACTTGCAGATGGGCTCACAAGCAGCATCAGTTTACAAAACCTAATTAAGACAAGGCCTAGAGATTGTACATGATCTACAAAATTACTGGATTTCAAACATAAAGTGTTGAAAGACTTTTGAAAAACTAATTTACACCAAATATATACAGAAGGCACACTTGGCAAGAAGAGTAAATGCAGTATTTTTATTTGTATTTATTTTAGCTTTTTACTTTTACAGGTATTAATACAGTGTTACCAACACAGCCTTGTTTAAACACCTGTCTGCCTCTTCTGGACAGTTATCATTTAGGCTGGACATTAGGAAGAAGATTTTTCCAGAAAGGGTGATCAGATGTTGGAATGGGCTGCCCAGGGACATGGTGGAGTCACTGTCCCTGGAGGTATTTCAGAAAAGATTGTGTGTGGTATTCAGCACCACAGTCTGGTTGATAAGGTGGCATTAGGACACAGGTTGGATATGAGGATCTCAAAGGCCTTTTCTAACCCAGCTGATTTTGTGATTTGGATTCTGTAATATGCATCAAAATGTTGTTTGATCCAGTTGCTTATGACACAGAAATTACTTCAACCTTCAGAGCCTCATTCCCAAATTTTTTGTGATTATCATCTTAAATAAGCATATCCAGCTTAAGTTTCTAAAAACAGAACTCATCTTTTATTTAATTTAGAAAAATCAGAGAAACTCCTTAACACACATTTTACCTTCTTGATAAAGAAACAGTCATTAATGAGCAGATCAACAACTAAAAGCCTGGATGTTTTATTTATATGTTTCAGGTGGAATTTGAGCCTTAAGCTAAGGCTGAGGTTTGTTTATGGTCAATCAGCTGACTTACGTAAATGTACAAGGAAGTTTTCCAATGCTCTAACCAAGGCTCTCTGGGCATTTCCACCGGCATGAAGAAAACACTTCAGAGACTTTCAATCAGCAGTAAGAAAGCCTCCAGCCTAACAAAAACCACTTCTATATGAACATCTTTACTTCAGATTAGAGACATGACTAGACTTGAAATTGGCAAGGAAATTCAGACACCAGATTCATTCACTATTTTTGCACGACCACCTGAATTGTCCATTTGGAAAAGCTACGTCCAAGAAGGAAGAAGCTTTCACGTTTGGTTCTCTTCAAACTACAAAAGTTTTAAAATGAATTCTAGTGGTCACGAAAAGATGACAACACAGGATTTCTTTTTTCAAAGAGGAGCACCTGTCTCTGAGGCAACTCCCCGCAAGTTCGTAAGCAGTGCTGCTGCCAAAGCATGAGCCTAAATAATTCTCCATACATGTCCTTCTGTCCTCCTCTTGTTCTGTGCTGAGACTTTACAGTCTCAATGCAAGCACAATGTGCATCATGCCTGAGACAAGATTAACTGAAGAATATCACCAACCTGTTCTGTGTTAAGCAAAAAGGGAAACACTCCATTGCTCTCCATTGGTGCTGGACTGAGTGGCCCATACAGACTAGGTATGCTTTTCACAGACCTAAGTGAGACTCCTCCTCTCAAGCAATTGTGTATTCAAACCATCTAGCAATAAAGATTACTTTTTATTCGTTTCCAGTGACAGGATGCACAGAAAAATGGAAAGTCTCCATAAAGCTTCAGAGAGGGCTTGTAGAGGTGCTAAACAACTTCATCAATCAATGTATAAACACTGGCTATAAACGTTTGTAAGAGCCAACAAGAGCACTGCATTTCGGACAGGTGTGATCCACATCCTTTAGGGCATCAATGCAGAAGGGAATTAAGCAGCAGCCTGCTATACACCTGCAAAGGCAAAAAAAAGAGAAAAACACTGCTTTACCACTTTTTATACACACAGGAAGGTAAAATGTATTTTGTTCAAAAGCAATCAGTAAAACTGGTGCCATAAGCTTTGGGAAGAACACACATGGCTATGGAGTCCATTACTGAAATGTTCCAGAACTGCTTTAAGGTCCAGTAGGACACAGATGCAGATGTAGGCTAATTGAAGGCTCAGGTCCCACACAGAGAAAGAAGCTGAGAGCTCTGTTTAGCTCTATGTTAGAGCTAAAAAAAAGTCAAGGTAAAAGTGCAAATTGGAGTTGACTTACCCCAGCAGGCAGAGGCCACCACATGACAGCCAGGTCAAAGCTCCAGAGTCATACGAGAGACGGGTTACTATCACCTGGTTACAGGAAGGGCAGACCATCTGAACTGGGCGGTCATAGAACATTACTGGCTGCTGCACGTACACCGTCTGAACAGTAACTGAGCAGAGAAATGGCTGGTTACTCCATGAGGAACAGGAAAAAAGAGTAGCAATCAACTTCCTCTAAACCAGGTACAACTGAAATATTCACGGCTCAGAACAATGAAATACACAATGACAGAAATAACCATGGCATTTCCTAATGCAGAAATACACTGTCTTAAAATAAAGCTGCACTAAAAACTGCAGAAAGCCAAATGATGCTACTGATATCACTGCACACTGAGGGATTCAGAAGAAAACAAGCTCTTCAAAAGTATTTTTGGCAGGTGTTGAACACCTGCAAACCACAATTTTTCATCTTCTAACAACACCTATTATACAACCACTTTGACACCACCTTGACATGAGGTACAGAAGAGTTCTGGAGGCTTACTGGGGTTACTTGCTGGTGGAGGCTGTCCCATGTGTGGGGGAAGGTTGGTTCCCTTCCCATCTGGTGTCTGTCCAGGGCCAGGGACAGGATAGGGGTGAGGATAGTTCACATTGATTCCTACAGCTTCCTCATAAGAAGGTGGTGCAGATGGGACAGGTTTGGCACTTGCAGCAGACATATCTAAAGCATCAAAGAGAGAAAATTGTAACAGAAGGTATTATTTATTAATGGCAATTGACAAATAATTAGGCTCAAATCAACAGCAAGAAGATAACTAAATTAAAAGGAACTTTTACCAGCATAAAATTAATTGGCTGGTATTTGTTTCTGATAGTATTAAATGTTAATCTTGATTTCACTGTTGTTGCCTAATACCCAATTCCTTTTCACTGCGAATTTTTTACACTTTGACTCAACACCAATTCTTCCTTTATAAATTAAAAATACTAAAGCAGGGAGATGGGGCTTTATTAATATACTAAACAATCTAAGTCTCGTAATTCTCCAAGAACACTATTTCTAATCCCTCTTGTTCTCCTGAAAAACAGAACAATATGATAGGCCACATGGTAGTTGCTAACCAATGTAAGCCTGGTTTGTGGTAAAACTTCAATATTTTAAAAATACTATTTACCTCTGCTGTAATTTGAAAGAAGAAGTAATTGTATTAAAGGAAAAAGAAACCCAAACAATTAAGCATGTCCAACTGAACTCAAAGCTTTTATAACTGTCAAATATATCTACTATATCTACCCTCGCCATTTTTGCTTCTTAGCAATGTTTTAATGAGTTTGTAGGGCAAATTTTCCTCCACCAGTTGTTATTTTGTTGCAGAGGACAGGAATGCTGACTGCTGTCAAGAAACTACTGCAAGTTCAATGCAGACTTCCTCTCCTCCTCCCCACCTACCCACTTCCTGTAGCCTGCCCACCATTTTCTTTGTGGAACAAGGTCTCATGGCATCAATGCTGACCAAGCATCTCCCTTTCCCCCTTCCCCCTAAGGACCATCAGACAGCTCTCCAAGAGCCACACTCCATTCTGCTGCTGCACACATGGTCCCTCTGTACATATGCATGTCTTTTCACTCAGTACTGTCTGGGAAAGCAACCTGTACTTGGAATATTAATTCTATGGTGCTATGAAAGTTATATAGGAGCTCCAATTACCCACAGCACTACTGTGAATAAAATAAGGGAAATTGCACTGATGCAATCTGCAGGTTCAAAAGACAACATGCCAAGAAAAAGAATTTTGGGTGTGTCTGTTTAGGACTGGTGTCACTCCATCCACACAAAGCTTGGGTGAGACCCAGCACACAAGTCCCCAACAATGACACAAGCCCTTCCACTCTCCCAGAGCATGGAAAAGTCCCTGGAATACTGGTGATTACCTTCCTCACACAATACAGCTTTCATCAGGATTTCAGTGAAGTCTATAAACACTTCCATAAAGAACTTGTCACAGGTTTGTTCACTCTTCCAGGCTACACAGGACTAATCAGCTGCACTGGAGGCATGGGGATACACCAGCAAACACCAATGTTTATAAATTTCAGGAGTCCCACAGTCTTCCCAGCAGATTTAGCAGAAATGTGGAAAGGTGTATTACAAAGGGAATTGTGTACTCAGTCAAGTGTGGGTTTTATAGTAACCCTGTGGCCAGGAGTGGTACAGAAGAACAGACATGCCTACAGGTGCTGGAGCAGTAATTGTGGTAAGCCTGGGACAAACATTGCTTCTTCCCACTTTTCTCATACTCACACTGCAGCTTTGGCAGAATGAAGAGGAAACAGGACAGCAGTCCAAGATGTTGAAACTCAGTAAGTTTTTGTAGCAACAAGTATTTCACAGCTATACCCTTAAAAAACACCGATCTTCTGATTTCTTCAGAAAAGAGAAGTTTTCTCCTTGTGACTAAACTGCAGAGCTGAATCACGATCTACTGGCCCCACTTGGTGTGCTGGTGTTGGCTGTGGGTGTACAGGAAGCCAGGAGGGGACACTGCCAGAACAGCTGACCAAAGGGATATCGCAGACCATAGAGCATCACACTCAGCAATAAAACCAGGAAGGTTTTTGGGAGAGAAATACTACTCAGGGACTGGCTGGGCAATGGTTGGTTGCTGGTGAGCAATTGCTCTCATTTGCTTCACTTGCTGGATTGTATTTCCCTCTGTTAGCTTCCTCTTCATTACAGCTATTAAATTATTACTTTTCTTATTATTTTATCTCAATGTAACAGTTCTTATCTCAACCCATGAGTTTTCTCACAGCCATCCAGTTTCTTCAGGGGTGCAGTGTGTGAGCAGCTGTGTGGTGCTCAGTTGCCAGGCGGGCTCAAACACACAGCTACTTCAGCTGCTCAGCTCTGCTGCACTGACAAGCAAGTTGTAAGAAATTGAATGACACCTTTTCACAGATTTCAAAGTTATATAACTTCCAGCATGAACACTTCAAGTCTTGATATTTACTTATTTTGAATTACATTGCATGATCTTTTCTTACCACCAAATGGTTTTGAACAATCATTTCAGTTTAAAAGAGATCACGGCGCTTTTTCTGCACTTTCATTTTTTTTTTTCTATTTCTGTAGGCAAACATGAACAGGTTTCAGGTCCTCACAGCACTTTGTGGAATCCCTTTTTTTTTTTTTAAGTTTCAAATCTGTAGCACAAACAACATGTAAAAAGTACTACAGTGAATGGTAAAAAACTAAAACCATGTATGAATTCCTTGAAGTTATCTATCTAAACAAAAATTCCTAATAAACATCAAGATGACATTGGGACTACAAAAAAGTCTCTTAAAATTACTGAATATTGTAGATGTAACCACAACTTCAGCTTTTCAATTTCATTTTTCTAATGTCCTTTCTGCTTTAAATGTCAGCTCTGAAGAGATATTTGAACCATCACTTCATACAGTCAGTGCAAATATGCAAGTGTGTTTCACACTCCAGGTCTTGAAAATTAGGCTGGGGACAAGAGAAAAAGAAGATAACAGCCCACCTCTCTCCTTGGTATGTAAAAAACCAACCAACCAAAAACCCCTCTAGTAAAGAGCTGCTTACAATTACAGCAATCCTAACCTAATCTGGCCAAACAAATCTGTTGATGCCCTTCCCTTAATCTCTTGCTAAAATTTGGCACAATTTAATCCTTAAATTAAACAATTCCTATGCAGTCCTCTTCACTAGAAATCCCAAGCTGCCCTCTAACAACAGGGGTGGTTTTGAGGGTTCCCTGCACATCAACGTCTAAGACAGCAACTGGTCAGCAACACGGAGAATGAAATACAGGTTGAAGCTTTTAACAAGCCAGCAGGATATACAGGTTCATCAGAGCACTCGGAGTTATGCAGTGCAAAGCCCTAACACAGCACCTTCTTGGACCACCAACTTTGTCTGAACTCTGGACAACTTCCAAGTTTATCAACCTGCTAAGAAATACTATCTCAAAGTTGTTTAAATTTCCCAGGCATTTGTGAGAGAATAAAATCCAGTAATCACAACAAAAAAAAAAACCAAAAACCTCTGACATATTTCAGGAAGAACCAACGGCACTGTGGTCACATTGAATTCTATACTGGCGAAGTATAGTAATAAAAGTAGAAATAAAAGTAAAAGAAGAAGCACGGTGTGTTCTGCCGGCAGGAGCGATTTCAGAGGCCAGAGTATTACTTTTATCAAGTAGTCAAGTTTTGGAATAATCCTGTGAGTGGCTTCATCCTGTGAGTAACCCCCTCCCCGGGGCAGGGAGGGCCGCTCCGAGAGGAGCTGCTGCCGCGCGGATCCCGAGAGCATTCCCTAAGGAAAGGGCCACCTTCCGCCTGCCACACTCGGGAAAGCGAAACTCCGGCCTCGCTCGGCCCCTGCCCACGGCCTCTCCCGGACGGAACCGGGACCGGGACCGGGACCGGGACCGCGCCGCTCGGGGCACGGCTGGCCCGCGAAGCCCCAGCTGCCCTCGGTGCCTCGGGGGCTCCCGCAGGGCGGGACCAGCCTCAGAGCCGCGGCTTCTCCTCCTCCCCGCAGCCGGGCCGGAGCACCGGAGCACTGGGAGCGGCCCGGGGAGGGCAGCGTTCGGGCCCGGGAGCGGCCCCGGCGGAGCAGCAAAGCCCCCGCCGGCGCCCCGCTCTGCCCTGCCCGCCGCACCGCCAGGCTCCGGGCAGCCCTTACCGTGCCCAGCCGTGCCCGCCAGCCCTCCTGGCCTCTCCGCTCGTCTGCGCTCGCACGGGCGCGGCCACCGTCAGCAGGGCTTGGCTTGTCCCGTCCCGTCCCCACCCGCGTTTCCTCCTCCCCTTCCCCCTAGAGCAGGCGCCGCGGGGGTTGCTCGGGAGGGCGCTCCGCTGGCCCCGGCCGGGCCCTGCCCGGGGGCCGCTTCGGCCGCTTCCCGCGAGCCATCGGCTCCCGGAGCGGCGTGTCTGGGCAGGACGGGAAGGGAACGGGGAAAGCCTGTGCAAGTACAGGCACTCCTGGCGCGTTTCGCAGTCACGGCCATCGGGAACTCCGCAACTTTCGCCAAGAGCTCGCTCACATTAAACCAGTAATCTTCAACTGCCCCATCACCAGCGCAGCCAAGCACCACGTTCAGTAACACTGCAAGGAAATCACTAATTCTACAGTGCCCTTTACCTTACCAGATCAGATATTTCAGACAACATACAAGAACACATAAAATGATCAACAAAACTTTCAAGTTCAAGATTCAGTGATTTTAGGTAGTGCCTTAGAAGCAATTGAATTGGATTCAGTCTTTGGAAAACGCAAGAGTATGTCAATCCTTCCTCTATCCAGCTGCAGGATAACACAAAAGTAAATTATGCCAGATCCCTAAACGGGCTTCAAAAGGGACTGCTTCACATGCTGGTTTGTGTGAATCTACCTTAGACTGAAGGGTCTTGATAACTAACCCCTGCGGGTTATCAGCAGGGACAGTTCATAAGGCCTTTTGGCTGAAAACATCTAAAATCCGTCCAAGACCTAGTTTTGTATTTAAGTATCTTCTTGAACCTTGCCCTAAGGAACACACTTAAAACTTCAAATCCATCCTGGAGCAAGGAGTCAGGTTTTATAGGATGAAGGAAGTTTACCCAAAGTGATGATAAACCCAACAGGAAGCTCTGCAGTCACAGTAATCTGTTGATTCACCTGCAAGTATGGGCGCTTGGGGATGTCATCAGAGGTTGAAAGTGTTGAGGGCATGAATGCTCCAGTCCCCCCGATTTAGGGAGAGGAGTGTGGAGTGTGATTTACCAGTACAGGGATTAGAACTAGACTTAGAGGTGAATAAATTTACTCCATTACCAAGAAACCACATAATATATTCTTTTTTTCAGGAGCAGAACCTGAGTAATTTGGGCTTTGTTGGCCTGGATTAACTCAAATTGGAATAATTGTTCTCTTACTAATTAAACCCCCTTCTCCAGGTGGCTATGAGCAGCTTAGGAGCCACAAAAGAGAGAAGCAATGACTGAACACATCTCCCAGGGTGAAATAAGGCATGGCCTTCAACTGGAAGCCTTCTTACTCCAGCTGCCAATGCTCTCTCATGTGTTGTGTTTTGCATCTAGTCTAGGCTGGCCCATGCTCCTCCTTGGGGACCCCAGTAACATTTTTCCTTTTTGCCCTACTACTGTTTCCCCCAAATGTCCAAGTAGGCAGTTGGCATCCATTTACTGGTGAGTGTATTTCCTCTCACTATCCAGCCTCCTTCTGACCCTGCTCACCATCTGCTACTTCTGTCCTTTTGCTGGATGGCACTGGGTGAAAGAAGCATCAGCTTTAGCCAGCCTGTGGCTGACCAGGCCACCACAGCACTTGGGAGTGTGTGGACAATTACACAGAAGTCACAATTTATGGAATGTTGTGTAGTGCTCAGTGGAACAAGTCGGCCCAACACAGGCAATTGGCTCTGTGACCACCTAAAGTAACAAACTGTATCACTTTCCTGGGGAATATGTATATCCTTGCTAGTAAATACTTGTACCACCTTGAGCCAAGCGTGCACCTTAGGCAGAGTTATCCTGTCCATCAGGTACCAAAAGTAAAGCCCTGCCTCTTAATACTACATTGGTGTTAAGGAGTTTTATTCCTGATTCTCAGTGACGAGCTTGTGGAAAATTGGCAGGTTTGCTATGGAGAATTGATGACGCTGCTTGGGCAAGGATGAACTGAGGCACTTGCTTATATTACACCTGACTTGAGGGAGGCTTAAGCCCTTCATGGTGTCTGGGCTAAAGTGTAGAGCTCCCAGCCCAGTGCCTCAGTGAAGTAGAGAGTGTACTCACACATGGTATGGAGACAGGGCCTCAGCCCCCTTATCCACACACAGCAGGCTGTATTAGCAGTAGAAATCCGGTCCTGCGAGGAGATGCGTGGCCAGCAGGTCAAGGACGGGGATTCTGTCTCTCTGCTCCACTCTCATGAAACTCCACCTGCAGGGCTGCATCCAGGTCTGTGGCCCCCAGCAGAACAAGGGTATGGAGCTGCTGAAGCAAATCCAGAGGTGGCCATGAAGATGTGCCAAGGGCTGCAGCACCTCTGCTGTGGAGACAGGCTGGGAGAGCTGGAGATGTTCAGTCTGGAGAAGGCTTCAGACTGACCTTACTGTTCCTTTCGGTACTTGAAGGGGACCTATAAGAAAATTGGAGACAAACTTTAGCAGGGCCTGTTGCAACAGGAAAAGATATTATGATTTTAAATGGAAGGAGGGGTCAGTTTAGATTAGATATTAAAAAAGGAGACTTTTATAATGTGGGTGGTAAACCATTGTCACAGTTTGCCCAGAGAGGTGGTGGATGCCCCCGGAAACATTCAAAGCCAGGTTGGACAGGGCTCTGAGCAACGTGGTCTACTGAAAGATGTTTCTGCTCATTACAGGGGCCTTGGACTTTAAATGATATTTAAAGGTCCCTTCCAACCCACACTGTTCTATGATTCTGTGATGGTGATGTGCAGTTGTAAAATGTTGATGGGAATGAAGATGATCAAGCTAAGGTCGGATGACCTTTACTGCTGCCTCAGCTGAGTGGAGGAGGAAGCAATACTGAAGTATCATGTCTCTGTTCTGCTTTTGATTCAACCATTAATCGCCACTCAGCCTGACCAAAGGTAACTGAAATCCTCATTATCCCTCATTTAGCTATGAAACATCCACCAGCATGCAACTGAGAAAGTGCCTTCCTCCCCACTATCTAAGATGGAAGCAACAGGTAACCAATTATATTTGACTACAGTCTCACCTCTATTTATCTGAAAGTATAAAATTGGTATTTGGAATCCTCCATGTAGAGGATGAGAATATGACCCCATTTCATAGACAAGTGAATGGTTTTGCTCCTCTCTCCTCCCCAAAGGAGAGATGCCTCTTTAGTAAGTTTCGTGTTTCTGTGTCAGACCATACTTGGGTGAAACTAAGCTTAAATAACTGTGAAGTGTAATGAAAAACTGAATTTTTAATTTACCATTGGCTGGTGCTAATGCACTAACAGCATTTATGAACAGCAATTCCAAATCTGTATTCCTGTTGCTTCAATAAGTAGCACTATTTGTGAATCTGTGCTTGTGGATGTTCTTAAAAAACACAAACAGACTAGAGTGCCAAATTGATAATAACCAGAAATTAAGACCAGCTGCATTCAGCCCCTCTGATCTCCAGCACAGGTGGGGTTATTTTGTGCCAAATTTCTTAGTCTAATGGAACAGAGCTGCAGCCCAGCAACCAACCTGGGCGAGGCCCAGGAAGCCCACAGAGCTCCCCCAAAGCTGCTGCCTGCGCGTTGGCACCCACAGAAGTTCCCTTCCTGCAGCACACTGGGTGACTGGGGGGTCCACAGCCAGTGCCAGCTCAAGGCATGCATGAGGAAATGTGGCTAGAAACTGATACAGCTTTTTATCTCACCCCCACCCCTGCTTCCCCATGAGCTGTGTACCTGAAGATTGTAAATATAACTCATTTTTAAAAAGTCATACATAAAAAGGCCCTGTGGCAGTTTCAGAAGCCTGACACACAAATGCAGCAGGATGTAACCACGAGAGCTCTGCTCCATCCCAGTCCCGTGGCACGGTGTGATCAGCAGCCACACCTGCTCTGCACTGTTCACTGTTCAGCTTCTCTCTGCTGCACTGAGTCATCACCAGGGCTGCTAACAGCACCGTGGAAATGTACAAAGCATACAGTGGATGTTTTGTCATCACACTGATTGCACACACGCTATTGCAGAACACCAGCAGATGTCAGTTTAACCCCAAAAATAATTGCATGCTGGATTTACTAGCCTTTGCTTTTACAGCAGTAGGCTTCTGTAAATGAAGCTAATTGAAGTTTAAAAGTTGATGTACATTTAAAAGCCTGCTAGTCATATTTTACATACTATAATATGGTCTCAATAACATATAAAAAAGTAAACCTTCATCTCACCTTTAATTTCTCCTGCCTGGAAATCACAGGACTTGCACACATACAAATAAATCTTTTTTATGTGTGTATGTCATTTTGCATATACTGATTTGTTGAAGTTAGATAATTTCTATGACTTTTGATCATTTCAGCAATACTAGATACTTATGGAGTTGTACCAGAATGCAGTTTCAGAGCAATAATCAATGTACAAAGAGAGATTTAAAGAGAAGCAAGGTAGATATATTAAGTCAAATAATCTGAAAGCATGTTTGTTTTTTTCTTCACTGCTGCAATGGCTGATTCAAGTTGCTAAGCAAACAGAACAAAAACTCCAACACAATTTCAACAGTTAGTACAATGATACAAGTGTTGAAGTTCACATGAGAAACCTCAAAGATGACAACAGGATCTCACACTTCAGTGTCATTTATCACATTAAACAGAAGCAATATATCTAATCTAAAACTGCAGATGATTCCCCAAGACTGCAACTGATTGACAGAATTGTGAAATTAATCCAAACCTGAATATTAGTATTTTGCTGTCCTTCTAGTACTGCTTCCTTCTTAATTACCAACTCCTGTAGTGTTTTTTGGCCATCACAACAACTGATATCAGCTGCCAGACTGCAAAACACAGTACAACAAAATATTTAAGCATGTAAATCCTATTATCTCCCCTAGAGAGTGAAACAGAAGTGTGGTGTCAAAGAGGTAATGATAGATTTCTTTTTCTCAGAACACTTGGCACTGCATGTAAAGGATTATGAGGAGAATAACCACTCACTGCCAGTAATGGTTCTCCTAATATGAACAACTAAAAACAAATTATTA